AGGCAGGGGACTTCGTGCACCCCTACTGGTGGATGAGGGTGTCCAGGCCCTTTTACACCATTTTGTCCAGGCCCCCTGTTGGCATGCCACCACCTATACACGGGTTGATACACTCAACCATGTGCCTCGGAACCGAAAGTTAAAAAACACAAAGTACCGTGCACAAAACACTACATGTACAACATAATATTCTCACCTGGAAGGGGGATCTCCCGGTCTCTTTGGGTGTCTGTGAACCCTGCTCCTGTGAGGGTACCAGAGGAAAACTGGGTTACGTCACTCTCAGGCCATAAGGAAGTACAGGGACTCGAACCCGGGAAGAGCTGTCAGGGAAGCTGTCCTATCACCCCATGCATAATGTTGTGGTGCTTAGGATGATTGATGACAATTGATGATGACAAATGCCAGGTGGAGACTAGACTGTGCTGGGCATCGCCGCGGGAGTTATTAAAGATGCTTGCTGGACATGAGGTTGAGGTTACCCCTCACCAGAGGTTGAACACTTCTCGACGGGTAATTAATATGCTGTGACCTCAAGAAAAGCAACGTCAATGACATCAAAGAAGGCCTCGAAGACCAGGGTGTGTTGGAGATGAGGAAGATGAATATTTGTTGGAATGGACAAATTGTCCCCTTGATGAATCTAATCCTTACCTTTGAAGCACCAAGGTGCCCAGATGAAATAAAAGTGGCCTATAAGCTAAAAGTTCGACCATACATCCCAAGTCCTCAGAGATGCTACAGGTGCTAACGATGCAAGTTGCCACAAGAGGTGTGTGAATGCGGTAGGGAGATGCACCAGAAAGAATGGGGTTGCTTCGACCTGCCCACTTGTGTGAACTGAGCCCACAAAATAAAGGCGTGTTATATCTTGGCTCTATACAGAGAGGGTGTAGGCATGTCGCCAGAATTAAGAATGGTGCTCGAGCACAGCAGTCAGTTTCTGGGTTCCCTGTTCTGTTTTTTAGAGGTCGTGGTTTTTTTAATTGTATATAGTTGTATTCTATGTGTTTTGTTTAGTTATATTAGTTTCCTTATATTAGTGTAGTTCGATGGCAGAATATTTATGAAAGTACCCCATCGACCCCAATTTAGGTTAGATTATTAATATTGTTTGTAAGTCAATTGAGGAATATCCAGTACTCCACCTACTAATCAGAACGAGTGCAATACATGAATGTATTTATATGTAAGTTACTATCACACATATAACTTGTATGAATGTATTTATTTGTGTAACTGACTTATTTGATTTAATTAGTGGATAGATTATAGTTTACATGCTTATGGGGCCGAAATGAGCTAGCTGTTGATAGCCCCCATCGAAGCCTAACCCTGTTGGTATGGAAGTGGCGATTGATCAGCGAGGACTGACAACCCTTTGGGGTGAAAGTCCGAATAATAACACTAATGGCCATGTTTATTTAGGATAAAAATGAATATTTTCCTTTGTGCCAAGTTGTTTTGTTCATTTTTCAGGAGGCAATTTGTATCTATGCACATATATTTTCCAAACTTGTTCTGGTCTGCCTATCCTATTTTGAAAGTGCTCCTGTTGCTGTCCTGTCCCTGCTTATAACACCGGCAGATGACAACAGTCAAGATAGAACATAATGATCAGAACGACCAAATGGAAAAAAAAGAACTGATCAAAATATCCGAAGATAATTCACAGCATCTAAACCAAACCATGAAATTCAATACGTGATAACGTATCATGGCCATTTACGACCAATTTTTGCCATCAGTTTTGCAGACATCAAAAAGAAATCTCACAATTTATAAATATGCACTGACCAATTGCGAATGCGAGTGAGAAAAAAATTATATCATGTTAAACCTTTGCTGCGTGTTTTGTGATAGTCAGCAAAAAGCAGTCTAATAATGCATATCATTGTTATGAATAACTTTGGTCTGTATTTGGTGAAAGCTTGCTGTGTATAATCTTAAAAAAAAAAGTACCATACTATTTTTCCAAAATTGATTTTATCCTTAGTCCTTGCATCGCCTCTGATAGCTTTCTATATAAAAACAATACAAATGTTAGACTTATTTGTAATGTATGAAATTGTGAAGAAATCAAAGTGATTAAATTCATATCGTATTAATAGCTAATTTATTTACAGAATATAAGGATTTTTATTTACTTTTAAATCCTTGTACCTCCTCGAGCTGTCCTTGAATTTCTTCTTGGAAATTTATTTAATCTGATGTAGGACAGATTATCAGGAAATGATGGATTTGCACATAATGTGTCAATAAAGTTCAAACGTAAATGACCTACGACCTTGTTTTTCATTCTATACCCAAATGTACTTGTTTCGATTGCAATATCCAACTTTGTCCTTGGCCAAACTCACCTGCATCCAATCAATCTAGGCTTAGTTTTGTAGTGTCTTAGGAAAAAAATTTAAAAATTGTGGAATGTTTGATGAATTAAGAATTACCTATAAATAACAGATCACTCTAAAAAAATTTTTTTGATAAGTAATTTACAAAATGTTTATTTACAAGGTTTGTCATTTTAGGACAGGATTAGTCAAGAAGACACTGTTTTGGACATATTTGATTCTGAGCTTTTCTTAATAATGCAACCGAGGAAACTCAAAAAGTTCAACTATATTTCATGTGGGCGTTTATGTTTAGCCAATCTTTGCTGACATCTAAACTGATCAAAAATGAATAGGGATATTTGTAATTTATTCTTATTCTATTAATTTTAATAATAATAATAATGCATTATTAAACATTAAAAAAAGGAAAAAAGACTATTTAGATTTTAAAGCATTTAAGGCCATGGATCGGGGGACCGCGGTAGCCGAGTGGTTAGCATGAGAGACTCTCACGCCGCGGTCGTGGGTTTGATTCCCACCGTCGCCTCTGGCCCTTTTTTCCCGATAACCCCCAATTTGAACAACATATATAAGAGATTCGTCATGGCTAATATGCAAAGATCATAAGGCCAATTAAAAAAAATAATAATAATAAAGGCCAAGGATCTTGGATCTGTCTGCCAGAGGTCGTTGATTAAACAGTCAAAAACGAAAAAATACACAATAAAATAAAATAAAAGTTATAGCCTATGCAATAAAAAGAAAAAAAGGAGAAACAACAACTGCCAAAATGCGAAAGAGAACAAAAAAACAGGTTATACAAAAGAAATCAAAAATTAAACTCATTAATTAATTCATATCTGTAATTCCATACATGCCTAGCGTATCGAATTAAGGGCTGCGAATTTGAGCCACTCAAAAACCGTAACAGGTCAAACCTGGGGAGAGTGAAACGTCCGAGATGCAACAACCGAATCTCACCTAGGGTTGAGCACTCCGCCAAGAAGTGGGATACAGTTTCAATAGAGTGCAAATTACACAAAGAACAGATTCCTAATTCCCCTCTGATCCAAACAGCCGAGTTTAAGTGCAAAACCTCACTTCTTAGCTTAAATAGCCATTGCAACTCATTGAGACAAAGACCGTCAAAATTATCTTCATGTAGGTCGAACAATGCAGGAGTGTGAGATGCGTAGATGCTTGGACACGTGACTGGCATTCTTCATGATGTTGTTTATTAATTTGATTAATAAGAATTGAAAAATGATTATGCCAGTCACAGAGGTTGTCTAAGGATATGAGGAAGGGCAAGTTGTACTTTTCAAACAAATATTTCCAGTGAGCGAACCATTAGTCTTTATGACCGCCAACGATGTTATTTTTGTGTATCTGGTATCGGGAGACATCAGAACTTTCACAATACAGGAGTAGTGAAGCTTAAGTGTATACACCAAAATTAAATCCATGTTGGTTTCTAAATATAATATATAGTTTGGTGTACCAGATGGCAACGTGAACAACTTTCTTACAAAAAAAGTTGCACTTTTTCTATTGCTTCAAACCTCTGGTATCAAAAACAACAAGTATAAAGAAGATGATCTCAATAAAGATCGAAATGTTGGCACGATAAAGAAAATGTTTTTCTGAAACCTACAACACACCAGACCGCAACTCACGATTTCTGAATAAAAATAAAAAGTTTTTATTCTGTAATTTTGTTTATTGGACACAATAATTTTTTAAAACAATTAATACTGTGTATAATGTCCTTCCTCTGTTAACTAAAACCTCTGTGCACCTGTGAGGCATACTCACTAATTTCATAAGTACTTTCATTCCATAGATGTCGCAATGCATCCCACATGTTCTCAATAAGAGTCAGGTCTGGTGACAATGGGGGAAGGGGCAGATGGGAAATTCCCAAGTTTTCTGAACATTCATAAACAACTCTCCCTCTATGAAATCTGGCATTGACATCGAAAATCCCTGCCAATGAGATTTGAGGGATGTATTCCTCGATAATTTCTTTGGCATAACGTGCTGCGGTGACAGAGCATTGTATAATAAGTAGTTGAGGATTCTGTGCATCCCAACTCACAAACAGATTTTGGTTCTATGCTTAATGAATAGAATAAAATGAAAATGATTCCTTGATGAATCGGAACTCGGTGCTACAGGTACAGAACGGGCCAATTAAACAAAATTTTACATCTACATCTACAACGTACATTTTTTAAACACAAATCCAGCGTTTCTAATAAAATAAAGAGTTGGTGTTTTTTACAAGGCAAGAACTATAAGGGTACACAATCAATTTCTAAAGTAAGATATCAAACATCTTTAGACAACTAAGTAGAAATATTCTAAGAAAACAACCAGCAAAAGTTGCCACACTGTGAGCAAGATTGTAGAAAAATTTAATAAATTGGAATGATCCTGAAGTGTATAAACATTTAGAAAGTTATTTAAAAAAAAAAAAAAAAAAAAATAGCCATGGGCAAATACGAGTTGGACCACTCGGCCAGAGCTGTCCCAAACACATAGGATGTAATAAGAAAATATATAAACATAAAAAAAAACCTGAAATTCAACAAAAGGGGCTAAGAAAATGAAATGTAACATAGCAAATAATCATTTATTGTTAAAATGTTAAAACTTTATAAATAATGCTGCTTAGTCACATTTTAATCAATGTAAATAAATAAGATTGGTATGTAAAAATTTAAGTGTTTTTTTTTGGTTTTGCGATTTTATTTTAAAAAAACAACTGTACCCACATTTCAGTTGAGTTGTTAAAATAAAAATAAGACGGAACAATACATTCCTAAAAATTACAAAATCGATTTTTATTTATATGGAATCGGGGAGAATTTCCATCATTGTTGAAAGACTAGAATGGCCACCAGCTTTTCTCAACCTCCACCTCTACCTGAAATTGAATAACCAACATTAATATAAATAATCAAAGAACAAGGTTATACAATTAGAAATGAAAAAAAAAAAAAAAAAACACATTTACTCAAGAGGACAAACAAATGAAGGGTAAGAATGAAAAATTGATGGTCATCTGGACTAAGTTTATATAAAAGTTCTTTAAAATTCAAAACCCTATAAATAGTTAAAATATCTTTAGAATTTTTTTTAGTAAAGAAAATCTACACAATACTTTTTTGTTGTAGATTTTTTTTGCAGTATTTAATTAAACTGGAGTCCTAATGTTAGAGAGAAAAATCATGTCAGTAATATATATNAATTATTAATTTGTCATTTCTAAATTACATTTTTCTTGTATGTATATCATTTTTTTTTTGTTGGCTTCACCGTCAGGTATCCAGCCATACCAGACATTACCTTATTTTTTATAAGACACATTCTTCTTGCTGAATGACATTCTCCCGTTCCCATTTTTTTTAAAGTGATTTTATTTGTAAATTGCCTCACATTTCCATATTAGTCAAATATTATCAATAACTGTTACAATAGATGGGGACGGGGTCAGAAATTTCAGGGGCTATGGAAGAAATCCCATGACCGAGTGTTCCCAAATTTTTTTGGTTTATGGCACCATTAATATAAACGTTTTTCCACGTGTCCCAAACATTGGTCTATCTCAAGGTGAACTTTGTGTTAATAGTAGTTTTTCTTCATTTCCATTTTCCGAAAAGCATTATCTATAACTCTCTCTCTCTAATAATAAATACTCCAAACTCCTGATTTTTTAATTTTACCTGATATATTTATAAACGATTTCTGCGGTCTCAAGGGGCATACAGTTTGGTAAACACTGGCTTAACCATGTCAATTATTAAACAATTTCTTTAATGAGCTGTGCAATTTTTCATCAAAATACCATCAGCTGTCATGACAGTTAAAAAAACAAATGATCAAGGTGAATAAACGTTGTTCTCTGGACATCATCCCATTAAATGACAACTGTTTTATCAATTGTCAAATACTGTCTGAATTCAAATTGAAAGTATCTTAAAATAGTCATAGATTAAATCTCCCTCCTGTGGACAATTTTTGTGCTTTCAGCTCATAAAATATTAACACAGAATTATCCACTTGGTTAAGATAGAAATGTACACAGGGTTGTCAACATGAGTTGGTTGGGTGGCTGGATTTATATTATTTAAGATTCAAAAGCATATCGTTTAAAAGACTTTCTTATGGCCTTATGATCATGAATATTAGCCAAAGGAGAGGTCATAAGATATAAATGAATTTTTAGGTAAAAGAAAGGCCAGGTGCAATAGTGGGAATAGAACCCACCACTGCGGGGTCTACAAGCTGAGTCATGCTAACCACTCGGCTACCACAGTCCTGGAGTTTACTTTTCACTATATGAACTTTAACACTGATATATCTCTATATCAATTTTTTTTAAATTATTTTGTTTTATATATAAAAAAAGTTTTTTGGTAATGATAAGAATCACTACTGTTGTTTTTGTCACTTTGTTATTTTTTTATTCCCCTAGCTCTTTTCACAGAGGCTAACTTTTAAACGCAACCAAATTTATATTGAATTATAAGTAGGAATTTGCCTTCAATTTTGGACCTGAATCATGTATTAATTTAATTAAAACATTTTTCAAAATTCAAGATATGACATGAACTCAATTTTATACGAACCATTAATCTTTCTTCTTAGAATCTCCTTTGTCCTCTTTCGAACCTCCGAAAACTTTAGCCAGGGAGTCATAAATGCCTCCCAAGAAGAAAGCGCAGAAAAGATTTTCAAATGGGACAAAAGGATCGTGTATACCGAGTAGAATAGAGGACAGCTAAAATGAACAAAAAAATTAGTTTTTACAACAAAACAATTATTTGTTTATAATCATACTTTGAAATAAACGAAGAATATGACAATTCCAAAGTAGACAAGTGAATGTGGAGCTGATATCAGATCGGTTTTCTGGTCCAAAACAAAAATAATTGATGCTACGATGCACGCTTTGGTTGGGCTTAAAAAAAATTTAAGATTAACATATTTTATATAACATGACAACATATTTTGGGGCAAAATTAATAAAACTTACAAACTTGGCTGCATAAACTCCATCGCAGTCGGTGTCCACACACCACGAATGAGCCTTTCAATGAGCTTTGTAAATCCAGCACCATTTCCTAGAAAAAAAGACAGATCATATTGTCAAATTATAATTTGTACTTATATATTATATATAATCATTTTAAAAGGTGCAAAAACAAAGTTCAGGTTTACTTTCCTACCTTTTAAGGTTCCAATCAGAATCATAATCACGTAAGCATTCGGATATAATTTTGCAGCATGTGTAACACCATCGTATACCTTTTTACATCTGAAACACATAGTTACAACAATATAGTTATAAGTTATATGAATTAAAAATAAACTATAAGTGACTTTATCCATTGTTCATTACAATACAGTCAACCATGTGAAATCATAGCTATTACTTGTTATCTTAATTCTGTATCTTGCAATAATATTTTGATTGGGGCAGCAAACAATCCTATAGTTCAAAACCTGTGTGCGTGCTATTATTTTATATTAAAACAAAAACAAAAAATATTCTATATGATATATTAAATGTATAATTAGGATTAATCTAGACTACAAAAAAAAATCCAAACACACACTAATAAAAAATCAGAATAAAACTTACAAAATTTCACTTTATAGATAATGTAACGTACAGTTAAAAAAAAAAAGAGTTTTGAATGTAAGCAGTGATCACACCAAGCCAATGATGTACAAACTACAACAACAGCAGTCAAGCTTAAAAACGAACCTGTACGTTTCTTTCATTGCAGAAAAGATAAGTTTTACTGGTAGAAATTTTGAAAACTTGTATCCAATATCGAATGGAGTATAAAATACTAGGTACCTGAAATAAGTAAAGTATGTACAGTTAATCTAAGGTTCCATTTATTAAGGATTTATTTGTAATTGCCACAATATGGAATGAAATTCTACTAATTCCAAACAAAATCATTATTTACAATTAGGACTGAATGACAAATACTAATAATTTGCTTTATACACTACTGGCTATGTTGGAATATGTTACCAGGGAGTGGACATGGGTTGAGTTAGGCAGAATTAGGGTTAGAGATAGGTTAGGTAGGGTTAGAGATGGGCAATGTTAAGGATGGGCTAAATTATGTTAGGTAGAGTTCGGGATGGATTAGGTTAGGTGAAGTCAGAGATGGGCTTGGTTACATTAGGTCAGGCAGGGTTCGGTAGAGTTAGGTTAAGAAGAATGAACAAAAGAATAATTTGGTTGTCACTAGTGACTATGTTTGGAATATATAAGAATTGTGCAAAATATGAACATGATGATGAAATAATGAAAATATGATAACTCTTCACTCGAGATGGCGCAAAGTTGAAACGTGTTTGAGTAGCATGGAAACCAGACAGTACAGATGGAACCAGTGCCAGTTCAACATATCTATGGTAAGACCAAATTGAAGAGGGTGGTTTTTAAATGTGTGGGTTAAATAAAGTTTATAGAAATATAAGTAATAAAGGGTTTCATGTCTTACAACATTCTATAATGTTGAGTACTCTGAGCCCACTGTTTTGAAGGGTTATGTTAAGTAGAGTTAAGGACGGTTTAGGCTAGGTAGGATTATGTAGAGTTAGGGATGGGTTAGGTTAGGTAAGGTAATTAGGGACTGGCTAGGTTAGGTTAGGAAGGGTAAGAGAGTTAGGTTAGGACTGAATTAACAAAAAAAAAAAAAAATTTGGTTTTTACATTTTGAGTATGTTAGAATTGTGCCAAATATGAACTATAAATATTCTTCACTGAAGACGGCACAAAGTCGAAACGTGTTTGAGTGATATCAAAATCCGTGAATATAGATGGACACACTGTCAGTTCAACTAAGACATGGTAAGACCAAAATGAAGAGGATAGTTTTTAAACTTTACTTCATTTTTTCATTGACATTTACACTCTCAGGAGTAGGAATCTCAGTCTTCAATTGGGCTTTGCACTAACAAAGGAAAAGCTCCACTGTTTCTTTTCTTCCCGTGCCTCAATTGTGGAATACCTTCCCACTAAACAGAGGACTTATCCAAAACATAGTAAGTCTATTCATCCAAATGTACAAGAGTTTATTCCACAGATACAACTTGGTCCAAAAAAATTCATGGGTTTTGGCACAACAGTGAGTAGCAGTTAATAAATCAACGCAATTGAGTGGTTTACACTGTGTTTTTTAAAATGATAAAAAGATTTATTAAAAAGGTAAAGTTATACTGATTAATTATTTTAGAAATATGATCCACTCACCACACAGCAGTTGCAACGCCGAGTTGTTGAGTATTTTTCAAAGGTGCGAGTATGGGTTCTCCGAGGAGGCCATTACACAGCATGCCACCAGCGAAGACAACAAGCATCGTTGATAGCCAACAAGACAATGGATGCTTCCTGGAAAATGCATGAGCTCCTAAAATGAAAACAAAACTATTGATGAAAATCAATCCATTATGTTTCAATAATTTCTAACATTTCAGAACCTGAGAATTATACGTTATATATTTGATTTGCATTGCAATATGTGTATGCTCCTCTACAAGATGTGAGCGATAGGCCAACTGAAGAAAGTAATTGCTAGTCAAACATTTTTTTTTTAATCAACATTATTAAAGTAAAATCTGATAAACAAATTTATTCATTAAAACAACCAAACTGCAAGTTCATCACTCCACAGACCCTAGCAAGAAATTTCACAATGGGATATTTCAATTCAAACATTTTAACATAGATACATATTTGGGCTGGAAACACACTTTTCTTCGTGTGACCTTTCTCTCATTACCAGGGAGTGCAGAAGGCTGAGTTAGGTACGGTTAGGTTGGTTATGTAGGGTTAGGTTATGTTAGATTAGATAGAGTTAGGTTAATTAGAGTTAGGCCACACATATCCATAATTGATGTTTTTCTATGAAGAGTTGAAAATATGTGAGGATGAAGAAGAACTCTTTCAAACACATAATGATCAACCTCATCTAAGCTTTATAAAACAATTACCTATTAGGGTGGTAGTTGTCATTCAATATAATAAACTGACCTTTTTTTTAAATTTAATTGACCTAGTTGAGTGATTGGTATAGATATAGAAGAGAGAATGTGTTTAGATTAAAATCTGTATGGGTGTGGGGCTAAAATTTTCTTTTCAATAGCCCCTGGAGTCTAATTTCATTGGACTAGACAGACAAGAATGAAGAGCCAGGCTGTCAACAACACTGGAGAAGACAAGTATCATGCTTGCCTTGAGAAGGTCCTACTCTTAATTTCCAATTAAAGACATTTCAAAAATATTAAGCCAATTTGTGTATTCTGTTTTTCCAGTTGGATCTATGGCGGCTATAGTCTCCCTTCCTTTCACTGTGACTTAAAACATGTATTGTGCGATTGAACCTTGTTTACATCCATACCACAGAAAATGATCTAACCCTTAAGATAATCGAACACTTTCCAGGGTTCGTCTCCTCTTATTTCTTAGGTGTTACTGTCAACTATCCAAAATGGCTATACTGTTTTTGGGCAGTTTCATAGTCATATAACTTCGGCCATCTCTGCCAATTCATTGCAATAGGCATGCTTTTAAGTTTTCACTTTTTTTTTTTTTTTTTTAAAGGTGGTCATTAAATGAGCCAGAACAAATTTTTCTTAATTCCTTCCTGATGAAAATTAGGTGGGGTTTTGTTTTTCTGGTTGTGATGTCGAGAAATGTATGATTGTTTTGCACCAGAGGTAATTCATCCAAACATTTGTTCAGTTTCTCTTTTTGAGGTGTGCCGATTTGCGGTTCTAATTTTGCCAGTTCGTCAGCCTGTTCATTTACTTCAATCACCTATACAACTACTTAAAGATGTTTTCCCATTAGTTTTTAATTCCTGGCTTGTACAAGGATCATTGTTGAATTTAAACACAGGAATAAACAAGCTCAAGGTTTTGTTGCATAAATACCCCCATTGTGCCTTATTTAAGGTTGCATTGTTTTCTTTTCAAATTTTTTTTTTCCTTTTGTGGAATATGTTTAATTGGATCGAATTGTAGAAAAATTGCAAAAGACAAGGTAACTCATGTCAAATAAACCTCCTATCAGCCTTGGTTGTTTGTTTACATTGTTAATCGGTCGTGATCTAGCTTTGCCATCCTAGTTTATTTATAAAATAACAGCGTGCTGCTTGTTTCATTCAATTAAAATGCACAAGCAACCTATTAACTATAATACGTCTTGTTGCTTTTGGTGTGCCTATCCTCGGGGGTTATAGATCTGTCAGACCGTCTTCGGCTTTTGACCATCTACATTTATTCGTTGGTTTTTTCTTGTTCTTACTCTCCTTATTTAATGACATCCCAAAACAATGAGGCTAAGTCGTTCACATTCGTTTTTTATCTGCTACGGTGTCATAGTCACATATCCCAAGTACTTCAGAGTTCAGATACCCCCTACAGGCAGTATTCTTATGGTCATCTGACCGCTAAAACAACTCCAAAAATAAAAATACAAATAGAAATGATGATGGTGGGGTGAGTGCGGTGTTCAGTCCTTTTTAAAAAGATAGTTCCATAGTAAGTTGTTTTTAACCATCCGGGTTTCAAGCTTCTTAGCTCATCATCAGGTTGTAGAACTCCTTCAACCTGATGATGAGCTAAGATTCTTGAAATCCGGATCGATAAAAACAACTTACTGTGAGTAGGAACTACTAAAAAAAAAAAAAGGATTAAAAATACAAAGTCGAGTTCAAGGTCTAAGCAGACCAAAATGATCGTAAACGGTCACCGGGCTATTGATCTGTGAGGTCTGCGGGCCGACCTCTTCTTATTTCCTGATTAACCAGATCTGACAGAGCAAGAAAACCAAAATAGGCGGACCTCTTCTTATTTCCTGACTAACCAGATCTGACAGAGCAAGAAAACCAAAATAGGCGGACCTCTTCTTATTTCCTGACTAATCAGATCTGACAGAGCAAAACAGCGAGACTAGGCGGACCTCTTCTTATTTCCTGACTAACCAGATCTAAAGATCAAAACAGCGAGACTACGTGGACCTCTTCTTAATAGAAATTATGAATGCTGGAGTGGGTGTGGAGTTAAAAAGGATTGACCTCTTCTTATTTCCTGACTAACCAGATCTAAAGATCAAAACAGCAAGACTAGGCGAACCTCTGGCGAGGCCAGAAGGCCGAATTAAATCTTTCATTTACATGTGATGAAAGTCTGAGAGAACTTTTCCGTGAGCAAATATATTGATCATCAATCTTGATTCAATCTACAGCTTTAATTAGTTTTCTATTTCTATCTCCCATTAAGGGAAGATAAGAACGCTTTATTCAGACTATCACACTCATCATTCAACATGTATTAAATGAGAAATAATCAAACCAGCAAGAACATGCACACCCAAATTTTTTCATGATATTTCGGTGGTGAAGTTTTAAAGAAGAGCAGCTGAAGTTTCTAATTCTGGAGTAAGCATGTGCAATGTTGTGGACCTTTACATCTGATCCAGCATACACCCCTAATTTCGCTTCTTCAGATTGCCTCTTATACTGGACCAGAGTTCACTTATTTTCGACCAATTACGACTGCAGATGGTTAAAAAAACCTGTTTTTCGTCTCAAAAGACAAAAGGCATGGGGGGGGGATTCAAAATATGTTTAATTTCAAACATTAGGAAATTACAGACAAATAAATAATATGTTGTGTACTAATAATAAAGAGTTATTAGTTGAGAATGACCAGAATTGTTCAACAACTCTGGCCAACAACAAAAACCAACCAAGGCTTTTACATAATTAATTCGTAACAATCTCATGAAGTTATCTAACTTATCTCTTAACTGTAATTCTGGGAAATGTGACTAGCTGGGCTTTCAAGAGTGAAAACACGTTCTAAATGAGAAGAAACAAAAAGAGATATGAGTAGGCATGAGAAGACACTCAAAACTAAACAATTGACCATTTTTCTTGGTTCAAAACAATTTTTATACCATTTGATAAAATAAGCATTTGACATGATTAAAAAAAAGCTTTAAATTTTTTTAAAAAATAAATTTGAGAAGACAGTCAAACATTTGACAATTTTTCTAGATTGCCAACAGATCTTTATCTATGTGAAGTATCGTTTTCCCATTAGGGAAAGTAAGCATTCTCTTTATGATTCTGAAGTCACTCAAACCAAACATTTGACCAAGTTTTCTCGATTCCCAACAGGTTTTAATCTACGTGAAGTACCATTTTCCCATTAGGTAAAGTAAGCATTTTCTTTATGATTCTGAAAGACACTCAAACTTCACATTTGACAATATTTTTCGGTTGTCAACAGATCGTTATCCCATTTGGTTAAAGGCACTCAAATTAAACGTTTGTCCAATTTTTCTCAATTACTGACACTTCTTTATCCCATTTGGTCAAGATACCCAAATTTCACATTTGACAATTTTTCTCGATTCTTTGGTTAAAGACACTCAAACTCATCATTTCACCAAATTTTCTCGATTCCTGACAAATCTTTATCCCATTTAGTTAAAGACACTCAAACTTCACATTTGACTATTTTTCTCGATTCCCAACAGATATTTATTTCATTTGGTCGAATATGTACCCCTTACTATGCTGAAAGACACTTAAACTAAATTTGACCGTTTTTCTCGATTCAAAATATATTTTTACCCTATTAGGTAAAATAAGCATTCCTTACTATGCTGAAAGACACTCGCGATATTGTTAAACACTGATATGCACAAGCCTATACTTGAGGGGGAAGACACTCAAAGTAAATATTTGACCATGTTGTGTCAAAACAAATTTTGACGCCATTTATTAAAGTAAGCATTCTAACGAATCTGAAAGACACTCAAAATTTACATTTGGACATTTTTTCGATTACACATAGATCTTTATCTATTTGAAGTATCATTTTCCCATTAGAAAAAGTAATAAGTAAATATTCCTGACAGTTTTCACAGGCACTCAAACTACACATTTACCGATTTCCCTGAATTGTATCGCTGTCGCAGACGTGCAAGGTAACGTTAAAAACTGAATTTGAATATAATAGGAGGGTTTTTTAAATTTGCTCTTTTGTTTTTATTTGGTGTCACCATTTGTATCCAATTCGTATATTATTTTATGTATGTTTTATATTTTATAAGTTATTCGATACAAATTCATCGCTCTTCGATGTAAAATATCACCAGACTAAGGTAATATTAAAAGTCCTGTTCAAATTATAAATTTAGAAATTCAAAAGGGCCTGGTTTTACTGGCTCCCTCCGAGAACACACGTGTACTATTTGTTATTTGTGTCTGTGCGAGGGTCGTCGTCCTTTCTCCCATAAAAAAGGGTGAAAAAAAAGGGCCGATATTTCACCTGAAATACAGCAATAAAACAATATCACACATATAGTAAAAACCCTTATCGCCGCTTTTAAAGATAAAATCAATCGGCCAAGATGACGGGAAAAAACCCGCAAAGTTTAATCTATCTATTGTGTACATTCTTAAAATGTTTGTGTGGAAAATAAATTCCAAAATGATTGAAAGTAAATAGATGAAAAATAGTGAAGAGGAAGTGGTAAAGGAAGCTTGCCAGACTTCGGGTTGAGGCCCAACAAAGTTTAAAAATAAACCCCTTCGAACTTCTTCATTTAATTAATTGACAATATATTTTACAACTGTAAAAAAGTCTACTTGTTATTGTATTTTAAATTATTTTACGTTAAGGCTGGTTTAAGTTTAAATTTTTTTGTCTAAACTTTTAATTAGGTAAGGAAGGCAAAGTGTTAACGCAGGACTCTTGTCAGGAGCGGGATTGTATTTAAAAAAAAAAAAAAGAAAAGAAAAAATTGGAAATGACTAAAAATTCGATGGGATAAAAAATCGGGTTTACCTGGGCCCAAATCCTCGCGAACGTGCAGCGCGCACAGAACGCTATGCGCTATGTCGAAATAAGGAAACATTTTCAGTTTCGTGACTTGGTTCGCGATGTCGAGGATTGCCTCGGCGTCCATGGCGAAGTCGTTTTTGTTCGTAAAAGGGGTCGGAAAAATTTGAAAGAAGAAAAAATGAAAAAATTAAAACTAAACGATAATTGGAGTGAGGAGGTGCGGTCCTCCCGAACCCTGAGAACGACTGAAACTGAGTGTGAAATGTGAATGGGTTTCTGATTATATCCCCACTCGGTTGCTCGATACCGGGCCAGTGTTGACTTTCACCGATCCAAAAATTATTATTTTTTTTAAACAGTCTCACTTTGCAAATTATACCATAAACTTAAAAAAATAATTCTAATTATATACGAAGGTTTTAGACAAGTATTGCAACAGGATATCATCTGTTCAGTTTGACTGTCTCCTTATGCTTACAACATAGGCACATGAGTATTTAATGTTATATTGAGTGTCTCATAATTTTATGGCATGCTTACATAATCATATGGGACAAATATCAAGAAAAAACCCAAATGTTTAGTTTGTCTTCCTATACTTAGGCCTACTCGTATTTTTTTTTGTTGACTAAATTAAATTTTCTTATTTTGGATAATGCACATACATTTTTAACATTACCTTGAGTGTCTGCTCAGATGTGGCCACTAACTCATACAATAAAACGATTCTTTTGTGATTTAAGAATAATCATAAAATAGTAATTGGAGTAATTCTCCTCTTTGACATATGTCAATCGCCAAATCAGTTTTTAATATTATCTTGAGTGTTTCTCACAATAGTATAGAATGTTAACTTTACCTAATGTAAAAGTTATACTTTAAAACAATCAAAAAACTGTCGTGAATCAAGAATAATGGTCAAAAATTTAGTTGTCTGCCTCAAATTTAAGCTTATACATTTTTAGTGTCTTTCAGAATCATAAAGAATGCTTACTTGACCAAATGGGATAAAATTCTGATTGGAATCGAAGTTCAAGTGTCCTTCAGTATTATAAAGAATGCTTGTTTACTTTACTTAATGGGAAAATGATACTTCACGTAGATAAGATCTGTTAGGAATCGAGAAAAATGGTCAAATGTTTAGTTTGTCTTCTCAAATTTAAGCTTATGCATTTTTTTGTGTCCTTTAAAATTATGAGGCTTACTTACTCTATGTAATGAAAAAGTTATACTTCAAATTAATAAAAAATCTCTTTGGAATCAAGAGAAACTGTCTAATGTTTAGTTTAAGTGTCTCCCCATACTTAGGGCTATTTATATTTGTTTTAACATTATCTTGAGTGTCTTTCAGAATTGTACGGTTTGCCTACTTTACCTAATGAAAAAGTTATATTTCAAATCAATAAAAAAAATCTGGTATCAAGAAAAACTGTTAAATGTTTAATTTGATTAATATACTTAAGCCTACCCATATAATTTTTTTACTAAATTAAATTAACTTAATTTTGGCTATAAATAAATTTTTAACATTACCTTGAGTGTTCGTTCACATAAGCCCAATGCAATACTACAGCTCATACAGTAAAATTAATCGTTTACAATCTACGTTGATAATCATGAGTTGTGTAATTGCAGTTTCTCTTTTTTGACTTATGGCAACCGCATAGGCGAGTTTGAGTTTTTAATGTTATCTTGAGTGTATCAAAATCACATGAAATGTTTACTTTATCTAATGTTAAAGTTATACTTCAAATCGATGAAAAATCTGTTGGGAATCATGAAAAATGGTCAAATGTTTACTTTAAATGTCTGTCAAAATCGAAAGGAAATTTTACTTAATATCTTACTTATCTAGATCTATCTATTATTGGTCAAATAATAGGGGTAAAAGAGGTGGCCACATGGCCTTCTGCATCTCGACCGGAGTAGATCTAATTACTTGTTTTTTTCTTTATTTTCTTCTTCTTCTTCATAGCAGTATCTGAACAGTGTTTCTTCTGTGATAAAAATCTGTTGGAATTAAGATAAATCAAATGTTTAGTATGTCTTCCCTTTAATTTAAACTTATGTTTATCTGTTTTTAAGATTATCGTGAGTATTTGTGTTAGGCTCTGAGGTGATCACTGTGATACAACTTGTACAATAAAATTAAATATATCAGGAGGTGTAGTTTGAACGTCTATGAAAACCGTAAGGAACTACTTTACCAAAATGGATACAAATCTGTTTGGAATAAAGATAAATGGTCAAATGTTTAGTTTGAGTATCTTCCCATCAACTTAGGCCTACACATATTAATTTTTTAATGTAATCTTGAGTACCTTTCAGAATTGTATGTAATACTTACTTGACCAAATGATAATATGTTCCAAATCAACCGGGACTATACACCTGTTGATTACTTTTACGTATACAGTTAGCTCTGTGCCCTTTTTCATACTGCAACCATCAATCCTAGGATTCTGATTTATATTAGGTTTACTGGTAAGGAGGAAGAAAAAAAAAGGAAAAAAGCACCCGTGTGCACTGCTTTACGGTCTTTTAAAAAACTTATTCACTAACCGTAACCTTAACACAACAAAAAAGCCTGCTTAGCGAGTCAACCCTTGGCCTTCCTCCAATTATCCAAATGAACTTATCCTCACTTATCTGTGACCCCATAATCGTGAAAATCGCATGTTCATTTTCTTGCTTCATCCTGGCAGGCTAGTTTTGCATTATCTGTCAACCGTTCCACAAAGCAGACAACTAGACAATGGCTTAAAATGTCTGCGTTTTTTTCACTCAAGAAGGTCGTATATTTTATCTAAAACATGATAGAAGAGCATTCTAGAGTCAGAACGATTTTATGTAGTTCAGCTTGATTTACAGCATATTTATAAAAGTTATAGTAGAAATGTAGCAAGGGTAAGGCAAGACCTAAGACCCTGCCCACCTAGCTGAGTTCTTAATCACGTAATGTTAGAATTTTTGTTTTTTTACCTCTTCTTCTAGTATACTTCGCTCTTCCTTATTTCTTGTACAACAGATTTTTTCTACTAACAGACACGCAATACGGAGGCCTAGGTAAAAAAAAGTTGTTTAATAGATTAAAATAATTTATTAACAGTAGTTAAGATAATTTTAGTTGAAAAGATCAAAAATATATTGGAAACAATAAAAAAAAGACATTTTTTTGCTGTTTAAACAAAAGATAACAAAAACCTTATTTAGATAGTGCTTAATATGTAAAACCATCAAAATTATAGCTTCTTTCAAAATGAAGGGTAAAATGTACAATACAATTTGAATAAAATTAATTGAAAAGCTCTTGCTCGCTACAAAACAAGCTTTAGAGATTTGCCCAAAAATATTAATAATCACTGTTAATTCTATCGAATAAATTTAATGTCTAATTTTAGTCGCACAAATCATCTAGGATTTTTGAAATTTAACATGTGACAACTACAGTCTAATCTTTAGTAAAGGTCTGTCAACATTTTTGGCAAAAATATAGATCCTTGTATATTAATTATATACAATCATGAATTTAATTACACTATCTCTATACGAAGAAATAAATCTACTGTAAATTAAAAATTCACATTTTTTAAAATTAACATAGAATTCTTTTCTTAAGCAGCAATAAAATTACATTCACTGCCCTGCTAATGTTTTAAATAATGGATTTTTTTCTCTAATAGGGTGTTGTATCATCTTAAAATTCCTCCATTATGATTAGAATTCTTTATCATCAATGTGGTGAGAGCTTTAATAAATAACTGCATTCTATGACTTATGATTTAAATGAATCTGATGAAAATTACAACCTTAATTAGGAATTTTGTAAAGTAAATATATCATAAAAATAATTATTAATGTGTAAAAGCAATTGTGTTTTCAACTCATATATTTTATCATGTTATTAACAGAATTGTAATTATCATCAATTCTTATGTTTCGCATCCAAAGAGAAGTTGGAACAATATTCTCATTAGAAGATTTTTTTTGTTACTAACAAAATAAAAAGATGAACTAAAACAAAACACTTTTATACAATCACTGAAATTCTTTTCATAAATCGTCGGGTTCGTTCAATCCTAACAGTTCTTCTGCGATCGGCAAGGGTGTATTTAGTTCGGAAATCTCAGGCAACGGAGTGTTTAAATCGGGCAAATTAGCGTCGAGTTCCGGCACAACAGGGTCGTCAGGCCCGTTCTCATCCCCAGGGTTTAATTCGTTTACCATATCAAATAAAATCGGTGTATAAGGAACAATTTCTGTACCATTATCATCTGAGCCTGTAAAACATCATGTACACAGTGGAAAACAGGTATTAGTTTCCAATATAATATACTGTAGGGAAATTATTAAAAAATACATCGCTGTAACAAAAAAATAAAAAAGTGTATGTACAATTCTGATAGAAAACAAAATCATACATTTCACGTGGAGTTTGGAAAGTACATAAGAAAACTAATGAAAGAAATTTATAAATATGAAAAATACAAAGTTCAAAAACATTCAAAATCACATGTCTTATTTGAACAATTACTATTTACTAAATCATCCACTCCATTCTGTCTCCTGCCACACCGTCCTCTTTATCACTTTTGAAATTGATTAAAAATAAATTACAAAAGTCACGGTCCTAATAACTGTAAATATATAATTAAGGGTGAACAATTTAACATGTTAACTGTGTAAGACACAACATGTGCATCATGCTGTTCTGGGTGCGGTGGATGGTCTGCGTCTACTTTTTACACTCTCCCTTCACTTCAGCCGCTAGACAATTCTGTTCAAAATTCCTAGGGATGCCTCAGAAAGGGTAAAATTGTCACTGGCTATGGTTGTTTCAATTTTTTTCAACTGGAAGTGGTTGATTTATATTTATTCTGTGAAAACCACATAAATTGTGTTTCTGTGTGTTTTATTATTTATCATTTACCCATTTTTTTATGATTATGTAAAATTATTGTAGAAAGTAGAAGTGACTTTTATTGAACTACAAATCCATATTGAACAAACTGTGGCAGACACAATTGTTAAGTCATAATTTATATTACTAAGACAAACGTAATAAAAATAAAAAATCATTTAGATTATATTTAATACCAAAGAGCTTATGTTACGTGGTAAATTGGGTTCTGCCATGGGCAACCAAAAGGCTAAGTATATGACATAGTTAACATGTTAATTGACAAATTTTAAACATAAAAACCATGTACAGTTGAACTTCCCAGAAGCCGAATTAGATGTTGTCTGCTTATTAAAGAGGCCTATATATAGATACATTAAATTACATAAAGTGTATATATGGGCAATAATTTTCTCATTCTTGTTGGATTGTACATTTCAACGGTTTCTCTGACACTTTTTTTCCCTCATTCATCTCTGAATCGATTTGTCCCAATCACAATCTGAAAACTGATTGGAAAGCTTCAAAGGTGTAAGTAAGAGAAGGCTGTTTTTATTTTCTTAATGACCTTTTTGCATATTAGCTTGAGGAAATGTGATTGATATATGCGTATTTTTTGGGATGAAAAGTACCTTGAAAAAAAGGCCAGGGTATTACCTTGAAATAAAGGGGTCTACGAGCCAAGGCTCATATTGGCCACTCGGCTACCGTGGACCCCCAAGAAGGGTGTTTAATGTGAGAATTCCCAAAGCATTACTGTTTGCAACTAACACTAGGATTTGTCATTTGTGGAACCCAGAGTCGTTTTTCTTTTTTCTGGTTGGCTATAAGAAATTTTTTCATGCAAAACATCTAAAAAATGTAGTGTTTGTTTATTAGAAGATACTTTTCTTAATAACTAGTTGTCTGGGTGCTCAGACATGTAGGTCTAGAGGGTAATGAAAAGGCAGATGAGGTGGCTAAGGCCAGAACATCCCAACCTCTGATTCTATAAATGTATTAAAAAACATGATTGTGTCGGGCTGGATTGACAGAAAAGCTCTAGCATATCATAAGCACTGTCAATAGGTAGCACTTGGACCTGATTCATAGAAGAAGGGTCATCGTAACCTGATAAAGGATAGGCCATGCGAGGTTTACACAATTTTTGGGCCAAAGCCAGTGTATGTGTCCAGCATGCAGAGAAAGATTGCTCAATGTGTCTCACTTAATCAAAGGGTGTCTTTTGTTCCTAGAGAACGTATAGGAATGAGAATTGTGCTTAAGCACGACAGTGAGTATTTGGGTCCTCTATTCAGATTCTCAGAGGAATTGGCTGTTTTATTGTATTACTGATAATTTTGTATCTCTAGTTGGTTGTGTTGAGAGTGAATGTATTTATGGCATGAATGTGTAGTGTGAGAGGGCTGATGGCAGTATATTGAGTACTCCATGAACTCTCAATTAAGTTAGTTATATGGTGTAAAGCTTAATATCAAGTACTCTACCACCCTGAATGAATAGTATGTAAATTAGCTGTTGATAGCCACTGTAGCCTGACATCAGTGACTGGATAGGTAAATAGAGGTCTAACCCCAGACTGCCAACACTAGGGATGACAACAATATATCGATATATCATTATATATCAATATATTTCTACATATATCGAGTATATTTTTTATCGTTATATTTGAGTATAAATACTTGAAATATATTGATATATTCGTTGAAATGTACCATTATGTTAGTTTTTATTTACGAAAAAATTAATTTACAAAAATTGACTAAATTTTTCTTATTTATTATGGGATAAATAATTTTAAAAAATATCCCTGTCAGTGCGTAAAATTGGATTAGAGATTGCTGTTTGGTATGAGACATCGATATATGTATATCATTTTAATTGTGTCTAAATCATGGTCTGTGGGTAAACTTATCATTCTGCCTTTTGTGTTGGCATCGGCATCTGTATCTATGTTTCTGAGCACAATTTTCAAATACATACCTTCCCCGAGAAAAAGTCAAAAAAAGGGTTGTTTGGAAATATTTTAATACACCGGAAAAGAAAAAACAAGTGGCAACTTGTAAAACATGCTTTTTTATTACTACTTAATAAGAATTAAATAATTATTCATGACCATGAGTAAATTTTTACCATTACTAATATCGTTCTTTTCTTCCAGTTGGGCTAGCTCATATGGATATTATAAAATAGTCATAATGATCTTAAAATTAAATATATCAATATGTCGATATATTTTTCACAACCGGTGAAACCGAAATATAGATTAAAGATTACCATCCCTAGCCAACACACGGGTTGGGTGATTCTCAAGGCCTGCTGGTAATTTATTGTAAATTACAAAAGTTGGAATGTAGGTGGACTGCAAGCAGTTATAAACTCAACTCTGTACACGCTTGCAGATGGGCAGATTTGAGCTTATATAAATCAGTAACCAGTCTGATTATTTAAAGTACACATTTGGAGAAGTTCGACTGTACTTCAAATTAAAGTTAATATCGTGGGACTGTTAACATAGTGTTATCTTTGTATCATTAAGTTTTGTACCTATGTAACAAAAACTTAGTAATAAAATTTATTAAAAACAATTACCTAAGGATAATTTGCCACTCCATCCTTCTCCGCCATCCATTGTGTTGTCCAGTGACATCCCATCTTCGACATTAAATAGCTAAAGAAATAATTGTATGACCACTTAACTGTAAAATTAATTTGTATAAATTTTACCATTTTACTTACACCCATTATTGTGTTAGCGTCAAAACTTAGGTTTTCGCTTTTCAATATATCTTTCAGAGCATCTAGATCTGACTGTATCCCTTCTAAATGTGATCCCATATCAGAACTGCAAACAATTAAGAAAAGAGGGAAACAATTAATTCCAGTTGCAAAATGCATGTTTAAATGAATTTTGAATTTTTTGACTTACGCGTTATCTAACTTTTGCGGATCTTGTTGCTCAACTTCTGTGTCCAAACGAGCACATATGGTTGACAGGGGTGACAATTGGACACTAAAACACATTTCAAGTCAATATTTATAAAAANAAAAAAAAAAAAAAAAAAAAAAAAAAAAACAGCCTGTAAATTTAGACTTACTCGGACTGTGGTTCGTTCAATTGTGCAGAATTCCCTTTATCTTCTAATAAACCGTCGTTACTATTAGGTGAATTAATGATCATTCCACCAGGTGATGTCACAACAGGGAACGTTGGTGAGGAATCCAAATCAAATCTACAACGTTAAATTTCATAAATATTTTTTGACGTAATTGTTAATAAGCAGACAGTTTTACCCCCTAGAATTACCCGTTTCTTCAAGAAATTGGACCAAACGACACTGTGTTAGAGTACAATTCTCATATTGGGTGGCATTCCTACTCACTCCCTATATGGAGCCAATGAATGACATCCTTCAATTAAGTGGGACACATTTAGCAATCTTTCTCTGCATGCCTGACACCTACATGAGCTTTCACCCAAAATTAAGTGTCCGTTGTCAACCTCATATGGCCAATTCGGAGTTGGATTAGGATGATTATTCTTCAGCGGTTTAGATTCTCTGGGGGCCAACCAATCATGCTCTTGATGCACAAAAGTTTCTCGATGGACCCAGTTCACTGATACTTCCACTTTCCTTTACCATATTCTTTAGTGTTAGTGTCAGTTTGTAAGATTAGGTCTGGGGTGTGAGCTATCCTGGCTTTCGCCCCATCGCCTGCACATTGCCACAGACCAGGTACCAGCAGACTGTGAGATAGGAATCCCAGTTAATGCCAACCGTACCTGCTATACCGATGGCTCCAAAACAAGGGTCAAGAGCTGGTATTTACGCAAACAAACCATGGATTAGAATTAATATAAGCTCTGGGCAATATGCCATCCTTTCAAACGGAAACTGTAGGTATTGAACAAGGTGCTAAGGAGATATTAAAAGGCTAGGTATTGTTAAAAGAAGAATAGCCATCCACTCAGTCAGTCAGGCGGTCCTGGGGGCAATTATGATCCGATGACTCCCAAATATACATATCCTTCCACCCTTCCGATCTTCACTCGGCTATTCTCAAGATCCAAAAAGACCTAAACTCCATCAACGAATGGGCCCATAAAAATTCCCTAGTCCTCAATCCGTCCAAATCCACCGCCATAATTATCGGGTCCAGGCAAATCCTCAATTCCCTCCCCAGCATCTCTCTCATGCTAAATAACCATCCCATCCCCTTCTGCTCCTCGGTTAAAAACCTAGGAGTAGTCTTTGACCAAAACCTTTCCTGGCATTCTCACATTTCCCAAATTTCCCGCCATTCCATTGCCTCCCTCAGCCTGTTTAGTCGGTCCTGGCTTCTCTTACCTTTCTCCACCAGCAAACTCCTTGTATCTACCCTTATACTTCCCTTCTTCGATTATAGCTGTGTGACATACGGTGGTCTCTCGGAGGGGGGGGGAATGCGCAATTGAAGCGTATTATGAATTGTTGTGTAAGATTTGTGTACGGCATCCCACGGGGATCCCGGGTGTCGGGGTTGTATTCCCAACTTTCCTGGCTATTCCCCTCCTTCCGTGCACATTATTTCCTAGGTTGCTTTCTTTTCCAGTCCATCCACACTCGTCGTCCTCCTTACATCATCCAATCCCTCCAATTCAACTCCTCACATCTCACTCGTAAGACCCGCTCATCCCCAATCGACCTTATCCTTCCACAACATACAACCCATACCTTCGAAAGATCCTTTCTGATCCGAGCCCCTAAACTCTGGAACTCCCTTCCCCTTTCTATTCGTCACGCTGCCTACTTTTCCTCCTTTAAATCCCACCTGTATAATCACCTCCTCTCCCTCCAAGCAGAGACCTCACGTTAACATTTGTTATTTTTGTTTCATATTCTCATAATTTTGTCTTCTGGCCTGCCTTAATGGTATACTTTGTGCCAAGATTCCTATCTTTTATTACTTTTAACTTCATAGAATTTAGAATAGAAGGAACTTCCTTTATTTATTTCAAGTAAATTATTCTTAGGGGACACCAGTCCCAGAATAAAGTTATTTTTCTTCTTCTTCAATTATCGGTGGTAAAATCCAGATTCATTTGGGATTGCCGTTAGGGCCTGGTCATACAAAATTAGGTACACAGGGCAATGAAGAGGCTGATAAATTGGCCAATGAAAGTTCGATGAGGGCACTTACTGGCCCTAAACCCTTTTGTGGCATACCAAGCTGCCAAAAGCGTGGATGGAGACAATGGATAAAAAAATAAGTCCTCCGTTCAATGGGAGTGCAGCCCAGGACAGAGGCATGCCAAAAAGTTCATCAAATGGTCATCGCAGAAACTAACAGACGAGTTAGGACTAGAATAATAGTAGGACTGCTAACTGGACACTGCAGATTCCGGAGGCATATAGACTTGGAGTGACAGAGCCAAGTGCAGTTGCTGGAAAGAAGAAGAAGCAGAAGAACCAGTCCTCTGGTGGAGCAAAGTCTTATACAAGCTGAGATTCTTATTCCTGGGAGAGGAAAAGCCCAGGCCAGAAGGATACAACTGGAGTCCTTGAAAAAGCTTAGGGATCTTGTAAAAAGCCTTAAGCTCTTGATAACAATGGAGATGCACAATAGAACTGTACTGGTAATGGTGCACAGATCGTAAAGAAGCTGGCTCCTACTTATAATCTAATCTAATACAGATTACCAGACACCCCTACCAATTTTCCAAGACTCTCCAACTCAGCATATCTTTCAAACAAAAGCACTACAGGAGTCAGTGCACATGAGCACGAATCCTCCCCGGAGTCCAATAGCGACTGAAATGCGGGGGTAGCAGTGGAGCCGCTGTACATGGAGCAAGCCACATCTTCTCTGATCAGACTGGCGAAACTAGGGTACCTTGATCTGAGGACCTTAGGAAGGGTCGCTTTGGCCAGGGCTGCCAGATTGTCAAGGACAAGTACGACTGGAACATCTCAGGCAGTGGAATCGACTAGTTTCCCAGCTCTAGTACTGTTCCCAGTGTCATTCCAACCTGCCTGAGAATCCAAGAGGTTGCGTCTATGAATGATGTTGACCATAAATATATTCTATTTTTTTTTTTTTTTTTTTTTGCCAAGTAAAGGAGTAAACGTTATATAAACACTAAAACTAAATAATTTTATAAACAAATAACTCTGCTCAATTTTGCATACCCTGTTATATCATTTATATCCAATTGTACTTGCTCATCTGTAAAACATGGTCCTGTTGTTTTAGCTTTCTTCGGTTTGACGACAGTTGCAACAGGGGTCTTTCGCTTGGCACCAGGCTTAACAGCTTGAATACTCAATTTTGGTCTGCAATACAATAGAAAAACTATAAAACACTAAGACATTTATTTAAAAGTAAAGTATACAACTTTACTAAAGTATTATAATAATTCAACCTTTCTAATGTTGAATAGATGGACGGCTGAAATCCATCATTTTTAGCTGTTTTCTGTAACTTGTCAATGTTATTGCTAAATCTTGAAGGTAGACTACTAAAATAAAACAAAAAACTTCATGTGAAGTAAAAGGGAATTTTCTAGTTAATATTACTGTCAGTCACCAATTTTTTGAACGGTTTGCAATTTCAATTCATGCGATGATTGCTTAGATTTTTGTTAGTATGTAACAATAGAAAAAACTTAATTATAAAATGGTACATACCAATCTCCTTTAATTTACAAATGAGTGATTACATGTGTACATTGCAAGGTGCTTTTGTTTAAAATTAATTTCTTAAATCTATATTTGTTATTTTTCTCTTTGTATGCATGTTTAAGAAGTAATAAACTTTTATGCATGTGCAAATTAAAGTTAAATTAAGGCAAGTGAACGGCAAAATAATCCTCCCCTGAACAAAGACAAAAATACAACGAAGCTTCTATACATAATTAGTGCAACTTTATTGTACATAAAGCATGAGAGGTGTCCCTCTGCAATTGTGTTCATAATTTATTTCAAATCAAAATTCCTTTGATTTTGAGGCAGATCACCGGTCTCAAGGGGGTTAATCAAACCTTAAAAGACGAAATATTCTCATTCCTTAAAGGACCCACAACAAACAACAAACATTAAATTTGATTAAAATGATTTCTCAAAAACTAACTTAGTTGTGCCAAATAATCAGTTTAAAAAAACGCTATTAACTAATGCTGATAATAAATGAAAGATAAAAACTTCCAAAATATAATCATGTTTCCATTGAAGAAAATGAATAATATTGTTTTAAGAAATGGATAGATTAAAAGGAATTTGAGATAAGGGTCTTAAACTCGAAATGGAAAAAATAAAATTGATATAAATAAACTGATGAATTTATATATCCTGTTATTAAGTAAGTAAAGTGAAGTACAAGAGCTTAATTGTCAAACTACCCATTGGGTGTTGTGGACGAGGAGTCAAACCACTTTACAATACATTTTTCTATATTTTAATCTATTAAAAAACCTTGGGCTCTACTGGTATTTGGACCCAGAACCGCTAGCATGCTACGAGTCAGATGCCCTAGCCACTGGCCCACCGCTGTCCTCTAAATGTCGTTATTATATTAAGACTAGATTAAAATCAAATTAAAGATTGAAACAAAAAATATTAAGGGTACTAAAATTAATTTTATCAATAGCCTGAGCCAAGTCGGCAGCAAAAACAAGTTCTACATTTCAATCAATATAGAAAAAAACGATAATTTATTTTTTTTAAATATATTTGATATCAGCAATATCTAAATATACAAGAAATATAAAACCTCAGATAAGAAATTCTATAAGTGGTTGGAGAAAAATATGCTGGCTGAATGCCACATCGTAATGACTTGATGCAAATGACTTGTTAGCGCTGCTTATTTAGTTTTAGTAAAATCAAGCAAAAGAAAACTAGCTGTGTCAAAATAACCTGATAAGCTTTTAACTATAGCAATTAATTAAATATATAAAGGGTATTTTTTTAACAACTATTTGTTTACCGAAATCATTGATATCGGTTCATTTAATACTATAGATTTCAGTTTTGTCTATTGCATATGAAAGTGAACTTCAATTTGACATAGCTAATTTCTTATTACCAAAGAAAGCAAAATAAATATATTAATTAATTTTTAAAAAATACTCACGCTAAAAGTTCAGCTATATTGATGTTTGTTGAATCCTTCATTGGTCCTAAATGATCTACTTCACATATTGTAGGTTTGGCATTATCTCCAAAACCTCGAGCCTTATATAATATTACCAAATTAAAATTTTTCTCACGTATGTATACAAATGTATTCATCAGATTACAATATGATACAACTGTAAACTGAGCAATAATATTCTGATGTACCTACTTTTATAGCTTTAAGACCATCGACAGGTTGAATAATGTTATCTTTTAGCATGAGGGGTATTCCTCCTCTAATATTTATTCCTCTGACAAGGGACACCAAGAATTGAACAAGCTAAAACGATAAAGAGTCTACATCAGGCCAATGTCAACAGCAAAAAAAGTATATACAAAATGGTTTGTTACAATTTATCCTTATTTAAGGAAAAAGTTAAATATTCGCATAAAAATAAAAATTAAATCATACCTTGTTAACGATTTTTTGTTGAGTGTGGTGTTTTTTCTTCATGACAGCGTGCTCACGCCACAATGCATCATTCTCGTTTTTCATGGCGATAAGTTTACTTTCCACTAACTCTTGCTTTGTTTGTAATTGCTGTACCTCTTTGACAAGCTTTGTTAAAATATTGTGATCACCTTTAAACTCGGAGACTTCCTTTGAGTTTGAAAGCTAAACAAATAAAACAAAAATTTATTATTTTATAACAAACTTTTTTTATATTTATAATTTACCTTGCGCTTGATTTGAGAGAGTAAGCCAGGATAATTCTTAACGAAATGAGGATGAATGAATTCCAGATCCTGTTTATCAACTGCGCTTTTTAATGAAAGCGAATCAGCAGATATCACCTTGTGAAAGTCGTCTACAATAAACAGCAACGATATAAGGGTACTATTATACAGAAAAATAGCGTAAACGTAATACCAGACATACATTTATTAAGCTGCCTGATAAAACTTGACATGTTGTTGTGCTTGTAATATCTAGGCAACAATTCAGAACAAAACCTCTGTTCATTTTTAATTACAAAACTTGTGTCTTCCTGAAAAAAGAAACATATAGAAATAATATTAATTAGCCATGTATGTTTTTGTGAAAGGTCACTTTGAAAATTCAAAGTGATGAACATTTTTAACTTTACTGTCGTTTATTCTTCCCTTTTGTCCATATATATCTTTCAGCATTTTTCCATCTTTAGTGGGCCTTGTATTTGAGAATTATGTCCTTTTATAAGTTGTTATTATTATTTGATTACAAAATCTTCCAAACGAGTAAAGATGGTGAAATGTTGCATGGTATCTGGCAGATAAAACAAGACAGAAAAAACAACCCAGGATGGTCAGTGACAACCAAGCTCTTTTTATGTCCTGACCAACAGGTCTGACAGAGCAGAACAGTGAGCCTATGCAGACCTCTTATTATTTCCTGGCCAACCAGGTCCAACAGAGCAAAACAGCAAGACTAGATAGACCTTTTATTATTTTCAGATTAATCAGGGCTGACAGATCAAAATGGTGAGACTAGGCAGGCCGAAATGTTTTAAACAACCAGGTGACAAATCCTTCAGCTGGCAGACCCCAAGATGAAATCTAAAAAAAATTTTGTTGTGAGATTTCTTCTTGTGATCTGCAGAGTTGTAAACCTGTAATTTGATCACTACTGATCATTTTGGTCCGCCTATCTTCACTGGATTGTTCTGTCAGATGAGTCATCTTCAGTGGGTTTGTCAGCCTTTCATCATTCCTTGAACAACCAGGTCTAATGGGGCAAAACAGCAAGACTAGGCAATCCAAAATGACAGTAAGCAGCCAGGCTACAGATTCATCAGCCAGTAGAGCTCAAGAAGTTTGACAAATGTTTGTTGTTGTGAAATCTGTTATGTGGTCTAGGGGTGGTGATGAACCTCTGATAATCTTTCACCATTTTGTCATCTTCAGAGTTGGGTGTCACCAGCACAGCGAGGGCAAGCAGACAAATATTAGTAACGGCTAAATTACATAGGCATTGTTGTCAAGCATGATCAAAGTAAAAGCAACATGGTTTAAATTTAGCACCATAATTAATACTTCTGATTGCTATATATATTTCAATGGAATGTGAGAAAATAATCTGCACCCTACTAGAGTATAGTCTGATAAAAGAGGGAAAGGAAACCACAAACACGTGGGAAAAACTTTCACAAGTTGTGATAAAATGCTCAAGGAAAGTTATCAACTTATCACAAACTATACATAAAAAAAATCTTCCTTGGTAAATTTGGAAAGATTGTATTAATTAAATGTTGATGTTTAATGAAATTTTTATAGACACCTTTTTTGTTATATATATATATTTTTTTTTTTTTTTCTCTACCATCAACCAACTTGATTTACACAACTTCACTGTTTCCTTTGGATATGAAATTCATTCAGCTATTGTTATTAATTTCACGAGAATAACAAATTACTGAATGAAAATGACTGGTTTATTTAACATTTAATATCTCATGTCATTTCAAGATACACTCCCCATTTTTTGCAGTTTCTACATTTCCTAAAGGAAGATGTAACCCAACAATATTAAAAACTTGTTACATGAGAAATTTTTGAGGTTACCGACAATAATCAAAACTGTATGTTTGATCAATAGTGATCATATTGATCATCTGCCAATTTTTTTGTTCTACCACTTGGTTGTTTTTTTTTTGTTTGTTTAATTAAGTATACCAAAAAGTTATATAGAATATATATTATACATTGGCTTCAATCACCCTTTCCTAACATGCCCAATGTGGGCTGGAACTTAATTTTCACTGCAATAGGTGACAGTTTTTTTGTTCTTACACATGACCTGCCTCATCATTCCGCTGGTTGGAACAATTTCACTCTCTTAAGGTTAGCCGCATTGAACTTGTTTATAAAAGGTGTAAAATCCAATTTTAAACTTTGCTGGTTTTTTAAAATTTCTGCCGGAGTTGTTCGAGAGGCAACAGATTTCGATTCGCTAAGATTTTAAGTTTTGAGTGACACCAATCTCCTGCGATGGTTTGACCTAGAGGTAAAAGCTAATAGTGCTAAATACCTCTGGCAGTCAGGAAAATAGGGAATAAAGCTATCTTAAAATGGAGTTCAGATTTAAGAAATTTCCTTGGCTTTTTCATAACAGGGGAAAGCCATTAATAATAACAAGCCAAAAATTATTGTGCAGGGGGACATTTTCATCCCAAATTATAATTCTATCCAAAAATGGATAAGTTTTTACATGGAAAGCTAAGCGTCTTAAAGTTTTTTATCATGTTCAGGATGGATTAGGGCACATACCTTTTTATTTATTTGTGAATGCATCCATTGCTTTTATAAACCAACATCCTGCATTAGTTTCTTTCCATTCTTCACAATGGAAAGTTCAATAAAATAACAGGCAAAGTGTTACAAGTCTTTACCTGGTGGACTTGCAGCTGGGTCATTTACGATTTTGGCCTGCCTAGACTCATTGTTCTGTCAAACCTGGTTGATCAGGAAATAATTAGAAGAAGGCTGACAAACACACTGAAACGCATCGGACAGATCAATACAAAATGATTAGTAGTAATCAAATTACAAGTTCATAACCCAGCAGACCACAAGACAAAATCTCACAATTGTTTTCAGGTTTCAGCATGGGGCCTGCCAAATATCATGGGCTTGTAACTTGGTTGTTTAAGAACATTTTGGCCTCCCTAGTCTCTTGCTGTTTTGATCTGTCAGACCTAGTTGGCCAGGTGTTAAGCAGAAGTCCCCTTAGTATCGCTGTTCTGTTCTGTCAGTTCTGGTTGGCCATGAAATAAGAAGAGGTCCGCCTAGTCTCGCTGTTTTGCCCTGTCAGACCTAGTTGGCCAGGTGATAAGACGAGGTCTGCTTAATCTTGCTGTTCTGTTCTGTCAGACTTGGTTGGTCAGGACATAAGCAGAATAAGGATGACAAACTCAGTAAAGAAGGTGAAATGCCAAAACATGTCTCACAAACCAATTCAGTGATGAAAGACAGACAGAAATGATCAGTAGCAACCAAATTACAGTTTGAGAAGCATAAGCATTTTGTTGTGTTTTACTAGATCTGTTCATCAATACTCTTACTGATTGGACCCTAAGAATCACTTAATCAGACTCAGTCACTTTGTAAAACCAACAACTTGTAAAGCAAAATAGTGCAAATTTGGTATTCAATGTTTAATCAAGGTTGATAGTTTAATGACGTATAAAGAGTAAACATTAGTGTTTACAACTACTTTAAAAAATAGTTCTAACAGTTTGTTGTTTTCAACGATCTGGATTTCAAGCATTAAACGCTTATCATCAAGTTGGAGTTAGTACTTATTATCTAAAGTCTTGCTTGAGATGAAAAAGTTAGTCACGAGTGGTTGGTGTCCGGCTGGATAGAAGTCGCAATAGCTCAAGTGGTTAGAGCAGCAGTGTATTGAACCGAAGGTCGTGGGTTCGAATCCCGCTCTTGGCATTAACTTTTTTTCTCAACCAAGACTTTAGATAAAAAGTATAATTAATTGAAATAATTAAACAGGTTAACTATGACTGCTAAACATATATGGATTAATATAATAATTAAAGAAGCAATCACTTAGCTAACATCTCCCCTTGGCTACTTCATAAGTCACTGAAAATCAAATCCTGATTATATGACATTTGAAAAATAACAAAAAAAAAGGGAAAATAAGGAAGGTTGTAGGTTGAGATGTGTAGCTGGTGTCCGGGTGGGTTGAAGTCACGATAGCTCAAGTGGTTAGAGCAGTGGCGCATTCCCCCCCGTGATTCTAACTTTTCCCTTTCAACCAAGACTTTGGATAAAAAGTACAATCAATTGAAATAACTAAACTGGTCAATGATGACCGCTAAACATATATGGGTTAAGACGTTATAAGGGTAACGTTGGTGTATGTAATGATGAGCATCTGATGATCTTTTAAAGTAGTTGAACAACATACTCCACCTCTATCATTTCTATTGGTGTTCATAATCCAACCAATGATAAAAACACTAAAGCCCAGAGAGAAATTTCAATTGGCAATTATTGTGTAATTCCAATCGAAAAGATGTAAATCTGTAAGACTTGTCAAATAGTCTTTAAAAATGACATATTTTTTAAATGAGGGTTCTTCTTGCCAGCAGATAGAGCTTCATAAGAACCTTGAAAGGAAATTTTTGATAGTATGTCGTTTAGCATTCGAGATAACGACGTCGAACAATGTTTATTAAGAGAGATTTTGAGTTTTATGAGTTGATAGTTGGTTTTTGTGGTTTTTAATATGAAAAATGAACAATTGGAAATGACTTTGGATTGAAGTCTTGTGACCCCAATGACACTGGTACTCACGAGTCGAAGGTATCAACAAGCGAGAATATTATTAAACCGACTCTTTAAATCAATACAAACCAATGGAAACTAAGTCGAAGATTTGAAACAATGTTTTATTGTTGTGCGTTGCAATGTAAAGTTTCAAATGAACCGTTTAACGCGAAGGTCAGCAAATAATACCAAATTGACCTGAGTTAAAAACAATGCAGACATGGGTGAAATTTTATATTTATGAATTTAATAAGGACAGATGACCTTTGTTTATGAGGAGATTTGATGATAAACTAGATAAATAGTCGGGTGAGGGTGTCAGAGGTCAATCGTACCAGGTGCCCGGGTACGATAACGACCGTGTTTACCGTACGTGTATTCGTGCTGTCAAACGTACCTGGCCCCAGCAGATGAGATCGTCGGTCGAACTGTCCGATACCATGTGCCAAAGTTTGGCTATGAAAGCCGGGATCGACGTGTCGAGGACGTCCGTATGAGAATTCATTTCACATTTATTCTTTTTGAAAACCCGACGAAAACAAACTCGGGTCTTGGAACGAAGTCCGCACTCTGACGAATCGGTTCTGGTAATGCTAATGCTATCGAATCGAAAGCAGACACTGGCCAGTATTTAGACAATAGAATTGGATTCCTGCTGCAGAACGTAACCTTCCCGGACCAATCGTTTCCAACTGGCTGGAGCAGGGGTACACGAGCATGACGTCATTCCTTTTCGTCCTCCCTTTTTTTAAATCATTACAGTTTTGATAACACAGAATCTAGTAGCATAGCACAACATAACACAAGTTATGCCAGTTAAGTGCAACTGTAATTAGTTAATGCAGTCCACTAACTACCCTTCATCAGAATTATAATTATTGATTTTGCCACTCCATAACAATAGAAATCACGAATGGTGGAGCGAATGCGGTGTTCAATCCTTTTTAAAAAGGATTGCTTGTATAATAATTTACAGAAAATGTAAGATAATCATTTATTAATAAATATCGCTATGTACACGTGACTCTATGTCAAGGATTTTGAGGCAGCTTTCGCTTAAGTCTTGGAGATTGGGATGTCGCGATTTAAGTGATTATTGGATTGACGTGTTCGGTCATCCTTGTGTTAAGTGCTCTATGGGCTTTTTCTGGCAATCTGCTCTACCATCGGGATTTCTAGATTTTGGTGCAGGGTGCTGTTGCGCACATACAACGGGGCTCCTGTGATGAGACGTTTTGTGTCACCTGTATTTTATTCAGGTGATTGCAGCCACTCCCCAGAGTTCACAGGAGTATGTCCATTAGTAACCATGGAGTAGGTCTAATTAGCGATAGATATAATAGTCGTTTAGTCCTCAAAGCGAGAGGAGATATGTTTTATAGCAGATGTCTCAGCTATCTTATTCTTCGGCGAACTTTAACAACCAGATACTTTATATGTTCAGCCCATGTCAAATTTAAGCCCAGGTTGTGTACACACACACACACACACAATATTTTTAATTTTAATCAAGGGATGATTAGATAAAGTTAAAAGTGTTGTGGAAAGCTGCCTAGGAGTCATGAAGATGGTTTATATAGAGTTATTTATTTTTATATTTTTTTAATCATTTAGTACTAACTAATAAACAATCCAAAATTATTACAAAATACCCAATAGCCTTTAGGTAAAGTTATGTACACAACAAACACATTTTTAGTACACTTAGTACAATTTTAACTTTTTAACAAACAATTTTAAAACAGATTGAAAAATGATGAATCTGTGGTTTGCTGTGAAGAACCACCAAATATTGCCGAAAAATCTTTTTCTAAAAAGAATACCAAGGTTAGTTGATTACATGTAATAACAATTATCTTATTTTGCATAAGAACAGAGAGTTTCTCAACACGCGCGCNAAAAGATGGCGGTGATATGACTGAAATGCACGATCCCGAAGGGAAGTTGTACAATGAGGAAACTGTAAAAATAAAATATATAATAATAATATGGATAAATGAGCATGTATTTGATTACAAATTTCTGGTGTTAAAACACTGTCTTTTTGAGTACTTGAAGCTTTTGGCGAAAATTCGACAAACATTTTCTCTGGAACACACTGAAATATGAAACAGTTTATAAATGGCTGGAATTTTTTTTGGGGGTCTTAATTGAGTTGATTACAGGGTGTGGATTTTCTAGAATATCTTGTTGTTTTGGAACCCTTGTTTCAGCTAAATCAGCATCTGAAAGTAGAAAACCATAAATAGCATTTTAAATCAATGCCTTCAAATATATTTATTATCCATTATCACTATGTTTATGTTAAAACAAATTAATTTAAATTGTGAGATTCTCCACCACAAAATTCTGGAGAGAATTAAAATATACAAAATAGCTATAACGGGCCTAACAAAATGAGAGAAAAATTCAACTTTGACAGATCATTTCAAGTGGTCATAGATAATAGAAATCAATGGAAGAAAGGTAGCTTCAAGTTTCTGCAAGGGGCTATAGCAAACAGATGGAGTGTTGATGAAACAGAGTGTAGGGATAAAAGGGCAGTACTATACCCTAGCAAGGCCCCTTGAACTGATCCCAGCAATTTTCCAATCTGAGATCCATATCACAACTCTGTAAGCAGAAGTAAATAAAGAAAAATATGAAAGGTTCACAGATTTATATACTCCCAGATTGTCAAGCATAAAGGCATTAAATGCTATTAGCTCCAAAAAAGTCTGGGAGTGCCTAAATTGCCTAATGGCTCAGGAAAGCACAACAAGATTACTTTAAAGATAAGTTTTGGGACATGAAGGTATAGAAGGAAATAAACAAGCTTACCAACTAGCCAAAAAAACAGGGGCAGCCCTCTCACTCATGCGTACACCTGAATGCTTAAGCTGGAACTGGAAAAATGGCTTGAGAAAGAAAAATTCAAGCACTGGACAAATGCAATAGGGATATAAAGCAACTGTGCTGCTTACAATGTAAATGTTAATAAGGTTTTTCCTTAATCAAAAAATACCTTTAGCTATTTTTGATGGCTTGGCTTTAAAGGTAACTTTTCTTTGTTGCTTAGATCTGCTCTTAACTAGAACTGAAGCTGGATTTCTCTTCTGCTGAATTATTTTCTTAGCTGACTTGACAGGTTTCACTTTCTGAACTGGTGCTTGTTCCTTAGAAGCTGGTTCCAACTCTTGAGAAATTGGTTTTTCTTGATGCTCTTCTGTCATTTGTGCTGGTTGCGATGTTTGGGCCTCATCAAATTTAGTCTCTACAGGCTCACAAACCTCTTCTTCTTTCGATAGTCCTCCGACTAAAGATTTTTTGTATTCTTTTACTTCAGGTTTTGAATGTGATGCATTTGAAGGTCTTGAGAAAGACTGCAATTATGTGTGATTATTTGTACAAACATAATAACAATACAACTTACCAAGAAAATCCCCAGACGTTCTTTTATAGAGGTGTACGCAATAGGACTTGCCAAAGAATGCATCTAAATATGGATTATATTGTTTATTGAATGACTTAAAATATATATTAAATTATGCTTTACAATATTTCCAACATGTGTTAATAATGGAGCTTTTTTCATTGTAGCAGTATGCTTATTTGTTGCCTGCTCCTTTTGCTCACGCAAATATTCTTGTTTTTTCTTTGACAGGATTAACATTTCTTCCTCCAGTTTTCTAAATAATCATTAATGTAGTTATTTTAAATATTTAACATGAATACAGAATTACTTATTAATTTCCATTTGTAAAATAACATTTCTAGTGGTCTTCTCTCTCAAAACCATGAGTTTAGCTAAGTCAACTATTTTGTTTCTAAATATAAGTTCTTTAAAATAAATAAATAAAAATTAAAAAAAGTAAAAGAAAATATTACAAATAATTGTAAATAAATAAATTTACCAGACATTTTTTTGAGTGTATCGACTTTTCTCTTGTACTGTTGTAACCTGTGTCGTTCTTGCTTCAGTTTAATAGCGTCTAGTTTTATCGACATTTCTCTACTGGTACGTTCATTGCTGGAACGCAGGCTTTTATATTTCGCCAAGTAAGAATCGCACACTTTACTATACTTCTCCATTATTTTATTCCTGTTATTTGCAATTGTTTTATAGTTGTCTTGAAACATGCTCAGCTGGTTTCGAAAATTCCACTGTAAATGTTCAAACATAGATTTCGACTGCTGAAGCCTAAAAGAAAGCAAACAAATAGTATACTTTTGACATTATTTTTTATTTTTTTAAACAACCCTTGAATATTTTTGATGGCCTTTATTTCTTGAGATTTGATATTTATCAGTTCATAATCAAGTTTGTTCACATCCACTTGGACTTTTCTGATCTCCTCACCTATTTTAATAATTTCTTGCCTTTTCACTATTCAAAAATACAGATTTAAAAAAATCAATACTGCATGCTTTCTAAATTTGACAATAGCTTTTCATTTTTTGTACTTATAATTTTCATTTTTATGGAAGACATCCGATTGTCTATCATTGTATTGACAACAACGAGCTCGTTGAGAGCTTCCATGCTTTCCAAACAGTCAGAGGCCATGTTGTATTTTTTCTTTCTCTAAAAAAAACACACATTTTGTAAAATATGACTACATGAGTCTGTGGGGTGATGAACCTGAAATTTCATAATTTTTTGTCTGAATATCCTTACTGAGTTGGTCTGTCAGACTTGTTTTGACATTTTGCCATCTTCAGTGGGTTTGTCACTCTTCAATCAATAAGGTCTGAAAGTGCAAAATTCCTTTTTCACAGCCAACCAGGTCTGTCAACTCAACCCAGTGAAGATAGACCAAATTTCAGATTTATAAAAATATTTATAGATAGATTATCATTAGAACATACATACAATGAAATACTCTAAATATATTCTTTAAATATAACTTTCATTATTCCATGCTGAATGTTTCTCATAACAAAATAAAAGTAAATAAGTAAGTAAGCATATCAAGAGCTTGGTTGATGTGTGGCCCTTGGAGGATCTGGATTGTACAACATCATCCTAAACTGATTAAAAATAAGCCATGCTAGGTTGACACTCAGAAGGATTCGCATAATTGAACGGTAATGTTGCCTCCATATAAAGAGTAGAAATTTCATCGTTGAGAATTGTGCTTGAGCTCAGTAATGAGTATTTCTCTCCCTAGTTACAGTTTTTGGAGAAACAGCTGTATGTAATAGTTGAGATTTTTTTTTTGGTGTATAATGAAAAAAAGTAAAGTTAAGTAATTCCTGTCCAACTAACCACTGACGAGTGGTCAAACCACTTTACAATATATTTTTCATACCATTATCAATTAAAAAGCTATGGGATTCAAACCCAAAACCATTAGTGTGGTACGAGTCACAGACCCTAAACACTGACCAGTGTGGTTCCCTGATTGATTGTATTTATTAGCAAAGATGTGTAGTGTGAAAGGGCTGATAGTTATTATTATTAGGAATATTAACTACCCCATTGAACCTCAATTAAATTAGTATGTGTAAACTATGATGGAATAATATCAAGTATCATATTTGAGTGAAATAATGTGTGGAAGTGTCCTCGTAGCAGGATGGACCCCAGGCCGCCAAAACACCATCTTGTGAATATTATTATGAATGATTTGTACATCTGCATAATGGAGCTTATATCAATCCAATGGAGCTAGTTTATTTTGCTACCTACGATTAAAACCTAAAAGAAAAAGAAAAAAACATGCATGCACTTTCACAAAGATGTACACGTTATATTTGCCACTATAATAGAAAAAGAAAAGAAAACAGGCAGGGACATTCAAAAAGATGTAAGCATTACAATTGTCACTTGAAAAGGAAAACAAAACACAGGCAGGGACATTCACAAAAATGTTCAGATTATAACTGTCACTATATAACAAAAATCAATAATAATAATAATAATAAATAAACAGGCAGGGACATTCACAAAAATGTTCAGATTATAACTGTCACTATATAACAAAAATCAATAATAATAATAATAATAAATAAACAGGCAGGGACATTCACAAAGATATACAGGTTATGTCACTACGGATAAACTATTCTTATCTTTTTCTTGATTTTTATTGAGATGGAATATTAATATGAAACTTGTTTTTAAAAATTCTAGTAATGATAATAAATCTTATCAAACGATTTTTCTTTGTTTATTATCAATTTGATTATTAATTTACAATCTCGCCTGTTGGACAACAGATGACCATAAAACGTCTCATTTTTTTAAAATTTATTTTTTGTTTTATTGAAATTTTATCTCCAGATTAACACGGTCATAATTAAACAATGAAATATGTTGTTAAATTTAAACAAAAAGCGGAAAATACCTAAGAGCAGCAAGATAATCCGCAAAAGACCTGATAGGTTGAGAGAAAGGTTACAAATACAAATTGAACTGTTTAAGATCTGATTTTTTTATATATATATACAATAAATTGCAAATATTTAGTTTTTTATTTAAAAAAACGGATTCTACTATTTATAATAAAGAAATATGAATAAAGAGATTAATATTTATATTGTATTATCCAACTATTGGTCTCTCTCTACTTTAGAGTCTTCATAATTTAAAAAAACAAGAATTCAAATTATTTAAACTTGGCGGCAAAACGACACTTTTTAAAAATATAAACCTTAAAAAATTTAATATTCAACCTGTTGCCTTGGTTTCGATTTTTAGTGAGTTTTAAAGAATAATTTACGTGTTAGAGCGATGAAATTTTTTGTACAGTGTTAATCGCTTCAAAAGTCTGCAATAACAGTTATGGAAATTATGGGAGGGAACGGTGATTTTTTTAAAACTTAATTTTCTATACTTTTACTCTTTCTTTTTACATTATAAATAATGTTACGATAGTTATTTAAAGAATATCTTAAGGGGGGGAGGGATTTCCAGGATTATTTCTGTCTGGAGTGAGAAAAGTGGGCCAAGTCAGAAATTGTGGACATCGTGTCGACCACGTGGGAACAAAAAAAATCACTCCACAAGACGTAGAGGGAATATCGGAAAATTCGTGAAAAATTCTCTCAGATACTCTTTATTGGCCGAAAATGTAAACATTTGAAAGCGATTTTCCCAAAAATTGGTCAAGCGGACCACGAAAAATAGTGAATTTCCCAGAAATTTTCTACATTTGGACTTGGCCTGCTTTTCAAAGTGACCACAGAAATTGTCTCTCTCATTATGAATATAACAAATTATAAATATTCTATTTTTCGGTATATTTTAATCAAAAATGAATTTTAAGTTATATTCTAATGCAGTTTCAAACTTCAACTTTATGAGGGAAAAATTGATCTTTTTCTCTTAGCCTTGATGTTTATGGTTTTCATGTCTCAATATTTAATTTGTTTATATGTCGTCTTTTCTTAGTTTCATTGGGTGTACCTTAAGGTTTCCTCCTTACCACTCCGTTTTTACTTTTCAGTTATTATTGACTCTCCTCAGCACCAGGCGGATAATTTTGACATTCCTCGCTACAAAACAACATACAAACTGGCTGATCTCTTACTTTTCCATGCTGATTTGTTCGGTATAAATTTTGTACCTCATTGGACATACCTCAAAGTTCTCTCCTCAGCCCTCTCTTCTTAATTTTCATAAAAGACATAGCCCATTCTCTCAAGCCAACCTTTATGTTTGCAGACATTAAATATAAAATATTTAATAGTACTACTTGACTTGTCTCAACATTTCAGAACACATACACTTTACAACTAATAAAGTCTCAGTGTTTCGTAAGAGACTTTAAAAATATTGCAATTGATAGGCCAATAGTTGAATATGCTTGGTCTCCTTATTATCGGTCCCACATTAATTTATTAGAAAGAGAAAATAGATTCTGTCGGTTATTATTGGCTCTCTGTACCTCCTCAACACCAGACTCATATCTATGACCTTCCTTGCCGTAAACCAACATATAAGCTAGTCAATCTCTTACTTAATAGAAACGTGTGGTATGTTTTAGAAGGTAGTTTTTACTCACAGTAAGTAAGAACTATCTTTTAAAGTAATCTCTTACTTTTCGATACTGATTTGTTCAATATAAATTTTGCACAGTTTATTGAAGTTTTATCTCCTCCTGAGACATTATTCCTTACCAGGTACTCTCTTTGATCTTCCTTATATCAATCAATAACTTCTGATTCATCCAAATCAATACAACTTTCTCTTAATTTCTTGTGTTATATGTAAAACTCTTAGCTGTGATATTTTTCATATTATGTTTATGTATGTAAATATTTTCATGTTGTATACTAGATTAATGTGAATCTTTTTTTTTTGGGGGGGGGGAGTTGATCATGCTAGAGAAATAAATGAAGAGGCATCCGTGGATTTGTTTAATTTTTAGCTTTTTAATACTTAAATATTGTCTACAAGATAATAAAAAATATTTAACCGTATAAATTAGATGTCGGTAAAGGCCAACAGAGGGAAATTAAACCTTGCGAAAAGTAGAGCAAAACTGTCTATGACAACAAACAGTCAACTGTCATCTTACCTACTCGTGTAACAGAATAAGTTGATAATTGATATCCCAAGAATAAAATACCCTGTATTTGACACGATGTACTATTGATTTATTTTTTGACAAGGGAAAACGTTATTATGAACGATATTATGGATTCAGAAAGCGAAAACTTGCCACAAGAAAATAAATTAGGTAAAAGACAAAATAAACAGTAATTCAGTTGATGTTAGCACTGTTTTTGTTCCTCTGTTTAGTTTCCTGTTTTAATTTTTGCCGCACTTTAAGTTTAATTTTCGTTCTTTTTAGAAACCATTATAAAAACAGTCCTGTAGTTTTGATCTCAAGGCTTGATTTGGATGTATTTAATCCAACCAAGCACAGAGAAAGTAATTTTGTTTAAAACAGATAGTAAGAATAATTTGTTTGTTCACTCTCAAATCCCCTCTGTTGCACAGACATTTTAGTATGATCCACTTATCTTAGCTCTATCATAAAAACGTTTTACCATCTTTGTCAGATGGCTTTATTAAAATGTAATGTTAGTGATGAAATTTCATATCTATGGCAATTTTAGTAATGGTTATATGTTGGATGATCTTCGTTTTCATTGGATGACTTCAAATAAACCAGAAGAAAATACTCAGTATCAAAAATTTCTATCATTGGAAACTTTGTCAGATGCCTTTATTAAAATGTAAAGTTAATGATGAAATTTCATATCCACGGCCATTTTAGTAATGGTTATAGTTTGGATGATCTTCGTTTTCATTGGATGACTTCAAATAAACCAGAAGAAAATACTCAGTATCAAAAATTTCTACTATCGGAAACTGTTAACATCTTTGTCAGATGCCTTTATGAAAATGTAAAGTTAATGATGAAATTTCATACCCACGGCCTTTTTATTAATGGTTGATCTTCATTTTCATTGGTTGAATTCAAATAAACCAGAAGAAAATACTCTGTATTAAAAATTTCTACCATCAGAAACTTAACATCTTTGTCAGATGCCTTTATTAAAATGTAAAGTTAATGATGAAATTTCATACCCACGGGCTTTTTAGTAATGGCTGGAGGTAGGTTGATCTTCGTTTTCATTGGTTGAATTCAAATAAACCAGAAGAAAATAGTATTAAAAATTTCTACCATCGGAAACTTTGTTAACATCTTTGCCAGATGGCTTTATTAAAACGTAATGTTAGTGATGAAATTTCATATCCATGGCCTTTTTAGTTAGTAATGGTTGTAGGTTGGTTAATCTTCGTTTTCATTGGATGACTTCAAATAAACCAGAAGAATATACTCATAATTAAAAAATTTCTACCATCGGGAACTTTGTTAACATCCTTTTTAGTAATGATTGTAGGTAGGTTGATCTTCGTTTTCATTGGATGACTTCAAATAAACCAGAAGAATATACTCATAATTACAAAATTTCTACCATCAGAAACTTTGTTAACATCTTTGTCAGATGGTTTTATTAAAACGTAAAGTTAATGATGAAGTTTCATATCCACGGCCTTTTTAATAATGATGGAGGTAGGTTGATCTTCGTTTTCATTGGTTGAATTCAAATAAACCAGAAGAAAATACTTAGTATTAAAAATTTCTACCATTGGAACCTATTCTTGTCCTGAATCCTTCTGTGGTATCAGGATCCATGGTATCAAGAGTATCTCAGAAAAGAATGTAATTTTACTTACTGGAAAAACCCTCATGGGATTTGGAAAGAAAATACAGAATACATCAAATGATGCAGAGATGTAGATGTATTAGTTGGGGTGTATAATATACTACGCCCTTTAAAAGCTGTTGTATCCCCTGTTCTGTGCCTACAGCACATCGGTGGGTCGTATTTCATCAAAGAATTTGATTAGTAAGCTCGGTTTCAGTGACTGAATTTGTTCTACAGGAAAATTGTACATCCCAAAGCACTTAATCCTGCAGAATAGTGTAGCACCAAAGTTTGTTATTAGGCGTGTTGGTGTCTCCTCTGCTTCTTGGCAGAATCTGCATGTCCCGTGTTGGGTTATGCCAATCTTCTTTAAATGTCCGTATAGTTTGCAGCATCCTGTTAAGAATCCTGCTTGGATTCACAGTTTTTTCCTGCTTCCCTTGATACATTCTATCACTTCTTTCCTGACAAAATTTGTTAGGAGGTTCTTGGATTGTTTCTGTCCAATGTGTGAGTTCCAGTGTTCCCTTATTTTCTTTTTATCCTTCTGTCTGAGGTATTCGTTGATCGTGTGGGTTCCTTTCCTACAGAAGGGTTCGGGTCCTATCAGCGGTATAGCAGCCCCTTTTCTTGCAAGGGTGTTCGCTTTCTCATTGCCTTGTACTCCCATATGTCCTGGAATCCAGCAGAGTTTAACTTCGTTCTGCATACCTAATGTGCTTTATTTGGGTGTTTTAGTTCAACACCATCTTTGAAATAATGATTTTTTGAACTTAGTGCTTTGATGGCTGCTTGGGTATCTGACATGATAGCTACATTCTTGTTTTTGTACCCTTTATTCAAATTAAATTGAGTACATCTCTCGATTGCGTAGACCTCAGCTTGGAAGATACTGGTGTATTTTCTCATGGGCTCTGAGTATTTGGTTCCAGGACCGAATACTCCTACGCCTGCACCTTCTTGTGTTCTAAATCTATCTGTGCAACAATGAATGAGTACCATAGGAGGTGTTTTCCTCTCGTTTCCATTAGTTTTTGTTACTTATATTACATAAGTTTGTACCTAAGTTGGATACAAAATCTGTCATAGGGCACAATATGCCAAATCACACCAAATTTGACATATAATAGGTATGTGGTCATAGTTGATCCAGCTTACAGCTGTATATCTGGTTGATTTTCATTGACACATTTGTAAAAAAAGGTCAAATTGTGTATATAAGTATGATGTCGTTTATATCTTATCTTATTTGAAAACCCACTGGTCATTTATTAGACTCATTATGTCTCTAACATCGCTGTACTTTGTTTTGTTCTTACGACAAAGTTGTGACTTTGCGTTTCATCATTTGGTTATATTCAATGTTGGGTCTGAACTTTTCCATTCACTGCAAGGACAGTATGATCGAAATGATCTAACCGACCAAATTACCGGTTCATCATCTCACAGACAACATGGAGAAATCTCACAGCCCTAACACCTAAGATGACCAAAAATGATTGGTAAAAAAACAAATTTCAGGTTCCTCCCCTACAACCAACACAGAGAATCTTACAAAAATAACTGTTATATAATCGGGAAATATGGTTCTGACAAATCACAAAAAGACCATTGACACAATTTCATCAAAACTGAAAATATATTCCATATTGTGAATGAAAGGACTGATTATAACCAAAATTGTTTCTACAAAACACCAAAATTATCCGCATTCTTACTTTTTGGGTCTTTAAAGACACCCCAACCTCCAAATCTGACTACTGCTATCTTGCACAGTGCTAAAACTGAAATATAAAAATAATTAAAAAGGTAATGACAGTGTTGGTGTTTTGGCAGAGAAGCTACTACATATCAAGAGCTTGGTCAATGTGTGGACTTCGGAAGATCTGAATTGTACAAGCCTGATTAAAGACTCACAGTGTAAAGAATGGTTGCTCAATGTGTCCTACTTGATTTGAAATTTGTCCTTTGCTCCATGCTTAGAGCAAGTAGGTTTGATTGAGATATTTTTTATTTTGAAAAGAAAACACATACAGGACAAATGCCAGCCTAAATAAAAATTGTACTCGAGGTTTTGGGTCTTCTGTTCTGATTTCTGTAGGAAACAAGAACCATTTACCAACAAACAAGGATACTTTACTATAGTACTTGACAATTTATTTTAATATTGAGAATGTTTAATGTGAGAAGGCTGGTGGTGGAAAATTGACAAACCCCATTGACCCTCCATTAGATTATTACAATTCTTTTTTTTAAATCCAGGGTTGGCGTTAAAATGTTGAATTGGAAAAAAACAAAATCGTCGAGATTAGTGATTTATTTATTTCTTTTGCCTTTGCATTATGGCCTGGATGATACAAAAATGGCAATGGTATCCAGCTCAAAACCATATCAATGTCAAAAAAAGAAATAAAAAGAGATAAATCATAACTTTTATTATTATTAGTATTGTCTTGCTTTAGTTATATATTTAACAAAAATATTTTCCTATGTATAATAAGTTGTTTTAGCTCAAAACCATATTTTAGTTCAAATGGTCATTAACTAAAATACCATCAGGCAGTTTAATCGTTAAAAAGTACTATTTCAGTAGAAAACATAACTATTTAAGATATTTTTTATGTATGAATAATATTGTTTTAACAATTATTTTCTTTCTAGTCACTGAGGAAGAACTACTTAAACGCCCATACATTACACCCGAAGATGTTTTGATGCTCCCTTCTATAACACTAGGTACTATAGTTATAGTTTTCATTAATCCTACACAAACTTATTTTTAAATAAGTACTTTTCAGGTTATTTATGTGCACCAGAAGCAAATATTTATGACATAGAATTTTTGAGATTCAAAATCCGTGACATGGACAGTGGAGTTGTGTTATTTGAAATCTCTAAGCCAGGTTTGTTGTAAAGATTTAATTTCTTAATTCATTTTAACTTTAGCTTTAGGCACGTTAAAATGCCAGTTTTATTTACTAAGTAAATAATTTCTCTAATTTGTCATGTATCATCCTGTTCTTTGTACCTCATTGCTAAACCGTTGCAAAGTCTGCAAAGTTTTAATATCTCATGTTTTAATTTGAATATTTCAATAATTTGTAATTTGGTTAAAATCTGACAGAGTGAAACAGTGAGGATTGGCAGACTTTGGTCAAATTGTCGGATTTCATCTTGAGATCTGCTGGATGATGGATGTAGCCTGCTTGTTTTAGATTATAGCCCGTCTTGTCTGGATGTTTTGCTCTTTTAAACGGTAAATAAGAAGTGAAGACAAGGCAAACACATTGAAGATGGGAAAAAGCTGAAACACATTTGACAGACCTAATCAGTGAGGATAGGCAGACAAAAATGACCAGTAATGACCAGATCACAGGTTCATCACCTCACAGATGGAAGACTCTCCCAACAACAAAAAAAGTGTTAAATTCCTTCTTGAGATGGACCTGTAGCCCTGACATTTACCATCATATTGGCCAGTGTAGTCTTGATCTTTGGCTCTTTCAGACCTGATTGGTGAAGAAATAAGAAGTGAGGACAAGATAAACTCACTGAAAAGGGCGAAAATCCGAAATTCATTTGACAGACTTAACCAAGAAGGATAGGCAGACCAAATTACAAGTTCATCACCCACAGTCCACATAGAGAAATCTCACAATTTAAAAATCATCATTGTTTGGTTCTTACTTAAGCGCACTAATACTTTTCTTGCTTATTTAATTATTGCAGACAAATTTGTATGTTAATACTTATGCATATTATTTTTTTAAATAAAAAATTTAATAGGAAGAGTACTTGAAGGCTTGCCTTCTGTTGGTACAAGTGGAAGTAGATACGTTCGTTACCAATTCACACCACACTTTTTGGAGTTAAAAACCGTCGGCGCCACGTAAATATATCGTCTTGGAGATGTGCAGCTATAGGGATTTGATATTTTCCCAATTTTATTATGTTTCAGTATAGAATTTAGAGTTGGTAGCCGGCCAATAACAAATTTTCGAATGATTGAACGCCACTACTTCAGAGACAGGCTGCTGGAAAGTTTTGATTTTGAATTTGGCTTCTGCATACCCAACAGCTGCAACTCATGTGAACATATATATAAATTTCCCCATTTACCACCTCACCTGAGTAAATAATTTTATTTGCTTACATTTTCCTTCGAGTGTTAAATTTATGTTTTTTTTTGTTTTTGCTTTTTTCAGTTAAAGAGATGATTAAAAATCCTTATGAAACTCGCTCAGACAGCTTTTACTTTGTGAATAATCAGCTGATCATGCACAATAAGGCTGACTACGCTTACACCGCAGTCCCAGAGCATCCTTGAATCTAGCGATTATTCTTATGTTTTACTTTGTTCAATGAGTTAGTTTGTAATAAATACAAAAACAAACAAAAAATGGTTTCATGTTAAATATATATTTTTACGGAGAGCTCATTTGTTAACACGCGTATAAATTATTTCACATTAGCGTTAAACTTACAAATTCTGTTCTGAAGACACTTTAACACCTAACACATTTGAATACACACTGAATTTTGTTATATTTAATAGACTTTCTTCTCTCAGACAAAAACACTTGCAAAATACCAATTCATGCACGGACTATCTCATTCGCTCACTTAAATTTATCAAATAATGTTGTATACAATAAATATATTTTGTAAATAATGATTATTCGGAGATCGTGAGATGCGGTCTGGTGTGACATGGGTTTTAGAAAAGCATTTTCTTTATTGTGCCAACGTTTTGATCTTTATTGAGATCATCTTCAGGGCTCAAAGTGTTTGTTTTCTGCGTAATTGTGCCATTCTTGTGTGTTGTGTTGAGAGGGCCATGACACACAAGAATGGCACAATTACGCAGAAAACAAACACTTTGAGCCCTGAAGATGATCTCAATAAAGATCAAAACGTTGGCACGATAAAGAAAATGTTTTTCTAAAACCCATCTCACACCAGACCGCATCTCACGATCTCCGAATAATCATCGACTAACAGTCACTAATCACCACACATTTGTAAATAACGATTGAAGAACAAATGTTTTATCAATTTCTAAAAATTTATAATATATTAATTCATTTATATTAACCATAAGGCTATTTATTAATTCCAAATATTTAAGAGAATTTTTTTTTTACAAAAGACTTTTATATATATTGTAATGCCTTGAAAACAATGCGTAAATTTTAAAAGAAACTAATTTAAATTCAAATCTGTTGGCCTTTCTTTGTTATAAAATAATTGTTGATTGAAAAATATATATATTGTCTATTCTTCTGAATTTTAATTATCTACTGAACATCTCTCATACTGTGTGAAAGTTAAATATGCCTCAAATGATCACACATCGAGAGCCAAACGGATTTAAAGAAATATTAGTTATTTTTACCTCCTAGTAAAAAATCTAATGTTGAATATATATCCAGGCTAGTGCCTCACATTCACAAATAATGTGTCTATCTTCTTCTTTAAGTGGTAGGTTAAGAAGGCAGTGACCAGTATAGTCTTACAATTTGGTTGAAAAAGAGAAATACCTTTAATACCTTTACCTTCTTTTTTGAGAAATTTATAAATCTCATTGCTTTCCTCATTCGTGGTGTTTTTGTCACTACTTGAGTTTTTTTCTCAAGACATTTTTCGAACTCCGATTTTAGCACCACAGTGTGGGTTGTGCTTCTGGTACCATTAGTGAAAGGACTACTACAAATTACAGGTTCATCCTCCAAATTACAGCTCCAGATGAAGACATCTCACAACAAAAAATCGTGGTCTGTTGGCTGGTTATTTATGATCATTTTGGTCCGCCTAGTTTTGGTTAGTCAGGAAATAAGAAGAGGTCCACCCGGTCTTGCTGTTTTGCTCCAACAGATCTGGTTGGTCAGGAACTAAGTAGAGGTCCATCTGGTCTCGCTGTTTTGCTCCATCAGACCTGGTTGATCAGCAAATAAGTAGAGGTCTGCCCAGTCCCCCTTTTTTGCTGCGCCAGACTTTGTTGGGTCTGGGAAGTAACCTTATCGTACTTTCCTAGGTTGTTACACAATTTAGGCATTCCCCTGACAAGTTTGGAACTACAAGCATTTAGTAGTGCCTTTACGCCTGACTGTTTGAAAGTATGTAATCTTTGCACATTGCATATTCTTTTTAAATTAACTGTTGTGTACAGAGTTGTATTGTACAGACCTCACCTTAGAAGTTTGTTGGGATAGTAAACAGAGTCTTAGTTGTGGTTCATGAGAGGGGTGCTTTTTTGGGCTAGTTCAACTTGTTCATTTTCTTCTATGCCTTCATTTACAGAATCCACCTTAAAGTAACCTTGTTGTGCTTCCCTAGGTGCATTTGGCAATTTAGGCAAACTAGTTTGTAGCTAAAAGCATAAGTGCTTTCAAAGTCTGACTGCCCAAAAGTATGTAATTGTGCACCTTTATGTTCTACTTTGTCAACTCCTGTATCATAGAGTTGGATTGCTTGAACCTCAGCTTAGAAGATTATTAGTAAACAAGTTTTACTAGGGTGTATGATGATGAAATGAAACTAGGAAGTGAGGGTTAATGTTTCTTTGTATCCCAAGTTATGTCTACATTAAGCGGTTGCTTCACATTCACAGATGATAAGGGGTTTTGCCAACATATAATTTATAAATCTCTTAGTTTGCCTCTTTCCCGGTGCATTTGTCCAGTACTTGAGTATTTCTTTCTCAAGCTAATTTTCTAGCTTTGACTTTTGCACCGTGGTGTGGGCTGTGGTTCTGGTTCCTCAGGTGAGAGGGTTACCCCTTTGGCTAGTTGGTCAGCCTGTTCATATCTCTCTATACTTTCATGTCTGGGAAGTAACCTTATTTTACTTTCCTAGGTTCATACAAATTTAGCACCTTTATAGTCCGTCCGAAATCCAGGCATCTTTCATATTCTTTGTCAACTCCTGTAATTTGATTGCTTGAACCTCAGCTTAGATTCGGGTCCTATCAGCGGTGTGGCAGCCCCTTTCCTTGCAAGGGTGTCCGCTTTCTCATTGCCTTCTACTCCCATGTGTCCTGGGACCCAGCAGAGGCTGACTTTATTCTGCATACCTAGTGTGTTTAATTTGTTTTTGCAGTTCAGCACCATCCTTGAACTAATGATACTAGCTTAACTAACTAATGATAATAGCTTAGTGCTTTGATGGCTGCTTGACTATCTGACATGATAGCTATATTCTTGTTTTTGTATCCTTTACTTAGATTGAATTGGATACATCTTTCAATTACGTGAATCTCAGCTTGGAAGATACTGGTGTGTTTTCCCATGGGTTCTGAGTATTTGGTTCCAGGTCCAAATACTCCTGCCCCCGTACCTTCTTGTGTTCTAGATCCATCTGTGTACCAAAGGATGGTGCCATTTTTAAAGGAGTTATTTCCCTTTCCTTCCCATTCCTTTTTGGTGCCCAGATGTATTCGGAATTTTTGGTTAAATTCAAATATCCTGTTCATGTCATCTCTTGGAGCCATGAGTGATGGATGGTTTTTCCACAGTTTGTTTCTGTCTCTCCATTTCAGTTTATTCCTGTTGGAGGTTTCTCTCTGATAAATTTGATTATGGTTTTCTGTGCTGTCGTTTCTACCATGTGATGTAGGGGGATTAGTCCTAATATCTTTTCCATGCTAATTGTAGGACATGTTCTCATTGCTCCCGTTATGTATGCAAGTCTCTGTATTTTTGTGAGTTCTTTCCTTTTGGTTATTTGTTCTGCTTTATCAGCCCAGGATATAGCTCCGTATGTAAGTAAAGGTCTTACTATTATGGTGTACATCCATAACAGGGTTTCTGGCCTACATCCCCAGTTTCTTCCTGCTATTCTTCTGCACACCATCAAAGCTCGTGTCGCCTTTGTGATAATGGAGCTGATATGTTTCTTAAATGTTAATGTTTAATCTAGTGTGATGCCCACATATTTGACTTCATTTTTGATTTCTATCACAGTGTTGTTGAGTTTGATTTCTTTCATGTGATCTAGCTTCCTTTTCCGTGTAAAAGTGACTATAGTTATTTTGTTTGGATTAATCCCTTAGCCTGCGCTTTTACACTATTCTTCTGTGATTTTCAGTCCCTCTTGGATTATATCACAGAGGGTTTCCTCGAATTTTCCCCTGGCTGTCAGAACTATGTCATCTGCATATCCCTGACATTTTATTCCTGAACGGTCCAGGGTTTCGAGCAGTTCATCAACTGTTAGGCTCCATAGAAGAGGTGATAATATCCCTCCTTGAGGACATCCTTTTGTTGTTCTAACTTCTATAGTGTTTATTCCTACATTTGTTTCAGCTATTCTGGTTCTTAGCAGTCCTCCAATCCATCTAGATGTGGTTTGGTCTACATGTTTTTTCCCCAGTGAGGCTTCCATTGATGCATGAGATGCATTATCGAAAGCTCCCTCAATATCGAGGAATGCGGAGATTGCTATTTCCTTTGTTTCCTTTAGGTCACTGGTTAGTTGGTACAGTGCAGTTTCTGTTGATCTTCCTGCTCTGTATGCATGCTGACAGTAATGGAGAGGCTTGTTTACCAGTGCTGTCATTCTTATATAGTTGTCTATCAGCTTTTCAAGGGTCTTTAATAGAAAGGATGTTAAGATGATTGGACTGTAGGATTTGGGTGATGTGGGGTCTTTTTTCCCCACGTTTGGTATAATAACCACCCTTGCCCTACACCGTGTCTGTGGTATGTAACCTAGTGCTAAACTGCTTCTATATACTCGTAGCAATGTTGGAGTAATTATATCCATTCCTTTTTGTAACAGGATGGGAAAAATTCCATCCGTTCCTGGTGCTTTGTACGGGCTGAAAGTGTTAATCGCCCAGAGGATTTTCTTCTCTGTGATTATTTCAGCTGCTTTCTTCCAATTTTCTTTCTTGGGATTGTCTGCTCTCACATTTTCTGGCGAGATGTTGTAGGTACTTCCTGGAAAATGTGTACTTAGAAGGAGCATTGCTTTTTGTTGCATGTCTTCTGTATATTTGCCTTCTGCATTTCTTAAGGCAGTGTTTATGTCTGACCTGTCCTTTGCTAGTATCTTGTGCAATAGCTGCTGTGGATACTGTGGAGATTTCTCTGCAGAATTTGCGAAAATTCTCTCTTTTCGCCTTGCGGATGGCATGGTTATATGAAGTAAGTAACCTTTTATATTCTCCCATGATAAAATTAAATATATTATAATTATTTTGTGTTAAATGATTTTTACCTGCAGCAGTTGGTCTGATGATGAAATGATGATTAGGTAGCCTTTGGCATTCTTCCCATTTCAATTTTTTTTAAGAAGTAAAATTGACTGTTATCTTTTCACCAGATTATCTTGCCACTCTAGGCTATTTATTCAGATTTGAAGGTAATACGGGTGGCACTTCCTGTTCATTCCTTAACCTACAAATTAGGTCATTGTTGAAGAGATCTTTTTTTGTATTTGTACTATGATCAAACCTGATTTCGAAAGAAAAAGAATGATTAGGGTTTCAAATTGTTGCCCAAGCATAACTTTGCAGTATTATTTAAATTGTTAAATAACATTTCTAGGGTCATTTGAAAAATATGTACCGACACAAAGATATTTGGGAATGTTTATGGTCTATTGTGAGTATTTATTAGATTTTAATTTCATTTAAGTATAATAAATAACATTATTAGGTGAATGAAGCAATTAAATCGAATGCGACCAAAATTGTCATGAAATTGAATCAACAACTATCTGTAATTTGGGTAGAAGATGATGGAGATTGTTTCGATCAGATAAAGTTCAAATTTCTCAGAAACAGGCAATATTTTTTACGCTATTCTCTTAACTAGTAAAAATGAGTAATTAATTTGATTTTTTCAGGGAGATATTGCTGAACAATTTAAAATTCATATGCGAGATACTTGAGTTTCAATGCAGATGCGACAAAAAAGTTATTACCAGGGTAAACTGAAGTGTTTTTTTTAGTGTTTTTGATACGAAAGATTTTTTTTTTAGACTTTTATTAAAGGGAAAGAATGCAAAGGTGCATTTGATGTAATTAAGGAAGCGACAACGAAGAACACGCTTATAAAAATGAACGAATTGCTCCTAAGTAATACAAACGATCGTCAAGTCTATCTGCCTTTCATAATATTCTTTCTAAATGAAATGACTTACTTATACTTCACAGTAAGTTGTTTTTTAAACACTTCAAATAAAAATTTGAGTTTGAGGATACATTGAAGAAAATACATTTAGTTCTTTTTTTAGGTTGCATTTGAAGTATACCTCGGAGAAGAAAATATTCTCTTGTCTGAGAAACAAAGCACAAAATTGTTCTGTTTGATTGTCAAATCGTTGAATCTATATCCCATGTCTGTATGCTCTGGTAATTTTGAAATTTACGGTTTCATCGGTAACAACTGTGACTTGAGACACGAGCTGTTCATTATAAACGGGCGACAAACATTTGACAGCAACATACACTTGTGCTTTGGTAAAATAGTTGACGAAATTTTAACAAACGAAAAGAAAAATTGGCAAAATATGTGTGATTGCTGGGTTCATTCTATCAAAAATGTCGCATTAATTTACACTATAACGGTCGAGTGTCCGACAGAATGGGTGACATTTGAGACAAATGAAGACAAAGAAATAATCTTATTTAAAAATGATTTTTTTTTAAACGCATTGTACCAATTTATTAAAAATTACTGCATGGTTAAACACGTAATATAAATTACTTTTAATTTTTATAATATGTTTTAAGATTTTTTTTGGTAATTTCTTTAGAATGAGCATGTGTCACAGAGAAAATTGCAAAATGCTAACACAAATACGACTTTTGTGTTTTCGTGCAATTATAACAACTACTCAAGAGCAAGTCTGAAAAATTGTTTCGCACAAATTCCTCAAGAATTGTTAGAAATGCCTGAACAGTGTCAAATGGATACAATTGATGAAAGTTGTTTCGACAAAACTTTTGTCGACATAGGTATTAATTTCATAATTATATAAGTCATGTAATTAAAACACATTTTATATTCTAACACGAACTTCGATGATAAAATTTGCAAAAGAGCTTGTCAGCATTAAGATTCTTGAAGGAAATTAGAGCTCTGTACTGTAGTTGACTACTTACTTCCTTTACCTGCACATGCACTATTTAAATATTAATCTGGTATACCAAAGGTCCACATAAATAAACTATCCAAACATTAGGCAACATATAAAAGACTGGAGCAATGAAAGCAACCAATCAAGAGCACTAGAATCACTGTTAAAACTCCAATGGAAATATTTATACGGAGAAGGCAAATGAAAGCTCATTTTACACTCCAAAAACAATCAAATTAGATAGTAACAACAAATTTTGGGCACGCAATAATAATTAATAAAATCAGATGACCACTTTTGAATAAAAAACATGATTAAAAGAATGTGGCAGTATCGATGGGCCAGATTGGCAGAGAAGCTCTCATGAATCTATCGTTAACCTCGGAGGGCCTGACTCATAGAAGAAGGTTTAGGAACCCGATTAAGGATGAGGCATGCGAGGTTGACCTACAAATACTTACTTTTGAACCAAGGCTCCTGTCTACAGGCATGCAGATTGCTTGATATGTCTCACTTAATCAAAGTGGGTTTTTGGCTCCATATCGAGCCAATGAATGAATTATTATGCGTCTTAGGTCTTTCTTTACACACACAATTTAGGTTCTTCTCTCTCCTATCTTACGTAGATATGAAGAACAGGTTTGTGGTGATTTCAGCCCTTGTCTGAATACTTTATCTGACTTTTTCTATCCAATATTTGAAAAAATCTGTAAATGGTAATATATTGTTTTTGGATTGCACAAATACGTTGCTTCTTTAGCAATTTTATCAAATTTCTCATTACCATGTGGCCATTGATCACATCAGCTAAATTATGAACAAGCTTCTTAATTTCAACTACAATGTAGTGTTTCTTGATGGTAAATTCCAGAAAAATTTGATTTGCTTATAAACAAATTTAAACATAACTATATGAACAATTTTGCTTCTAATACCTGTGGTGGGAGATTCAGGCAGACAGGGTTATGGGGATGCCTGTTGATGCCATGAGAGACCTAGAGCGAGACTGGGATAAAAAGTGCTGACTATATCTGGAATACATCTCCAAAACTTAGTATGGGTCAGGAGCTTGTATTAATGGAAACCTAGGACCATACTTCATATATGCCTTGGGCAATATGGCACTGCCATGAAAGTGGCTATTGAATCCATTGTACTAAGTTGACAGCCAAGCAGCACTGGGGCAATTACCACATCGGTGGTAAAGTTCATAAAATGTTTGGGGATGCATCAAGGTGTGTACAGTTGCCAGGAAGAAGAAGTGGAATATATCCTCTGTAGGTGCGAAGGCTTATGCTAAGAGGAAACGTCTGGGCTTGAATGACACACACGGTAAATCTTGAAGAAGCATTGTGATCTGGTGAAAAGCCTTAAGCCTGAGCTCCAGACTAGACCAATACTTAAAAAGCTAGACTCCTTTTCTAATTTAATCTACTACTTGTAGCTATCTGCCGTGTAATTTTGTCATCTTCCTCTCAGAACTTCTCAGGTTTTGAGTGTTTTCTTCAGTCCTCAAGTGAAGTAAAATTTTTCTTATTAATGGATTTGCAGAGCGTAGAATAAGTGAAAATCTAGTCAAGTGAATATGTTGGGGTGGGGTAGCACATACCATCTGAGCTTGAACAATTTCTGACAGGTCTGCAAAGAGTTGTGGGCGAATGTTATACTTGTGATAGTCAATGCTCGTCATGAAGAAGCTCATAATAATCCCATGAAAACTTTCATTAAGGACCAAACTAGGTTTATTGCCAAGTAGACCTCACAATTTTTGGATGAAAGTGCAGTGAAAAATCAACAATAGTTTTTTTTAATACAGCCATTGACAAAGCCAAAACTAAATATTACTACACAAAAAACTATATTTTCAAAGAAAAAATGTCCCCTTTGCCTTCTGAAACATATTTGGATTAGTGAGACTCTACTGTATTGCATAAGTTTATATGATTACATAACTTTAGCTAAGACAAAATTAGGTTTAACTTATTTTACATAATTCTTTTGTAGATAAGCAAATTACAATAATTAACCAAAGCTTCCAAAATGAAGGTATAGTTTTTTCAAAAGAATTTTTCAAGCAGATTCAGGTATTGTAACCCTAGACGCCAGTCAAATACAATATTTTTTGGAACTGAATTTTTTTTTTTTTTAAAGATTGTCGGACAAATTGAAAATAAATTTATTGCTGCCATATATGTATCATTTTCAAATAATTATACTCCATATATTATTCTATTTGATCAGCATGCAGTCGATGAAAGAATTCAATTAGAGGCATTGATAAAAGGTGTTAAATTGTGTCGTATATTAAATTTATTTAAGTTAAAATATGGTATTTTCACTTTTCAGCGGAGGTCCATGAAAATGGGCAGTTTTATTCTACTTCTCTCGAATATCCAATTAGATTTGAAGTGTCAGGCGAAGAATTGCAAATATTGATTTCTATGTCATATCGTCTAAAGAATATTGGTTTCAATATTTGTGCTGATAAAGTTAATTCGATGCTGATTGTTTCATCAATACCGACACTCCTTTGCAAATATGTACTCTTGCTATAATTTTTCCTTCTTTGTATCAATCTTCTTCAATTGAATATTCCAGGTTAAATTAAATCAACAAATCAAAATGCCCGACGTTATTAGAGATGTTATGAAGAATGAGATGATCTTTTTTCAAGAAAATGGACGACTATCATCCACGTTTCCATTTACCTACCATAAAATACTCTGCAGAGAAGCTTGTAAACGTAAGAGATTGAGTAAACTTTATTCCTGAAGAAAAGATAAAGAGTTTTTCAGGAGCAATCAAATTTGGCCAACAATTGTTTAAAAACGAAATCGAACATTTGTTTAAAAGTTTGTCACAATGTCAAGCACCATTTCAATGTGCTCATGGGAGACCGATATTAACTGTCCTTTCTGAATTCATAGATCAAGAATCTAAGGTATTTTTTGAAATTTTTTAAAAACAAATTAAAAGGCAATCTTATCAGCCATTTTTTCAGATTGTGGCACCCAGTCTTCAAAACATTACACTTTCTCAATAAGCGGAAAAAATATAAATCTCAGGATAAAAGATAAATACAAAGGAGCAAACATTCTGATTAATGACAGCTATTTAATTTCTAAATTTTTCTCTAATTAATTTAAAAATTTTCATTCTTTTGTCTACAAATCACCTAAAGGAACAGCGTATTTTTTGTTAATAAATATTTATCTAAAATAATTTTGTTCCTTCATCTTCTAAATAAGTTAGTGCATGAATTCAAAAAATGTATATGCCTGAGTTCCTGGATGCTTAGGTCTAGACTGGAATGAAAAGATGATACTAGGCCTAGCTATGCGGCATAATACGAGGCGGCCTAGCCTTCCTAACTGATATACTAAGCCTGGCCCTAGCCATTCCTAACCTGATACTAGGCTTAGCCATTTCTAACCTGATACTAGGCCTAGCCATTCCTAACCTGATACTAGGCCTAGCCATTCCTAACTAATACTAGGCCTAGCCATTCCTAACTAATAATACTAGGTCTAGCCATTTCTAACCTGATACTAGGCCTAGCCATTCCTAACTAATAGGCCTAGCCATTTCTAACCTAATAATACTAGCCTTAGCCATTCCTAACCTGATACTAGGCCTAGCCATTCCTAACTAATACTAGGCCTAGCCATTTCTAACCTAACACTAGCCCTAGCCATTCCTAACCCGATACTATGCCTAGCAATTCCTATCTAATACTAGGCTTAGCCATTCCTATGTAATACTAGGCCTAGCCAATCCTAACCTGGTCCTAGGTTTCCAAATACCAGTTTCACTTGATACTCGTTTTGGAACCATCTGTATACCAAATATACTCAGCATTAACTAGGATCTTTTCTCCAAGTTTACTCTACAAAGTATTAGTCAAGATTAATATTTGTGTTAGCTCAGTTGAAGATAAAATAAAGAGGAGGTAAACCTGTCAATATGAAAAATACATATTAAATTAATCACACTTAAGCATTTTATTCTTCTTATAATACATTAAAAAATTTTTTACATAGGTACAGAAAACTTAAGTGTATAACAATACGACTAATAATAATAATTATATACCATTCCAAAGTGTTTCAATATTTGGCATCTGATCTTTGATTTCACAAAAACAAAATTAACACATTTACCAAAAACGAAATGTTAAGGAGGCTGTATATACAATTTCTACTCTAAGGTATATTTTTATTATTATTAGTTTCAATATTTGGTTCAATGAAAAGTCTACCAACATACTCAGAATCTAGTTTTAGAGTTAAAAAAACTTAAGCCTAATTTACATACAGACAATTTCAAATTACAATATTTACAATTTTGAAATAATTTTGAGAACAAAATATTTATCTATTTTTATTAAATATTGAATATTACGGAATGTAAGAACTGCACAGTATCACATCACATACAACTAATAAGTCCACATTTTAAACATGGTTTGTGATGGGGTTAGATTTTTTGAAAAATTATAAATGTGAAAGCCTTATAGTATCACAATACATGGAACTAAACCTCCACATTTCATTCCAGAGTTTTGATTCATTTTTATTTCTTCTTTTTTTAATATATTTATAATTACTATTATACCTATTTTTTACTTATTAAACATGGTGTGTAATCTATTTGGCACAGATGTTTTCCTGAAATGCCTCATTCCAAAAGAAAACTTTGGAATGTTTTTTTTTTGTACAATTATTCAGGGATTTTACTTTGAAATTATAATACAGATATAAAAATTCTTTAATATACAGCTTTTATTATTTACATTTATTAAACTTATATTGACTTATTATTGTACTTCATTTTACTTTAGTATAATATTGTTAAGACCCGAGAATATTTAAGAAATGTTTTTTGTTTTTAAAGCATTATACCAATACAAAAAAAGTACTTTTTTTTAAAGAAACAAGAGCAGTATTGAATATTTGCTTCTATTCCACTCGCATCAGCTGATTTGAATTTCAAAATGCTAAAATGGGACTTCTCAAGAAAAAAGAAAAATTGAAAATTGTGCTACACAATTGATAATACTGTTTTATTTTTTAATAATATTAATTTTTAAATAAAAATATGAAAATGCTTACAAGTTTGTCCAGTATAAATTGTCTTTTTTTAACTTCCGAACTAGTTACTTTCCAATAAAAAGATTCTTGTGCAATCTTTAAAAAAAAAATTACAGTAAAAGGCAAAGCAAAACAATTTAAAAAAAGCAAAAAAAAACCATAACATCTCAACTTATTCTTTGGCCAATAAAAGCAGTTGAAGAATAAAGTGTGATTGTAAAAAAAAAAGAAAAAAAAAATTGTGTTATTTGAAAAAAAAAGCTTCACTATAGACTTTTTAATTAATGGAAGCTTTGCTATAAGTAAAGATAAAAATTCAATACATAAAGTATTAAATAATATACATATATATTAAAAAAAATTGCACACGTCCATTTACTATTACAACAGTCTTTTTAAATATATCTCAAAATAACTAAAAAAATTTTGAAAAAAATTACTTGACATTTTTTTTATTATTGTGTGTTTGAATTATGCACACACACATCAGTAATGCACTTTTAAAAAAAAATTTCTTTTAGTTTGTAATTATATTTAAAAATTACGACATTACAGAAAAAGTGAGACAACATTGCATATTGCTGAACTTTATAATATCTATTTAGAACCAATTTAAATAAGAAAAAACAAACACATAAACAAAAAATAAATTTCTGAAAAAATATAAATGTAAAATTAGAGTTATGTTTAACTACATTTTCACCCCCACTCGAACGTCAAGAGGAAAAATCAACGAGCGGGAACATTGGTTAAAAAAACCGCTAATGGCAAAGGGAAATACATTATTTAATAATAATATTTCCCTTGATATTCATAATTAATCCTATATGAATACATATCTATATAACTGTTTAAACCCTTTCATTACCTTTCTAAGTAGTCTAATATTAAATAGATAAATACTTACATAGAAAAAATACTTATTAAAAAAATTATATTTGTACTAAGTTAAGGACTGTTTAAAGTATGCAACCACTACTCCTATCTGACTGAGGGGAAGTGATTGTAAATAGCAAGAATTTCGGTAACCTGCTAAAAAATCTAGCATTTATTAATTAAAAATTGACAATATTTTGTTGGTTTTTATCTCAGGATGGTCTAAATTGATGTCCTTTACCATGAAGGAAAACTACGTACAAAAAAAAAAAAAAAAAAAAAAAAAAAAAAAAAAAAAAAAAATTAAGAAAAAAAAGAATAAATTGCCAACTAAATCGGTAACTCAATTCGATGTTAGACTTGGCTAACGAAAAGACTAGGTTAGAAATACAAAAATGTATTTTTTTTTTACATAAAAGCTTTGATTTGTACTTTGTCATAGTCTAGCCCCTCCTTATTGAACATACAATGTAAGTATTAAATTATTAAAAGTAGTCAACATTGATATTTGTGCAATTGCTAGAAAGGTTTTTAGAAATAAAATATAACGAACTCTTTTTTCATTTCTTTTTTTTGTTTTATACATTACCAAATAGGTAAATTTAAGTGTGGATGATTCCGCTCAAATAAAGACCCCCCCCCAATTCAAACAATCACAAATGTAATCTTAAAAGCTATACCTTTAAAAGCAAAAAACGCAAAGAAATATTTTCATTGTCAAATGGTCATTTATAGAACGCCATCTTGGGATATAATTTTAACGGAACGTGGATTCGGTAAAATGAAATGTATTTGCAATTCTAAATGGAAGACATGTAGATATTTATATTCCTTGCATAAAACTGGCATTCTTAATTTAAAAGAAAAACGTTTATGAATGAACTTTGTATCCCACATTGATAACGAAAAGACCGATCAAACTGACATTTTTTCTCTCTTTAACATTGAACTTTGTTAAAACATTGCTCTAAAGGCAATAGCACTAAAACTAATCAAAAGAAAAAAAAAATAAGCTAAATCTTTATAATGGAAAAAAATGCAGCAAACTTGGAACTTTTTAATACACTTAAATATTAGACTTATCTTAGAAATAATAAATGTTTCAATTTATTTTTATTGCTGTTGATCACATTCCAATAATATACCCTTAAAATTATTTAGATCAAAATTAACCTTACAAGTCTTTTTTTAATTTTTATTTTTATTTGACTTGATTTAAATCAAAGACACCTACGCCACCCAAAATATCGGCAGTTTCTCACTTAACAAAACTATCTATACTATAAAATAAATTAATTTAAAATTTATCACAGTCATTTTCACGAAAAAAAGAAAGAAAAGTCTTTGCGAAACAATAGGTGGGAACAGGTTTGTGCATACATACTTTCTACTCTTTTTCTACGAATAAAATGTGACAAAAATTAATTCTTCTTGCTTTCAGGGAAATCAAAAATTAAAAAAAGAAAAAAAAATATTTAAAACAAATAAATATGCATTTATTTGTTTTAAATATTTTTTTTTCTTGCCAGTACATATTGATCAGAACAAAAAAATGCCTTTCCTCCGTTTTATTTATATTTTTCCCCTACCAAACAAACCTATAAATATCGATAAACATTATCGACAAAACTTCACTATAATATAAGCAAATTTTTAAAATATCCGAGCAATTGAGTAATACATGACCCTGAGGGTCTCATGAGTTACCAATTGTACTCATATTAACAATTAAAATAAATCTTTAAAAAAAAATACATCATTAAAAAGGCTGCACAATAATAGAAAAATAGATCTGTTCAAAATATACCAGTGTGTAAATTTTATTTTATTTGTTTAATAACATGGACCTTGGTACTGATATTAAATTATGCTCTCATCCTTCAGTCTATCAAACACGATAATATATTTATGCAAAAAAAGCTTAGAATACTAAAGTTATAAGATAAAAATAATGAAAAAATTAGGTTGATATTTTAATTAAAATGATTTGGAGTTTATAGCATGTGCCAATGGTTCCATGGCCAAACGTACCTACTGAAAGAATACTTTGGACTATAAAAAGAAGAACGAATCACTACATTGATGTTGCACATTTTATAAGTACAAAACATTTAAAATAACACTTAAATTTATTACTTTTTGAGAATAAAATAACCATATAGTATATCAATCATATAGAATTTTGTTAAACTTTGCTTAAAAAAATAAAATAAAAATAAAAACTGGAAACGGTTGCATGCCGAAAACCTTGTTTATACTTAGACTGAAAAAACTGTTTTTGTACATTAGAAAGAAGCAACAAGTAATGAAAGGGTTTTACAATTCTGACTACCTTTTCTTATTTACACCTTTTGCAACTGGCTTACCTGGTTTTTTATTGGTAATCGAATGATAACTCGCTGATTTTGGAGCAGAACATGGTTTTTCAGTCTTGTCACTGCTTCCCATTTCTTTTTTCTTTTTGGCCAATTCTTGATTTCCGTTGAAACACGAACACCCCTTTTTAGTTTTCCTAGGCTGGTTTCGTCTGGAATGTTCAATTTCTAGACAATCGTCAGCCTCTTCTAGTAGGGTGTCTAATGAACTGCCACTGTCCTCGCCCCCGCTCGAGAGGTACATGCCGACTTTCTTTCTCTTTTTACCTCTGCTGGCCAATTCCGCCTCCTTGTATACACCTGTGTTCTTGTTATTTCTCAAGACGCTCTGTTCGCAGATTAAACTGATATCTTGCGAATCGTCTTTCGGAGAATCGTTCCTTCTTATGTCTTCGACGATACTCTCTGTAGTCCGCCAGACGATACTCGACCTCGAAAGATTGCCTTTCCTGAGTTCTTCATCATCAAGATCGTTATGATGTTGGGATTTTACCATATGAAACCATGGGATATTAGACTCTTCGTGCGATTTCCCTTTCTGCAAGTAATTCTGGTATGTATACGTGCAATTACCACGAGATAAGATATTAGGTGACTGATTGGGGTCATGGGGATTTTTGTCGCTTACATCATTTTCACGCATATCAGCCATTTTCCCTGAACTTCCGTGTTTACACGAATTTTGTAACTCACTGTCAGAATCTCCTTCAGCGTCCAAAATGTCGTTACATTGCGGTTCTCCATCAGAAAAATTATCACTGTCGTGTGCTATCAAGTTTAAAGTATTAATGGCAGGATGCTGTTCACATCCAATATTGCCGTGATCTTTACTGTTCTGGGAACTTGTTTTGAAAACAAGAGTTGTAGAATTTATTGTTTTGGTTTCATTGTTTGGTGTTATTAACGATGATCCATTGATCGGACCTTCCTCGCAAGAAGAGTTGGATTTTTGTTCAAACGCACTTTCTTTATTTAGAGTATTATTATCCCTCGGTGAATTGTCGTAACCTGCCCTTTTTCCGATTTCTTTCTTTTTTCTCCAAGACCCAGAATATCTATTAGTGACCATGTCTGACAGAACCGGCGGACTACAACGGTTTGGAGAATCGTGGCTGCTCGAAGAAGATTCCATCCCGCGAGAATACAATTCTTGCAGGCTGTCTCTGCTAAGAGGGTCTGAATCAAGAAGCAGTTCAGCTTCTGGAAATAAATCGCTAGTACTTGGTTTGTCGACTCCCAAATCCTCGCATTCTTCTGACAAACTTTTCTGAAGTCTCAACTCCCTTTCGAGAGATAAAGCAGAATTACGTTGTTGCATGAACTCATCTTTGCTCACTTTCAAACGGTCAGATCTTTTGAAAGCCACTTGAAAAATTGTATTTTCAACGTTCAGTTTCCTCTTCAAACCTAATCCACTGTTTTGCATTATCGTTTGCGTTTTGCCATCCTGCACACTGGGAGAGAGAGGGTTAGTTTTGACCTCTTTCACGCCTTTTTCAAGTTTCCCAACATTGAATTGCCATTGGTGGCCAGTTGAACTATGATTGGGAAGACCTTGTACTTTTGTACACTGGCTCTCGTGGGAAGTGCCATGCTCTTCTCTGAACGACGTACCATCATCGTTTTTCTTTTTATTTATCGATTCTGTATGAGTTAATGATTTCAAATGTTGCTTCCCTTCTTTTATTGTCTGCGACTCCTTAATATCCCAATCTAAAACAAAATAAATAAACATATAAATATATACCTCAACCTTAGAAACTTTTATAATATATTTATTATATCAACACATATTTTTGTTCATAAAATTAACTAGGACGCAAGTGCTATGAGTATGAGACCCGACTTTGTCTTCCCTATAAAATCATTTGAGACCCAAGTCACTTTTCAGTGGACCGATTTCTTTGGTGTTATTTTCCCCGATATTTACGGATTCCCCCACTTAGAATTAGTTTTGTACAGATGGTAAAACAGCTCTTTTGTAATGGTGGGATCAAAACTGCTCACTCAGTGAAATAAATCAGCTCTTTCTCGTGGCTCATTGCTTGCACTCACCAAATTTATGGTGTGCCCTTGTAAGGGTTGATTGTCTGAATTACAGGGTTGTTATATGAAAGAAATGACGAATTGTTAAACCTTTCTCGTTTTTATTATTGCCAATAATAAATTTCAATTGAAAAAAATAAAATAAATAAATAAATAAAAGAATTAAAAATTAAAATAAAACAAAATAGAATGAAAAGTTTACCATTTTGTTCATATAACAATCCTATAATTTTATTACCTTTGTCTTGTGAACGAGTGAATAAAAAAAATATAAAAAAATACTTATTTTTATAAAACATAAAATAAAAAAAATTAATACATAGATTTTGTAAACTCGGCAAATCTGTAATATTAGAGAGTAAGCGAGTATTGCTCAAAACTGGTGGTCTCCAGACAGCCTGCCGATGTGACAGCCATTACAAAAGTAATATAGTAACAATTAAAAAAACAAAACGGGGGAACTAGGCGCTGTGCAGGTCATAACTTAAACATCCTCCGAGACCCACCCAGAAATGCTAATTTAGATGAAAGATAATATTTTTTTCTGCATGTTTTATTATTATTATTATTGAAATAATTTTTGGAACAACAGTGTCACAACAACAGTGTTTCAGGTTCCCGCATTCGACATATTAAAATTGTTTAATTAAGTTAAATTGATATCAGGGAAAAGAAAGCCACCTTGCTACATGATAAAATACATTAAAACAGACCAATAAAACCAGTTTTAATTAGGATTATAAAAAATTAGTTCTATAAAATAATCAAAGGTAAATTTCAAAGGAAATAAATTTATACAAACCTTTGTCGTCTGAAAATTCCTTTTTTGTCTGACTTTCCGAAAGCTTTTTATTCCCTTGGTTATCAATAATCATATCGTTTTTCATATCCTTGAGCACATGTGACCAATTCTTTGCACCCGCTCCAATAAAATTAGCATTCGTCACCAATTTCTCGGCTTCTCCTGAAATTGAAAACTGAATCTCCTCAGTCTTAGGCTTGAAGTCGTCACATTGACTAGAATTGTTCACCCTCTTCTTGCTTGCGTCTAGATTACCGTGTCCACTCACTATCGGCTCACTTTTAAGACTATTACCAGCGTGATCCGAATTCGTCGGGAACGTTGAATTGTTTTGATCTAGCGAACATGAGGGTTTAGTATTTGTAAATACATTTGGGGAAGTGACCTGTCCAGATTTGCCAATGTTTCTCTGGAAAAATCCCAACGAAGAGGCAGTCGATGTGTTAAGCAGTATGGTGTTATCCAACGCTATTCCCAAAGATTCTGTCTCTATACCTGATCCTGTAGATAGAGTAAACGATTGAGATCCTGATGGAAGAACCACTGTAGGCTGTGCGGAAATATTAGTAAGATTTTGTGACTGTATCTGTGATACTACAGGCAGTTTCACTTGTTTGACTGTTGAATTGGATTTGTTTAAACACATCTGACGTAAAACTACAGCTCCAGACCCGGCTGTTGTGAGTAAAGGCGAGCCAGTCGGCATCGTAACTTGATGGACTCTGTACATTTTTGGTCCTTTTGCTACGACAAACCTGCCATCGGCTGGCACAGGAAATATAACTTGCTTGACATTTCCAGCCACGGGTAATGACAATGTTAAAGGGACAGTAGCACCACTTCCCACGACCAACTGTTTCCCAGCTAAAACCTTTGTACCTTCAACATTTATCATCGGCTGAATATTTTCTTGAACGAGTACTGTCCTGCTGGTGTTAGGAGAAGGTTCTGTCAGTAAAATTCTATGCTGTGACCTTTGATCTTTGGCATCCAATGATTCTGACGCTTCAGAAGAAACATCACCACCGGGAGGATTGGAATGCTCATCATTCTTACTTTGTGGTGAATTGGGTAGCTGCGAAATTTGGCTTACACCGTTTGAACTATCCTCACTTCCAAGAGTTCTTAAGTCTTCCGATCCGGGACTCATTTCAAGCCCCGAGCAAGATGGCAAATTAGAGATACTCTTTGATTTATTCTGGGACTTTTTTCGCTTGGAAGACTGTGTGGGGTTGGTCGGTGGGTTGGATCGTCTTCGCGGAGCAGGCTTATTTTTCAACTCTGGAGAATTTCTCAGCTGTTCGGCATATTTGTCTAAAATAGCATAAATGCGCTGTGTAGTTTGTTCATCTTCCTGGGGTTTTTGTTGGGGTTTCGGCAGAGTCGAGACTTTAAGCGTGGTCGTCGGAGCGGTTTTACCGACTGACGATTTTGTCTTTGGTTTGTTGATTTTAGCATTGAGCTTTGACTGAGCGTTTGCAGGTGGAGTTTGGGGAGCAGGACTAGAAGTCTGAGAAGCAATACTTAATGCTGGCGAAGCAAGGGGTCGACTACAACTCTGAACGACTACTACTGGCGTGTTTGTAGTTATTTTCGGAGCATTGGAGGTGGCTAAAGTAACTGTACTATTTGAAGTATTTGCAGGACTTGCTTTGCTAATAAATGTTAAACTTACTCTATCTGAATTCATATCAGATATAGTATTAACAATTGAAGGCTGGAACATAGAGTTAACTTTTGAAGAATTTTGGCTGAAATCGGAATTTTCAGACGAATGAGGCAAATTTTGATCATTTTTCTTATTCACATTGCCCCTCTCTTTCATTTGAGATGTGTTTGTGACTTGTTCTAATACTGATTCAAATTCTCGAAGCTGTTCTAATGTCGTAGAGCTAACAGACTGATCTGGATTAATTTGTTCTCTTCTTGTTTCAATTTTGGATAAATTATTCAAAGAATTTTGGTTGAGATTTGTGGCGAGTACAACAGTTCTAGCAGGAAGGGGGATTGTGACCACAGGTGGGCCTGTCTGAGTCATGCTATTTCCAGTGGACACTTGTAGAAGCGGCCTTACAAATCTAGACGGACCTTGTGGGACTACGGAATGCCTTCTGAACGTTTTGGGTGCTGGAGTGGGCATTCTTATTTTTGACATGCCTCCTAACACATCGGGGTTTTTTGGAGTTTCAATTTTTATGTTTTTTACATTAGACGGGCTTTGACCAGAGTTTGCATTATTGTTTATTACTGTATGTTTTATTGGTGGATTACTTTGAAGAGCTGCAGCCAGTAAAGCATTCATGTTACTCCTTATGACTGAATCTTTATTTCTAATTTCAGTTTCAATCTTTGGGTTTGGAATGATTACATCTGCTGTAGAGGTGGCTTTGAGAATTGTAACTGGCTTGCCTTGTAGAAGGCCCGTGTTGGAAATAGAAATCGGTACTTTACATGTAAAAATTACTCCACTTGAAGGCTGGCAATCGGATGATGCCCTGTTTTCTTTTATTTCTGAAGTCGCAGAACTGGCTACAGAATCACTCTGTACTGATGTAGATGGAACAGCGACTTGAGCGGTAGCATCACTTCGTAATTTTTCAGTCAAATTTTTTGAAGTATTTTCAGCCTCTTTTGATACTGTTTGAACACCTTTAGATATCGGAGTTGTCGAACGTACTTCCAGTTTATCGTTGTTAGGCGAGTTACTTTCAAAATGTGTCGGGGAAGACATTACACTATTGTTTTCTACTGGTAATGCGGGTCCACTCTGATATTTTTGACGCCTAAAGACTTGGTGGAATTTTGGAAGACTCGGAGGCAACAGTTCGTTTTCTAACACTTTATGAGCAAGTAACTCTTCTTTAGTTTTGAATTCTTTCTTTCTATTCAACAATTTGATAAACTGATTTTGATTGTATGTTTGAGCGGTTGTTGAAGCGTTTTCCGGTCCAGAACTATCGGGAATGGATAAAACTGGGTCTAATGTCTGATTTGTTTGGAAGTACTGTTCGATAACTCTTCCATCTTTTACGACCAAACGGTACACAGGATTCCCTTGGGACTGAGATTTATGAGCTTCTTCCATGGCACTGGTTTGACTACTGCTACTATTCGTAGTCGAATTTTTATTTGTACAATTTGGCTCTGATTGCAGCTTTAATTTATGAGGCTGTCCTATACTTTGAATGTGAGAAGTTACTTGTGTTCCCGAGTCTTGGGAACTCAGTGAAGATAATTCTACTGTGCTATCTCCACGATGATCTTCAGCCAGTTGGTCAGTGGTCTGGGTACTGAGGCTCGGTTTTAAACCTTGCACTCTGTTCGCCACTAAAGTCGGATTTGTATTATTAAGCAATATCTGTGACCCGGATATAGTCAAATTAGATGTAGTAGTAGTCGCCACGGAAGTGTGTGATGTTGGAACAGATTGGCCTGACTGTATAGAATACACTACTGAACGATTGTCCGAAGAGTTCGACTCAACACCTTGATTAAAAGAATTTTGAGAATGCGATGATTCAGACACATTATCATTTGGTGGCTTTGCTCTTGAATGAAGAGAGTTCTGTTGAATATTTTGGGAAACGCCGGAATTCGAAACTGACTGAGTCAACAAAGAATTAGTGGAACTGGAAATTTGAACTACCTGCACAGTCGTTTCTTGTGGTTGAGGAATTATCATGTCAAGCGAGTTCATACCTGGGACGGATTTCGCCAACAATATGTCACTTCTCATAACGGCTTGAGCCAATATATCAAGATTTTCTCGATCCGGCATACCACCTTTTACAACAGTCTCTTTCACCGGTTGTTTCTTCAAATTTAATATATCAGTCAGTAAAACTTTTGGGTTTAAATTCAGCGACTGGAGAATCGGTATGAATTTGCCCTTTATGATGCTGTTGTTCAAAGCGGCCGGAGGGACTTCAGCAGGTAACGGGCTCGAAGACTTATAAATACTGCAAGGCTGTTGCAAATTCCATTTCTCTTGGTCTTCCATCTTGCTAACTGGTGTAGTGCAATTAAACTCAGGTCCTAAAATAAACAAAAACCATAATTAATTTAATGTACGAACATTTTGTAAAGCAGCACATCTTACTTTAATAAAAAATATTTGTATGAAAGTGTACTGTTGGAATTAAAATTGTATTCACAGGCAAACAATAAGTGTTTTATAATGCATTGTTCTCTCAGTAATCTGAACTATTCATTGCAGGGATATTCAGATAAATGAAAAATTCTAAGTACAGAGGATGTTAAAAAATACACACAAATTTACAAAAAAACAACACTATTATTACTGCATACACAAAACGTAAAACCTATTAGAATAAATATATACTGTCAATATTTCTTTTAAAAAAAATCTGTTTTTTTCAAAATTTATTTAACACTTTCTTCATTGCTTCTTCCTCTTTTTCTCTCATTTTTAAGCAGTAAGTGTATTATACTTAACACAAGAAAAATGATCTATTTCATTTTTTTGAGAAATTCACTGAACAAAAGAAATTTTTGAAAATTCATATAGTATAAGCTGGCTTGTTCTACATTTGCCTCTCCCTCTCACTCACTCTCTATTTCATTCATTCAAACACTTGCACTCCATTTAATTCATTCACTTTATCTATCGCCAACTCACTCACTCTATCACCAATCCACTCCTTTATTCTCTATTTCATTCACACAATTACACTCTATTTAATTCAGTCACTCACTCTATCTATCACCAATCCACTCATTCATTCTCTATTTCATTCACACACTTAAACTGTATTCAATTCAGTCATTCACTATTTCTCTCATTCCAACACTTACACTCTATTAATTCAGTCACTCACTCTATCTATCACCAATCCACTCATTCATTCTCTATTTCATTCACACACTTGCACTCCATTTAATTCATTCACTCACTCTATCTATCAACTCATTCATTCTCTATTTCATTCACACACTTACACTCTATTTAATTCAGTCACTCACTCTATCTATCACCAATCCACTCATTCATTCTCTATTTCATTCACACACTTACACTATTTAATTCAGTCACTCACTCTACCTATCACCAATCCACTCATCCATTCTCTATTTCATTCACACACTTACACTCCATTTAATTCAGTCACTCACTCTATCTATCACCAACTCACTCATTCTCTATTTCATTCACACACTTACACTATTTAATTCTGTCACTCACTCACTCTCTATTTCATTAATTCACTCACTTTCTTTGTATTTCATTTATTCTCACTCTAACACTCTAATTCATCCCTTCAATCAGTCATTTAATCACACTATCTTATTCATTAATTTAATCATTCACTCACTCACTCTGTTTCATTCCTTCACTTACTCACACTTTCTCATGCATTTTTTCAATTATTCCTTCACTCACTTACACGCACTCTCTGTTTTATTAATTCGTTCACTCTCTCATCACTAAAACACACTTTTTCATTCACTCTCTCTGTCAGTCATTCTTTTTTCTCTCTATTATGTTTTATATTTCTAAATAAAAGAAAAATGTGTAATGTAAAATGCAATGTAAAAATGTATGTATAATGTAAATTGTTACTACTCATGTTAAGTGTAAGAAAGGTCCAAGAGACCTAATTTGCGTATTAAATAAAATGTTTAATCAATCAATCTCTCTTTTCTTTTTCTCTCACACACTCCCCCTGATTCTCTCTCATCCACCCCCAAATAATATTTTATATTTTCCTTTAAAATTCTGACTTCTTGTTCTAGTTTGGATTATTTAAGTTTAGATTAGGGAGAGAACACTGAATAAACCATTAACATAACAAAAGTTATTGGTACAAACAATATTAAGAACAGAATAGTTAGGTTAAGGCCAACAAACTTGTTTACTTTTATATTTATAAATAATGTGATTTAATTTTTGTGTTGTTTTATATTTTTTGTGCAACAAACAATACTTGTTTTTTTGAACTTACCTGTACCAGTGTTGGATATTGGATTATTGGAATAATTGGCAGTTTCCATAACACTCGAGTTGCTGTCGTTGAGAGACTGATCAACAAATGGCCGATTCGGTTTGTATGAAGATGAGATGGCTGAATATGAAAACTGGCTGCTTTCACTGTCACTGGATGTAAATGACGAGTCTGTTATTACTTCTCCACATACGTTAAACACGTTACCTTTTTTGTTATTGATATTTTTAGAATTTGAATTTACAGATTTCTTTCTTTTCTGCTTGACTTTCGGGACATCGACTAGATGCTCGTAACCCTTTTCAATACCTGTAGACACCATCGTTTGCGACGGCCAATCTTTAAATAGTGAATAATCTAAATTCAAGAATTTCAACTCCTTGTTCTTATGCCTTGAACTGTTATAATCAGCCATGTACTTTTCGCATTCTTTAAGTAGGTGTTCCCAGCCCATAGACCAGCTTAATAATTGACATCTCGGCCCACTTATAACTGTTGATAAGTCGTCAGCTAGATGTGGTGCAAGGCCTGAGAGTTCTGAATCTAGTAAATTCAAACCTATATCTATGTTCGTGTTTTCTTGGGAGGAAGGTGTTCGATTTGAGTCTCTTGGCCAACTCGAATTAGATTGTTCTGACGATGTGAAACTCTGTTTTGCTTCAGTCGAATTGTTGTTATTATATTCAGCAGCATGAACTTTGATCTTTTCAAGAACTTCATTTGTCGGTTTTAAGGAAAACGCTGTCAATAAACATTCTCGACACACGTATTTGTTACAGCTTAGAAGCTCTCCTAGTTGTAAAAATCCATCGGCCAATATGCTTTCCGCTTCGTTGATTTTTGCTATATCGTTTGTTATTTTTTGCTGTTCTATTTCGTTCATGTTCGCAGTCAACGCTCTTATATAAAGTTCCACGCATAAGTTTTTCACTTTTTCACCAAACTGAAAAACAGACTATTATTATTAATGTAAAAATAGAACTATCAACAAAATCTTAAGAAAATAATTATAAAGCAAGCATTGCATTACACACAATACATTTTATGAATTTTTTTCTACAAAACAATCTCCTCCCCTTGTCCATAACTGAATTAAGATTCATTGATGCATCTATTTAATGGGGGAAAGTCGAACCAGCACGGATCTGTCTACCTTCACGGGTTTGATTACTTAAATGCGGTTTGGCTTTGCACCATCTTCAGTGAAGAATTGTCTGTTTCTTTGTCTGCGTAGCTCTCTGGACTTAATCCTTTAGTTTGAGATTGCAACAAAGCCCTGTAAGAAATTGGAGCTAACAAAATTTGGGTATACAGGGCAGAGGCAATGAGGAAGCTGATTAATATTCCCAAGGAATATTCCATAAGGGCACCTATCGATCCTCAACCCATTTGTGGCATACCAAATTGCCATAAGGGTTAAGAATAAATCATTCAACTGGTGTTCCATCCAAACAAAAAACTTAATCAAAAGAATTTAGCATAAACTGTAGAAACTGCTTGCTCAAGACCCATGCTATGTTCAGACCGTTTTCTAATGGATATTATTGTTCCCCACCTTTTCCCATTTAGAAGCAGTTTTTAGATTCAGTGAGAAACCAGGTTTGAAACAATATGTGCTGTTCAGGTATAGCTCCACTGACGCCTGAGAAAATTAACTGTAAATTTTTCTCCCAGCTTTTTTTTTTTTTAAAGGTTAGATTTTATTGTTATTAGACTAAATATGATTACAGAATTGATGGATAGACTATGCTCAAATATTTTGTAACTTTTTAGTTTGTTAAAAAAAAAAAAAAAAAAGTTTAACAATTGGGTGTTCTCATTATTTTTGTTCAGTTATGTCTGTTTGGGAAGTTTAACTTAAACATTTTCTCTACTATTATAAGTAGCTATCAAATTAAAATGCCATAAAATAATAAAACAATCTTAATATATAAAATACGCACCTGCTTTCTCAAAACTTGTGTGAATATATACACATGAAGTGATGACTCGGCCGTTTTAATAATTTTTCTAACCATGTTTTCAATAGGAGCCATCGAATTTATATTGATAAATTTCGGGATATGTATAAGAGCCCATTGGGATATCAAATCAAACAACAATTTGTGATCTTCTTCGGACGTCATGACTTTTACCATCGCTGAGGCGAGAATGGTATGAGAAGCAATTTCTATCACTTTGTCACTATACTTCCAAATACGTTTAACACTTTTACAGTGGTCACCGAACCTCTGCAATAATTGAAGTCCATCGTCCAGCTTCATCATTTTCACCTGGAAATAAATATCAAGTTAAATTTTAAAGCATGGATCAAGGCCTTATCTTCATACTTTTTCAATTATTTCTTGAGTTTTATCATATTTGTACAATAGTACAAGCACAATGTCATTGATTTGGTTGATATCGAATTTATTAAACACATTAGAAACGTTCATATGCTTAACATAAGCAGCCGCCAATTTAAGAGCCAAGTCATCGCATTTATCCTCACATAATGCCTCCAGCCTCAGAAGGAGCATTTCATCTCCTTCTGCATCCAAGAAATCACTCACTATAAAAAAACAAAGTTATTAAATTTTATGTTGTTATTTTTAAGCGGAACAATAATTAATAAATACAGTGCTCTTCATTCGAATAATCAGAACTAATCACTGCTGGGGTTTTGGATTACAGAGGGGGTTACAAAAATATATGCATGTTTTTTAAAAAAATTCAACACAGCACTTTATTATTACTGCTTATAGCATGCACAAAATAGTAAAAGTTCATAGAATTCATACATCAATTTTTATTTTTTAAAAATATATTTTTTTATGTAATATTTCTTCAATGCTTCTTTCTCTTTTTCATGCATTTTTAAGCAGTAAGAATATTATACTTAACACAAGAAAAATGTGGACTGACCTAACATTTCATTTTTTAGAAGTGAAGGGAGGTGAGGGAATCACTAAACAAAATAAAATTCTTGAAAATGCATGTAGTTAAACCGGGTCTGAGTCTTCATATGACTCTCCCTCTCACTCTCTCCTTCACTCAGCCACTTGCTCACTCTGTATTTAATATAAACTCACTCTCTTTCTTACATTAATTCATCCAATCACTCACACTCTCTGTATTTCATTAATTCATTCACCCACTCACTCTCTCTATTTCATTAATTCATCACTCACTCTCTCTCTTTCTCTCTATTTGATTAAATCATTCACTCACTCTATATCACTCTTTTTCTGTCCCAGTAACTCACTCATTCTCTATTCAATACTCTCCCTCCCTCTTTCATCGACTCACTCATTATTTCGATCAATCACTCACTCTTTCTCTAATTCACTTTCTCCCCCTCCTCAAATAAAGTTTAATTTAAAATTAGGCCTTCTTGAATATTTGTGCAGTTCAGAGTACCAAAGTTCGGATTAGGGAGAGGGCACTGCAGTTCAAATAGAATAACATTTAAAAAAAACTAATAAAAAAATTATAATCATGCTTGAAAAGATTGATTATCATCAAATAAGGCATAAATAAGGAAATATATAATTGTTCACTAAATTTCTACCACTTGATGTTACATTTCTCTGAATGATGTACTACAGTGTGACCCAAGAACAAGTCATCGGACGCGCCCTCAGGGCTTTGGTGGAGGGTTAAGTTTTGGAATATAATTATGTATGACATATCATTTAAAATAAAACTGAAGATTACGTAGATTTTGCTGAATTCAGCTAACCTTAATAAATACAAGCTTTAATAGGTGGAAAAATACAAGGCCATATGCATCTCCAGAAGACGAAGGCTAAAGGGATTAAGATACACATTACATCGGAGAAATCGTTGACATCAGTTTAACGCGTAGGAAACTAATGAATATAGGTTATTAAAAAGGAAACAAAATAATCTCATATGAAGCAGCGTAAATCCATTAATTCCAAAAGAGCTTAACCCATTCATGATAGTGAGCATATCGCACTCTTGCATCCCCCAGTGAGGTGATGAGAGCATGCCATCCATCCTACCTCACTCAGCTACTGCAAGCGTGATATTATATTTCAAAGAAGCAGCATGTTGCTTGAAACAGTAAACAACAGCGTAACAGCGTTGTTTTCTAAATTTTCCATTCTCACTAGGGCTAAAAATAATATCTTAAACACATACTACGCCTATAAACTTGAATTTAAAAGTGAAGGGAGTAGAGCATGATATCAAGCTCTCAGCAGCGACAAAGGTGAAAAGATGAGCATGGAAACAGTACTTCACTTAGGGAACAAAGAGTGCGATATCACACTGACTGTCCTGGACGGGTTAAAATAAGAGAAATTTTTAAAATATATTCAAGCATGAAAACACATTTGAATATTTTGGTTAACTATCGAGAATGGCCACATCTTATCAAAACAGGAATATAAGGGAAGGAAGCAAATTAAAGAATATGATCAGATAGATATCACTGAGCTAATTACAATGTCACAATAACATAAGGATATTTTGGAGCTAAATTTACTAAATGATAATAAAATTAGTATGTAAATGACACCCAGCTTTAACAGATTCAAAGCAGTCTATGTGAGATTAAATAATCTATGAGACACTTACTTCTTAGGAGGAAAATTCAATTTGGAAGATATATACAATTTTTCTATTGCATTCTGAAACTCCTCAAACTTTTCAAAACACTACAGCATTATTATTCATTCGTCTAAACCAAAAATGAAAAGAAAACCTGTTTAAAATATTTAAGGAATGAAACGAAAAAGTGGTCCAAACGGGGGCGCACCAAGACTATTTCAATAGTGAAAAAATCTGCCATCTATGATTCACCTGCACCTTCTTATCGGTTCGATGATTCGCCAGAACAATAGAAAAAAAATAGTTTGGTGCTAAAAAATATGATTCAGAACGGGAAAAAGAATAGAAAAGCCAAGGAAAAATTAAAACAGTTTTTTAAACCATGAAGAAACATTTTTAGCTCCTTTGGCTTTTATCTTTCTGTACAGCAGTCAAATTTATTCAAATATCTTTTGATTTGTGAATTTCATAAAGTGAGAAAATATCTCATTCTCTTATTACTATTACTTGTTTCCCCCCATTGAAAATCCACTTATTTCCAAAGACAAAGCCAAAAACCAGCATTAAAACTACTTAACGGCTACTTACTGGTAAAGGTTTTGGAATGCATAATGAATATTTTCCAAACTCCCCACTTCTGAGGAATAATCATAATAATGTTTCCATGTTCTGAAAAGGACACTGGCCTTATTCTCACAGCCCTTATGAATGCCCTGTAGAGGTTTGTGAAGATCCTAAAACACAATTATATCAAAAACCTAATATTCTAAGTGAATCCATGGAGAAAATTAAAGCACGCTTATCTTTAAATATTTTATACAGCATCATACTTATAATACAATGTATATATGACCTTAATTTTACTGTCATATCCAAATTATGATTACCTTCTTTATATTTATTTGAAATAAGTTAACTAAGTTCGAAAATTTGAATAGATCGTAAAAAATCTCTGAAAATTAACAAATAAGATAAAAACGACAATAAACAGTACAATATTACTTATAAACTACATGTCCATTACGTTTTTACTTTTTTTTTTTTTTTTAAATTGACTAAATATTAAATTTCAACCATTATCAATTTAAATTTTAATTTTTTTTGTTGTTAATGAGCAGAAAAGTTCTATTTTAATTTATTTTTCAGATAAGAGAGAAAAAAAAAATAGAAAAAAGGCACAGATATCTTCATTAGTTATGTCTTGTAGATTTGTATTGAGTTTATTCAATTTCTCTGTGTAGTCAGTGGGCCGATGTAATTTGGTCATTACAGATCATTTTGGATTATTTATCATCACTATTCTAATAAATAAAATGTGCCTTCCCTCACCCTGTTTATAGCCTTGTCCTGATGGGCATTCAAAATGCCGAAACGCATCAGGAAGACCAACCTAGCAAGAATAGGCAGTCCAAAACTGATCTGTATATTTTAAAGTTTAACTGACTCTTGTATCTTTGAGTAATAAAATAATATTTAAAAAGGATTAACTAATTAATATCTTTGAACTGAAAATGTTCAAATATTGTTAACGATCTACTAAATAACAGAATTAGATATAACAGAAATTAAGGAATAAAATAACTCATCATACAAACCATCTGCAACTTTTAAAAAAATGACATTGATTTTTATTTTTTGTTCAGAAAACAATTTTTTTCTGGAAAAGAGCTTTGTGTTTCAATTAAAATCTTTATTAGATAATAATATAACCTAATTATTAGAAAATAATTCAGAAAAGCTTACCAGAGTCAATCCCAGAATTATTTTAACATTTGCTGACATGATTATTTTTAGAGCGATTTTGTTTGAAGAGCATTAATATCATTATAATATTGCTTCCGGTGTTAAGCCTGAAAAGTAAATAAATAAAATTTAAACTCACATTAATAGTACAATATTTTAAATAAATTCCTTAATAGAAGTAAAATAGATATTGGAACTGAACCAATGATAAATGATGATTCCATGGATGTGATTCACAATGATCAAAAAGTTACATGTACATACAGTTTTACATATAATTCATTTTTTTAAATCCAAAGATAAACAAGGGGCTTCAGAAGCAAAAATATTCTAATCTTTTAGGACAGACAATTTCTTAAAATTCAAGTTTAATTACATAACAAAAAAAAAAGAGTTGTAACTTTTAATTCTGTATTAAGTATTATTTTATATAAGGTCCTTTGCCCCTTCAAAAAAAGTTTTTTAAATCAAGGTTTCATAGATTGAAAAATAAAAGTAGAAAAAAATATATTCTAAAATATCGGTGTACTTTTTTACTTTTTAAGCCAAGAATAAGCAAAAGCCAAATAACAATAATGAGAAAGGTGGGCCTGATTGGCAGAAAAGCTCTCACATGTATCAAGAGCACTGTCAATAGATGGCACTCAGAGGATCTGACACATAGGTCATCCTCATCCTATTAAGAATAGGCCATGCGAGGTTGACATAGACATTTACATTTGGCAGTATGTGTCCGACATGCAGAGAAAGTTGCTCAATCTGCCCCAGCTAAACAGAGGAAACAGGGTTGTTTTCATTCATAGTACTAATCGTTTTGCGTACCTAGTGTGTGCGCTGAGAGTGAATGACGACATTTTTGACGTTAATGTGTAGTGTGAGAGGGCAGTCGGCAGAATATTGAGTACCCCACAGACCCTCAATTAGAATAGATAGTATGTTTTATAGGGTGATGGTGCAATATCGAGTACGTCACTACTCTGAGTGAATGGTGTGTAAAAAGGAAAGAATGTATTTAAGAGAGAGTGAGAATATGAATGAGAGACTGATTGTATTGGGAGTTGAAATGACCTAGCTGTCAACAGCACATCGAGCCCACCTCGATGGCTAGATGGGTAAGATTGAGGTCTGACCCTGGACTGCCAACACCCTGGTTGGGTTATCTCAAGGCCTGCCAGTAATTTATTGTAAATTAGGCAAAAGCTACGAGAAGTGATAGGCTCAACTCAGTACAAGTGTATGTATGTACAGATTTGAGCTTATATAAATCAGTAATCATCTATTTAAAATAATACTACCATGAAATATGAGTTCCATTCGTTTCATGGCTGATCCCATAAGTCAAAATGTATCTCAAATCAATTATCCTCATTGGAATTAACTGAAATGAGATTAATTCGTACCAACCTTTAAAAAACAGCTCTATCTCATTATAACAATGTATTTATAATGTACAAATATTTTATACAAACAAAATAAAACCAAATTGTAAAACAGAATCATTAGAAATAAACAGATTTAGCATAAGCCGATTAGCTTATATGGAGTACAAATTTTTCATTCATTCATTTTTGTCTAACATGAACAAATTAATAACAAATATACATACCCACAAAAAGGGGGAAAAGCCTAAATGACTAGCCACATAAAAAACAAAATTAAAACTAAACAAGTCAGAAATGGGATAACATGTAAACTGACCAACCAAGTGTGAATGCATCTGAGCCGAATGACATTTGTGACATCACCTCAAAAACTAATGAGATGTAAATAACATTTAAAACAAGAATAAGCAAACTAAAACAAAGAAAGACATATAGAAATAAGATATTATTCTAAACTTATGACGTACACTTCTTTCCTTCCAATTTCATTTTAAGATTTGTTTGACAAAATAGGTGGACCATCGTGTAAATTGTCTTAAACAACTTCAGCACAGTCAAAGATTGTACTTTTCATAATAAACTCTGGGTTTTGAAAAACTTGAATAAACAAACTAAAACAAAGAAAATTATATGGAAAATCATATTATTATAAAATTGTGGTGTACACTTCTGTGAACTTTAAGCACTGTACATCAAAATAGGTGGACCACCTAGTAAATTGTCTGAAACAACTTCAGCACAGTCAAAAATTGTACTTTTCACAATTATCTCTGGGTTTTTCTCTCTCTTCCTTTCGATACTCCAGAATTTTAAGAATAAAATTAAAAAGGAAGCCAAAGTTTCTCAAAGATGTCTATAAATGCCTTGTAAAATGAAATATATATTCTCGATAAACAATGACAAACTGGATGCACACAATTAACATTTTTGTAAAAATGTTCACACCCTCGACATCAATGAGATGTAAATAACAGTTAAAACTTGAATAAATAAACAAAAATATTATAAGGAAAATCATATTATTATAAACCTGTGGTGTACACTTGGTTTTTGTAAACTTTACTTTAAGCAATGTACATCAAAATAGGTGGACCACCATGTAAATTGTCTGAAACAACTTCAACAGTCAAAAATTGTACTTTTCACAATAATTTCTGGGTTTTTAAGGAAGTTAAAAAGGAAGTCAGAGGTTCATGACGATGTCCATCAATGCCTTTAAATTGAAATATATATTCTCGATAAACAACGACAAACTGGATGCGCATAATGAACATTTTTGCACAAAACATCCACAACCTCGACATCAACAATAGGTAAATAACAATTAAAACTTGAATAAATAAACTAAAACAAAGAAAATTATATGGAAAATCATATTATTATAAAAATTGTGTTGTACTCTTTGGTTTGTGAACTTTACTTTAAGCAAGGTGTTGAAGGTGAACCACCGTGTAAATTGTCTGTAACAACTTCACCACAGTTAACATTGTGCATTTTATTTGGATTTTTTTTCTATAAGCTAGATGTGGAAACCTGATGCAATACAAAAAACATTTTTTTTAATATAAATTTTCTAACATATTTCTAAAATTGTTACAAAAATGGAGAGATGGTAGTATTTTGATGTAAAAAGTTGAACTTTTTTTTATTGTAGCATGGTTGTTCTTGAGAGAAAATAATTTCTGTATTAAAGGATCTTTTTTTCGTTGGTTTTTACCAGTGATAAACCCATTATTGTTACTTTCATAATAAAGGATGAGACTTTAACAGACGTTGAATCTGCTTAAGCTAGAAGTTTTGCGTATAACTGACCGTAATTACTAAAATCAGTTTAATTAAATCTTGTTTAGTTTAAAAAAAAAGTCTTTATTGGTTGAAAATTGACTCAGGGGACTAGGATAAACAACGGAATTTCCGATACTTTTTTTTAAAGGTACGTGAAGTTTCAAGTACTTTAAGTACCCAGGGATGGTAAAACAAAGGTCCATTCTTTAACACGAATAATTTCAAAATAGAAATGCGAATTGTTCGTAAGTCCTTGTAAGTTTCTTTTAATCCGGACACAAACACGATTTCTAAACAAAGCGATAACACAACCCCCGTCCGTGGTGGGTAAAATAGTGGGCATTTAACAGGCGGAAAACTGCCGGAAAATTAAAGCCGACCGTTCAAAATCTAAATATAGTCTCACCTTTTTCGAAGAAAATCCAACTTGAACTTAAATCCTTAAAGTTGTATTTACAACGTTGGAAGAGGCAAAACTTCAATGGCGAAAATTCAACTCGACTCCGACAAAGCCTTCGTTTTTCAAGCACTGAACGTCCCTTTACAAACGGACTTAGTCTAAGTCCACTTTTTCAAATACCCGATTGTCCGATAGAATTTACATTTGAAGTATTGTTGTCACATTTCCCCAAGTTCACAACACCAATCTCACCAAGTTCTAACCCTTAAAGACGCCATCTTTTAGACTTACAACCCTATCAAAATCCTTAACATCAACACTTTTACAACCCCCAGGTTTGACCAGAGTCGGATAGACTTGAACTTAAAAATAATATATACATTATTTTAAAAAACTAAGTTTGGCTTATTTTGTATATTTCGACAATTTTTAATAAAAATTTAAAAAAATATTTGACAGTTTTCATTAAGAAGAAAAAAAAGAGTAAATTTTAATCTATTTTAACCTTTTTACTAGTTAATATAAAAATTGATCCCAACAGAAAATACATATCTTAAAATCAACCGAGTTTTCATATAAAAAAGAAAACCTTTAAAATATAATTCTGCAATATTCAAAAAAGAGTTTTAAAGAAAAATTAAAAATCGTTAAATTGCGCAATATCAGTCCTGAAAATTTGAATACTGACGGTCTCATAAATGCACGCAATACTTACACACTTCTGTGTGCTAAGTGCTCTCAAAAGGGTGAACGGAGTATGAGGGAAGGAATATCGGAGGGGGCGCAGGGTCGGCCCAAGTCCGCGGCCCTTTTCGCCAATTCGAATTTACAGTTTCCCGATTTTTAAAATATTCAATTAGACTGAATTAAATCTTTAGAACAATTAGATATTGACCCAGACGTGTCGGGCATGTTGCTAAATGTCGTGTGTGCCCCATATTAATTGAAGGGTGGCTTGGCTCCGTATAGGGAGCGATTAGGAATGCCATCCGACAAGAGAATTGTTCTCGAGTGAAATAGCGAGCTTGGATATTTATATATATCGTTTTATTATTATTTTTATTGTATATTATATTATCGCATATAGTTTTTTTCTGTCAAATTAGCCCCTTTTTTAAAGGATTAAAAAACTTAATTTTTTATAAGCATGTCAAGTAAAATTCCTGTATACTTGAGAATTTTCAATGTAATATGGGCTAAATACCTTATGATAATCAATTTCAATAAAAAATAAAAATGATATTAATTAGATATAAATGTGTAGAGATTAGTGACCGTTAATCGATAGTTATTACCGCATCTCACGATATCTGAATAACTATTAGATATAAAATAAAAGATTTTTTTAAAATTTTAAGTCCAATAATTTTATATTTTAAACTAATTAATTTAAATTAAATTAATTCTTTTTAATTTTATGTTAACCCATTTTCGTATCAAATTGAACGTTTTTAATTTCAAATTAACCTTTCTGTTCATATTCGAATTAACCCTTTTTTTATTTCAATTCAAATTAACCTTTTTTCGCATTAGATTAACCCTTGTTAATTTCAAATTAACCTTTTTGTTCATATTCGAATTAACTCTTTTTTAAAATTTCAATTCAAATTAACTTTTTCATATCAAATTAACCCTTTTTAATTTAAAATTATTTTCTTTAACTTAAAAAAATTAACCCTTTTTAACATAAAATTAACTTTTTAAAATTTCCATTGAAATCAACTTTTTTCGTATCAAATTAACGACAAATTAACTTAATGATAAATTAATCCTTTTAACTTCAAATTAACCTTTTTGTTCATATTCGAATTAACCCTTTTTAATTTCAATTCAAATTAACTTTTCCATATCCAATTAACCCTTTTTAATTTAAAATTATTTCCTTTAACTTAAAAAAAATTAACCCTTTTTAACATAAAATTAACTTTTTTAAATTTCTATTGAAATTAACTTTTTTTCGTATCAAATTAACCCTTCTTAATGACAAATTAATCCTTTTTAACTTCAAATTAACCTTTTTTTAATTTCAATTCAAATCAACTTTTTCATATCAAATTTCCTTTTTAATTTCAAATTATAATTATTTTAACGTTTAAAATAACCCTTTTCATTTACAAGTTAATCCTTTTTAACTTCAAATTAACCCTTTTTAATTTTAAATCAATTTTTTGACCTTCAAAATAACCTTTTTTTAATTACAAAATTAATCCTTTTTTAACGTCGATTCAAATTAACCTTTTTTCATATCGAATTAACCATTTTTAATTTCAAGTTAACCTTTCTGTTTGTTTATGTTCGAATTAACCCGTTTTGATTTCAATTCAAATTAACCTTTTTGCACATTAGATTAACCTTTTTAATTACAAATATTTCCTTTTTAACTTCAAATTAACATTTTTTAATTGCGATTGAAATTAACCTTTCTTCGTATCAAATTAACCCTTTTTAATTTGAAATTAATTGTTTAACCTTCAAAATAACCCTTTTCAACTACAAATTAATCCTTTTTAACTTTGATTCAAATTAACCGTTTTTCGTAACCCTTTTTAATTTCAAATTACCCCTTTCTTTAAAACATCAAAAACCTAGGAGTTGGTATGAGTTGTAAGGGCGTAAAGTACAAATAAAATATATCTTTTTACCGTCAAATCAACCTTTTTTAAACCTTAAAACTAACCTTGCTAAATTGCAGATTAACCGTTTTCAATTCCAAATTAACCTTTTTCTCATCAAATTATCCTTTTGTACCTTTAAATTAAGCTTTTTCAGTTTCAATTAACCGAATTTAACTTCAAACTGACTTTTTCCTTTAAATTAATCTTTTTAAATTGCAAATTATTCGTATACAACTTCAAATTAACCAACCCTTTTTAATTTCAAATTAACCACTTTTTACTTCAAATGAACTCTTTTGAAAATTATCCCTTTCTGAAAATAAAAAGAAGCGTTATGGATACATACATATTTATCTGAAATGAATGATAGGCAGGAGTCAAAGGCCAACGTTTTGACCGAGCGAAGCCTCTAGGCCTCACGAAATCAATTCTCACTTTTCCAAGCTGAAATAGACGCTGTCAGAACTCTGTGGACAATAAAAAAAAAAAAACTTAAAAAAGGATTGAAAGGTGCACAGAGTTTTCATGCAGCCAGGCAGCATTGAATACTGACTACATCTTCAATTCAAAACTGGTCTGGGAATGTTTAACATATCCAGTAGGATGATCAGGTCATCCAGGGATTCAAGCTAGCAAAAACAATTTCAAACATTAAAAAATTAATAAAGAGAGAAAAGGATCGTTCTGGAATTGTTTTTCGAGGACCACGTGCTCACGATGCACCTCGCATCGTTTGCCTCGTTTCTTTTTCAATAATTCGTATTAATTTTCAATTACAACTTCAAAAATCATTTTATAACCGTTTTAAATTAGAATGCTTTCGTAATTTGAACAAATATTCATACCCTAACTTTGAACTTCCGTTCAGTCCTTTCACCTAAGCCGTTTGAATCTTCATTTTATGAAGACCGTTATTTACATTGTCCAGTTTTATATTACATGCTGTTAAAATATATGTTAAACAATAATATTCGGATATGATTCAAACAAATGTTACAATATTCTTAAGCAAGACAGTAGACATACTAACCTAAGTTTGAGTCAATTGGTCACTATTTCTCCTCCAGCTCTTCCTATTCGTGTTATATTTAAAAAAAAACACTTTCACCTTTGTCTATAGTTTACAAAATACTAAAGAAATAACGCTAAATGAAAGAATAAAGAATGGAAAATACGAACGTTCAAGCTCTCACTTCGTTCAGCGACTAGTCGAAAACGAGACAAAATTGAACAAAGCAGTCCGCCATTTTGTAACGAAATTATGAAAAAATTCTGATTAGCTGTCGCTTTTGTATCTGCTCGTAAATTTAAAAACACGTCATCGCCGGAATATTTCTTTAATTGGTGCAACCTTTTGATAAAATAGTGCTATTTAATAAACTCAAGTCTTTACAAACACCTCCTCAAATACATTCTCAAACATGTTTTCAGGTGAGGGCAATCCATTCTCTCCCATCACCACTTACTGTCTCACAGGGTAACACCCTAGATCCTATATTCTAAATTTACACCCATGAAGGTCACCTTCAGACACACATGTCTTAGTTGAGAAAATAAAAGACAGGTTCAGCTTCTCATGATCTGCATGTATAGCACACTGTTGGCCATTACATCAAGAGTATTACTGTCAAGGCTCATCACCAAGAGAAGTGACAGGGGTCATAAAAGCAATAAAAAAAACACTGTGCCATGATGGTGTTTCTATTATTCTTTTAAAGTATCTTCTGCACAAACTTTAGTACTCTAACATACATTTTGAACCAAATACTCATACTTGTGTACGTTCCAAACCACTGAAAAACTTCCTTGTCCTGTCATATTCCTAAAGAAAGCCGGGAAGCCCCATGACACTCGAACAAGCTACAGGTCAGTCAGCACTGAGCATTATTAGCAAAATATTTAAACGTGTGCCCCTAACACGCTTAGAAGCTCATTTTACTTAATCTGGAATAATTTGGACTCTGGCCTGAACTCAGCACTTAGGGTCAGCTTACCAGCGTTGTAGAGAGCATAATGGACAGTTTTCATAAAAAGATGCACATTGGGATGTCTCTATTAGATCTTGACAAGGCTTTTGACCTGCCTGGCAAAAGGGAGTCATACACTGGCCAATAAAATATGATTTTCCTGCTAAATAAAAATTATTCACTCAGGTCTGAAATATAGAAACTTTCGTGTTTTGCATAAAAATGCCCTATTTGCCCCAAACAAAATTATGGTTGGAGTCCCCCAAGGATCAATCATGGCCCCCATTTTGTTTAATCTGTTCTTCAATGATTTACCCCTACCCAAGAAGTACAGGTTGGCCCTCTGTGCTTACAGTTTGGCATTTTCACTTCCTCATGGAGGCCAACTGCTATAATGTCTCAACCAGGCTGAGGATTGATGTTGACAGAATCGCCAATTTCTGCAATTGATGGAAACTTAAAATTAACTCATTTAATACAGAATCCTTTTTCTTCACCAGAAGAAGACCTGAGGAGACTGAGCATGTAATACAACTGGAAATATTATCCCCTGGCCATACCTTGACTTAAACATGGGCAGGGTCTGACTTTCATCAGACACATGGATGATAGAGTTGATCATGGCAAAACAAGGCTGCTGTTCCCACTACTTTCTTGGACTTCCACGATGAGTGCATTCAACAAACAACTCCTATATAACAGCGTTGTCAAGCCAATGCTCCTCTATGCTTCTCCTGTTGGACAAACCTCAACAAGCTGGAGGTCTGATACAATAAGTTTCTTAGGTTTATCATGACAAGAATTGTGATCCTCCATGAACTGACCAAAATGAATAAAATGAAGACTATTGCCATGAAGGTGAAACACAGGACAAGTCAGCAGAAGTGCTGTCAGCAGGACAACAGGAGCCTACAACATGGATATGCTTGGATACACCGGAGGGTAAAGTACATCCTTCATGAAGACCACAGACTGTAACATAACTACTGTGATTATACTATTATTTATATCTAATCCTACTGTATATAATTTAGTAGAATTTGTTGTTAACTATGATATTTTATTTGTGCATTAATATTTTATAAATCCAACTATGTTGTTTCTCATTGATGAGTGATTTTTGAACTAATTTTTTTCACTCTCTAAAATTTTTTATAAACCTGTGATATATGTTCAGCAATTTGTATCTTGTTGAGGTTATAGTGTCCCTTTGCTGATACTCAAATGTATATCTAATGACAAGGACATATACAATCAATAAATAAAACTAAAAAAAAATTGCAATATAGTTGGAACAATGAATGATTTAATTTTTACACTTGAACATATCACAAAAAATCTTCTCCTAATGAACATTCTTCTACCTAGGACTATTTCTAATGACTGAAGGAAACCCCTACAAGGTAAATTATCTTCTAACAAATGATTCATATACAGCCAATATGGTCTTATGGAACTTTAGCACCATTCTTTAGTGAATGAGTCTAAAATGAGTTTACCTATTACTACAGTCCTAGTTAGGCTTTAGTGTCTTCAAGAATCAAAAGCTACATTCTTCTGTCCTCCACTTTCCTTTTCCATCCTCTTACTCTCAACTTCCAAGTCCTCCACATCAGCCTCTAAATTTGGCTCACCAAACAGCTCTGAATTTTTATGAATTCTCCAAATTCACAGTCCAAGATGGATATTGTTCAGTAGACCCATAAACCTAGTCATTTCACTCCTTTTTGTTAATACTAATAACTGCTTTGTCGACAATGACTTTTCCTATCTGTGATAATTCTTTGATTTTCAGCCTGAACAACCTCTACTAGTTCTCCTAGGTACTTAACAATTTTGCAGCATTCTGTGCTTTTTTATCTGCACTTCTTCTGCCCTAATTTCTTGAGTTTTTGCTGTTTTCATATACTTTGTTTCATTTGGACTTCTCAATACCCACATGCTGCCATAACAAACTACTCTGAAGTCATGTTTTCCTTCTCCCCCATATGCTGAGTTTACCTATTATTGATTGTTCCCCCAAGGTCCGGATTTCCTTTATTGCCTTTTTGAGAAAATTAAATAGAATGGGTGAACTTGTGAGTTATTTTCAATGTATTAAGTTTATCGTTGATCTTCCCTAACTAAAGATACCCCCATTGAAGTTGCCTTCATCACCAAATGAAGAAATTTGCCAGATTTCTTCGTTAGAGCTAGCAGCAGATGGAACTGAAGCCTGGTCATTTATGATAATTTGTCTTAGCCTTGCTTTGTCAGACCTGGTTGATAACGAAATAACCAGAGACCCTCTGGTCTTGCTGTTTAGCTCTGTTACACCTGGTTGATCAGGAAATAAGCAGAGGTCCACCTGGTCTTGCTGTTTAACTCTGTCTGACCCGGTTGGTTGAAATCAACCGAGTGAGGACAAGACAAACCCATTGAAGATGTTAAAAAGAAGAAACATGTCTGACCAGCCGGTCAGAATTAATGGTAATGACCAAATTACAAGTCTTTCCATCCTCAGACTACAAAGAAATCTCATAATCTATTTGCAATGAGATGAGAGGAACCCAAGATGTGCTGAGAAGAAGCTCTTCTAGTAAAATGAGAATAGTAATATTTTTTGGTTAGTTTTGGTAGATTAAACCACTAAATTGGGGGGGGGGGCAAAATTCTGAATATTCTCATTGTAATAGGTAGACCAGAGTGACATACAACACATACAATGGGAAAATTTCAATGAAAAGAAAGTTTATACGTTTTCTTTAATTTTAAATTGCACTCTTCCAATAAATGCAAATGCTAAACAGGTACAAATACTCTTTTTTATATAATATTAATACAAGATAATTATAAATTAATAACAAAATTAATTAACATACCATTCAATCATACAATTTTATAAACATTACATAATAAATTAAGTTTTAAAATGTGAATTTTTTATAATAAATTATTTTTTGTTACAAACATGAATTCTTCTCGAAAGATGTAATACTTGGAGTTCGAGTCGACGAACTGGCTTTGAGTATGAGAGGGTTGGACACTCGAAATATACTCGGGAGCAGCCCAGCCAAACAGCTGAATATTTCTTCATTTATCCCCTGAAATCAAGCATAATTAATAAATAGATGTATATATGTGAATGTATGTTAATGTGAAATCATTTCCTTGGATAGTTTGTTTCAATAATCTTAGCAATTTAATGTTGCATTACTATATTTTTACCTGTAACGAACATATTAACTGCTTTTTTTTTGTTTTTTTACTTTAATTTTCATGCTACAGTTCTTTTATTTTGTATTTATACGTTTATAACTTTTAAATTCATTTGATATATATTCTGACCTTTGGCAAAAGAAACTGTAGATTTTTTATTTCGGATCCACCCCATGAGGCCATTTCTATCATAAAACCTTTAACACATTTATACACCAACTCGGCTCGTTTTACACACCAAGCAAGTGTCATTTCCTGTAAATACATAAAATTTAACCATATTGCGGGCCTTTCTGAATATAATAAAAAAATTTCACATTGAATATTTCATGAGTCAGCAAAACAGGGATGGTGAGGGTTGATATGTCATTGGAACAGGCACATTTCATTATATTTCTCAGACCAAGTATACCGGGATGACGGGAGGTAATATCGCCTGAAATACCCTTCATTGATTAAAAAAATAAATAAATTAATTAATTCAGAAAAAAAGGTTACCAGATTTTGTAGAATCGTCCAAAACCATGTGGAAAATAACATGTACATCTGACAGATTTGAATGTTTGGTTATGTACACATCACCCGTCTGGAGATATTTCGTCCCGCTTTTTCTCGACTAAAATAAGTTGATTGTAATATTAATAAACAGATTTTAAAAATGATAGTCAATCAAACAATCTACTTGTTGCTCGGAGGTGGTGAGCAGGTTGCTATCACAATTAACATTATGCTTACGCCACTCGATACCTGTCTTCACAGATTCACGAATGTTCTCGAGCTGAATTTCTATATTTGGGAAGTGTAGTTCTGTAGACATTTCGCAGACATTCACCAAATCTTTAAAAAAAAAAGAAAAAAGAAGCTTATGCTTGAATAAATGCTTATTAATTTCATACCCTTTGTAATTCCAGAAAAACCACCCAAATGATTATCAGAAAGGATTACTAAACCGTATAAATCATTTGAATACAATCCAAGCGCTGTCGGCAGTCTCTGAGGTTGTGTCTCCAATTCACTATGCAATACAGCATAAACAAATTAGAAAGGAATGAGGGGAAAAAATAACATAAATAAATTCTCTACCCTGATGAATTTATCCGTAATTTACAGAAATCCAACACATCAGCAGCCAGAATTCTAATATTGTACATTTGTTTCATTTGGGAGCCAAGATGTATAGTGAAACTTTCTTGTAAAGTTGGGGCTTGATTTAAATAGCCTTCGCTTATTATTTCTTTAACTCCGATCGGCGAATTGCTACAAATCAAGAGGTATGTTTTAATACATGTCAGAAGTACGGAAATTGTGATTAGTTACATAAAATCATCAGTAACATAATCTTATAACATATAAAAGATGTTTTAGAAAACTTTATAAATATTTTGTTGTAAATTTCCAATTAATTAGTGAACTTACAGGGGCGTTGATATAGACGAATCGCAGCTAGAAGCAAGGAGGGACATTAGCCAATCTCTATATTCAGCTTTTTGACTGTCACGGACTGCATCCAACTGCACAAAATAATTAAAAATTTAAATATTCAATTTAAGAAAAATTGTCATTGAATAAAAAAATTAAAATTATAATTATTCAGAAATCGTGAGATGCGATCTGGACTAATCACCACACATTAAAATTATAAATTATTCTCAACATTACTATAAATTTATTATTGAATTTAGACTCAATTTATTAATTCAGGTAAATATTTTATATTTATTTATTAAATCTTATATTTAATTTCATGATTTTTTTAGTATAGTAAAACGAAACTATTAGAATGTGTAAAAAAAAAAAAAAGGCTGATTTGAAAATCTTCATTGTATTTGGTTCTCTGGCTCAAGTTTTTTGTTTTACATTTATATCTTTACTTTATTATTAAAACATCAAACCATTTTTGCATAATCAATTTTGCCATACCTGGGATTGTGTATGGGTTAAGTTAGGTTAAATTAGGAACGGTTAAGTTATGGAAAGATTATGTTAGGTGGTTAGTGATAGGGATGAGTTAGTTAAGTTAGGTATGGTTAGCATTAGTTATAAAAACAAGACTATTTTAAAAATCTTTATTGAATTTGTTTCTCTGTCTTTCAATTGTTTTTTATTATTTAAATCTTTGCAAGTTATAGATTTTGTGCTATCTGGTATTGCACATAGGTTGGGTTAGGTTAGGTTGGAATGGTTAAGTAGGGTTAGGGTTTCATTAGGTTACATACTCATGTTTTTACATTGGAAGATATAAAAACTGGAGGAATATAAGATTTTTTCAATGAAAATCCAATGTGTACCAAGTTCTTGAACAACTGCCCTCTATTAACTAATTGCCTTAGTTTTCTAATTATTAAATTCATTAGTTTTCTTGGTCTGCTTGACCAATGAATATCTTTCAATTAATTAAGGTTTTTAGTTGAGATAAAATTGAAAAATGGCAAAAAGGAGGTAAAATTCAAAAGATGGGGTTGAGATGGGAAGTTAGTGTCCGAGTGGATTGAAGTCACGATAGCTCAAGTGGTAGAGTAGCGGCGTATCTAGCCGAAGGTCCTGGGTTCGAATCCCACTCAACTACAAACCTTAATTAATCTCTAATTATTGTTGAATGAAAATTAAATCATTATGTAAATTACTCAATCTTACATTTAATTTTCTTTACACTTATTTTTCTTTAATATATTTTTTTAGTATATTAAATGAAACTATTGGGGTATGTTAAAAAAAGGTGGTTTTCAAAATCTTTATTGAATTTGCTTCTCTGCCTTTAAACAGTTTTATTATTTAAATCTACACTATCTATCAATTTTGTGTTACCTGGTTGGGTTAGGTTAGGTTAAGTATGGTTAGAGTTAGGTTAGGTTACATATCCATGTTTTATATTGGGAGAAATAAAAACGTAAGAGTATAAGATTTTTTCTAATAAAAATCCAATGTGTACCAGGTCTTTAAACAGCTGGCCTCTATTTGACCATTAATCAAATCAAATATGACCTGTATGAAAATGGTTGTAATTATAAAATAAATTTCATTCCCACCCTTGAAACTGTCATTTTTTGCTCACCCCCAAGGAAAATGTTTCATAAAGTTGATGTTATACCTTACTTTGCCACCTAGCGATTTCTAGCCCATGTTCTTCCTGTTGCCTTTTTGCTATTGCTGTTATATCCGATTCTGTCAAACCTAAACCTAACCCTTCTAAAGCTTTTGACATTTCTTCAGTTTGCCTGAAAACAAATTATTGTAATTAGACTAATTGTTCATACAGAAAAAAATCAGTTGTGTACTCACTTGAGAGCTAGAGCATCCAATTCTTCGTCCCTTTCTTTAATTATTTTATCGATAACTAAAGCGTAAGAATGTTCTACTTGAAGAATTGTGTCCAAAGCAGGGGAATGGACTAGTTTGTGATAAACATTTGAAAATAGTTCATTGTCATCACTTCCCAGTTTATCAGCTCCATATTCGAGAGTATTCTAAAAATTGAAGAAATATAATTTTTGGTTTATATTATATATATAATTTTTTCAGATCAAACTAGCACAGCAGAGCCCTTAATACCAGCCAGTAAGACATCCAGGCTTCTCTCCTAAAACCAGGTCAGTTTGACAAGGGCTTACAACAGAATGTTTCATACAGTAGATTGTATCGTACTTTTTAAATCTCTAGAATATGGAGATCTTGGGAGAAATCTAGAAATCCACCAGAATACTAAGACTATCTGATAAAGTTATAGGATTGGATTTATATTTGTTATATTTTATAGCTTCCCTTATAGTTTTAGCCTCAGCAGAAAAAAACAAACAAAACAAAAAAAAAAAACATACAAAATGATAGGAAGTTGAAGTGAATTGCATGCTTATTTCTACAGTGAAATCTTGAAAAAGTATGTATTAAGAAAATGAGAGGACTAGGTACTGCTCCTTGGGGAAAACCTCAGTTGACCTGACGAGGCCCATAGATTTCTCCACTGACCTGAGTATATATAACTACTTCTACAAAAGCACAAAACATACATTACTATCTGTCAATACTTTTAAATTTACATGTTTATAGATATTGGTAATATCCAAGAAGATGGCTCGAGTAGCATCCTTATTAATTGAATATTTTGTGAGCTTCAGTGATGAATGTAGATAATCTTTCTTAAATCCACAGTGGAAATCAGGAAGAATTTTGTTTGCTTCCACATCTATTCTAAATACCTTTAAACAATTATTTCAAAGGCTTTTAATGGAAATGATGAAAGGCTAATGAACAACAGAGGTCATACAATCCCCCAGGGCTGCGGTGTTGTTAACAAAAAGCCCATTTGTAAATACTCTGGACTCAGGGCCTCTAAAATTGGAACCCATGGCCATTTCAGCGATTCACTGTGTCAACTCACCGAGTTAATTATCATATAAAAATAAACCATTGGACTCACCTCGACAAATCCTTTTTCCCACAAATCCAGACTTTCTTTGGTATTCAGCATTTTGTGCCGATATGAAGAAATAATCTGTGAACACAGCATGTCATAGTAATTTTCGGTTTCGTCTTCAATGANAGGATGTTCACCTTGTACCAGGATATTTAATGAGTTACTAAGAATTTTTTTTTAAACTTCAGGACATTTGAACTCAGGAATACAACAGACATGATATGAAGAAATCTGGTCACGTTCACTACCCCAGGGTACTCAATATTCCTCTGGGAGAGATGCAACCCACTCCATTCACGCTCCACTTACTTTAACTCTCCAGATGATACACTCACCCCAGGGCATGCAATATTCGTTGGGGCGAGGTTAAGCAACTCCTTCCTTTGAAGCTAATAAATTACATTCATTCCAATACATTAAACTTATAATGCAATATATACATTAACACAAGTACAACACAAACACATACAAACATGACACAAACACCATACAGGGTGACTGGTGATAAGTGTCGAACATTTCAGGTGTTTCTAGTCACTATATGCAACAAAAAACTTCCTTATCTACATCAATTCGCTGATTGACTCCCTCGTTCTTCGAGTGAAAGAACGAGTTTCCCTCAGCCTCTGATGAAGCTGTTGGAAGGTGCAATCTGGTGGAACGTCTCAATGGGGAAAATGAGTTTGGTATTCTCTCCTTGTAACAGTAGCATTAGCATTGCAGTAACCGTAAATAAAATGCATATCAGCAAGATGTTCATTAGGAAACAAAGACAATTTAAATTACCAATCTGAGGACATTGTCAGTTGATAACATAAAGCAAACTGATTGAATCAAACATTAAAGAACTGACACGAAACTCAAGAGCCAGACGGATTTCCTGGAGAAATTGAACGTGCCCCCCCTTTATTGACACGTTTTTTTTTCAACAAAATGCAAAATTTTTGGGCCTTCCAACCCAAAAAGGTGGTTATACTGCTGGAAGCTAATTGAATGGAGAACATTTGAGGGAATTTGCAAAGCTACAGGAGTTTGTAGTTATTACCAATCCAACATTTACAAAAAATTCCAAATTTCAGCGTTTTTGTTTTTTCAGAATTTTTCGTGTACAATTTTTTCATCAATTCTGCAATGTAAATAGGTTTCCTTACAGCAAATTTAACATTTTTTCAGGTGGCACAAACCAGATTTTTCTACAGACAGAATTTCTGAAGTTTATAAGCAATTTAGTGGACCTAAGTCAAAAAATAAAAATAACCCAAAACCGGAAATTACTTCTTTACCGTTGAGATTTGAACAGGGTTTATAGGAAGTTTTCTTCTTGTATATGGTGAGCAAACACCTCCTGAAATTGTTGACACTTATTGCCAGCCACCCTGTATACATTTAAAAATCCATATGGCCCTCAGGTAGCGATCTGAACCTGCTGCCATGGTCCAAAATTATGCACAGGTCTGAGAATATGCCAAAATATTGCCTATAAACGTCAAGCCTATTACTGAGATAAAATTTAGATAAGTGTCAGTAAAGAAACAAATGAAACATAATGTGTTCAGGGAATTTTATTTGCTTGAAACATATCACTCTATATACGTACATTGTTGTTTAACCCTCTGAACACCCGGGTTAATAATTTTACACAAAGTACCGCGTAGGGTCCCACAAGGACCTCCATTCCTTAATTCCCCAATTTTTGTGAATAAATGTAATAAATAAGTGCACTGAATAAAAGAATGCAAGTTTAATAAATTTTAAGACATTTAAAACTTTATTTATTAAAAAACTTTACATTTGGAATATAAACATTTTTTTTTTAATTACACCTTTTGTGTATAATGGTGGTGCTTCCTTTGCAGACAAACTTCTTGCAACTTTGGTACATTTGCTTTGACGTCATGTTCCTTGGGCACAAGTTACACCTCAATCCTTTCCTATTCCTTTGCTAATTGGCGGGAGGTGGTTGTTAGAGTTCCGCACCTGAAACGACTTTCATTTTGCCTTCTTCCACTTTCATTCTGAAAACTTTTGTACAATGCTCCATTGACTGGTGGCCGGAATTATTCAGCCATTTCTGGATCATGGGCGCAGCCATTTTTTCCCCCCGATTTCCAGTAAAGATAATCGTCGTTAGTGATTGCAGGCCATTTTCCAATCTGGGCGCAGTTCATTCCATAAAAATGAATCCATTTACCACGGCGAAATCAATCAAATTCGCAGAGTGAAATTGGCCACCTTTTTTGTACAGCTAACGAGGTTCTGAGAAGCTTTGCTATCTAAATATGCCAGAAGTAGCAAATTTTTTGAAGAGCAAATCTTCGTAATAAACTCATTATGTTGTAATTGTGTATATTCAGCTCTGAGCACAACAGAAGGCCGGAAGATAAATGTCCAGTTTGGTGAGGACAACATTTTTTAAAAACACATTATAAAAACTATAGCATGGAGTCGTCAAAGACCCCACCCGGTATTCAGAGGGTTAATTTCTAAGTATTGAGTAAGTAATTTCTAAGTACTGATTGAAGCTTAAAGCTGTTAAAGTGGTGCTTATATTAAAATGTACAAATATCATACTTAAAGTATGACTAAGTTTTTGACCTTTACCTTCTCTCACAGACTGCGGTATGTTGTGTTTGTCGCATAGCTGGTGGGACAGAAGATCAGGAGAACCTGAATATGGTATTTCGACGTTGGCTTTTATGACAGTCCCCCATGGATTTTGGTAGATCATCTCTCTCTCTACTTTTTCCACTTCACCCATGTTAATTTCAATAGATTTTTTTTTCTAATGGAAATTTATCAAATGTTGGATCTGTTTAGTGTTTAATGATAACATTATCAGCTCGCCTGGCAAGCATGGAAGGTAACGTCACTGTTACAGATATAACGCATCGTCGCACCGCATTGCCCATTGGGTTTAATCTCATCGTGGTTTGTAGACCTTTGAAGGAACAAGGTATTTTTTCATCTCGTTCTAACTTTCTCCTCTTTCTTTTTAAACTGTTCTCCTTTTAATTTTACAAAATATTTATTTATGTATATAATTTAAACAGAAATAATTCATAATTTAACATTTTGTGTAATAATTAATGTTGTGAAAACTTAAACCTTCATAAAATCATACTGATTTTAACCTTATCCGTACATGTTCCACTGTTTTTCTTGTATTAAATTACTTGTAGACTCATCATATATTAAAGACACGTATTTATTTGTTTATTTTACATAATTAATAAAAGCATGGTTTTAAATTGTGAACATTTCTGGGGGAGCGGGCAGATATTTTAACCAACAGACTTAGTTTCCACTACATAGTCCAAGTCTGGGGTTTGTCGTGCTGTATCATTCATAGTGGCCTGCAGCGGTTTAGGGCTACCGGTAATCTCAACTGAAAAGAAGGTTGTGGTTATCAACTATTATTTTATTGCTTTTAACTTAGTGTCTTCGTTGATAGTTAGTCAACTCCAAACGGTCCATAATGTAAGGGTAAGCTCTAAAACATCGTGAGAAGGCTTTGTGGGAGTAGTCCAGTCTGTAGACATCCCGTATCCAATTTTCTACTAACAGAGACGCATTGATTAGAAAGAATTCATAAATCAGCATCTGTATAAATAAGAATAGTAACGATTGATTAATATTTTTTAAATTATGATGAGTACCATGTTGAACTGGCACTGGGTCCCATCCAATGCCCGCAAGAATAGATGTGTTCACTGACTTGCAGACCTTACACTATCAACTTTGATAATCATGTTAACAGACATATTTTATCAGTTTATTAGTTATCGGCATGTAAAATAAATTTGTAGTGTTTTTCCTTCAATGATTCGATTTTAGCCCTCTTGTGCCATGTGTGGGAATCACTCAGGGTAGTGTCTTTGGCTCGCTACTGTACTCTGTATATATGGCTGATGTCCCGAAACGATTATCATCGCATATGCTGATGCCATTTTATCCTCTTATGTCTGAACAGACTTATTCCTCACCTGTTGGCAGAAGAATTTATTGTATTTTATCTCTATCTACAATTTTCTCCTGAAATGACCCATTTTTCAAATGACTGGGAATAGGGATAGAAGAGACGGCCACAAGGCTTACTGCACCTCGACCTGAATAGATCTATTGTGCTCTTTATTATTTATAACTCACTGGCCAGGTTATTAATCAGCCTCCACAGCTTTCCCAGCGGCTCCTTAGTGTAGGATCTTGCTTGTGGTTTTTCTTGTCCTAGTTGCACGAACCTGCACCTACATCGACCTTCACAGAAACAGAATGTGTTCTGCGGTCTCCTCCTCTTCCTGGCAGTATCTGCACAGTGTTTCTTCTGTTTGTACTCCTATCCGGTACATGTGCCTTCTTAAGTGGCAGTGTCCTGTCAGGGGTCCAAGCAGAATCCTGGTTCGGTTGCGGTTGCCTTCCAGTAATTCTTTTATGAGTTTTGCAGATGGTCCTTCTATGAATCTCTTCACTTGCCTGTGGTATTATTCTATCAGATTTTGGACTCATTAAAAATCCATTTTAAGATGGATGCCACTTTTGTGGCAGGCTACTAAGCGAACAGTAGGGTTCAGGACCCAGAGTCCATGTTGGCCCACTTTTTGGCCAACTGTCAACCTTTTCGCTGACTTTATACCCCAAATGCCCATGGTCCCATGCCAGGGTCAGGTCATTAGTGTCACTGACCTCTGTCAGGGCCTCCATGCAGTAACAAACGCTCTTAGCCTTCACCTTGCAAGAGGCTAGGGCAAGAGTGGGAATGAAAACTCTTTTACACCAATGTTCAGATAAAAAATCCGTTTGGTATTTTTGGTGGTATTATTGGTAAATTGCACCCCCCGTTAATTCCAAAAACGGGATTATCAAGAAGATTGTGCATTTAGTTGTATTGGAATGGGCTCCTTTATTGTGAGCCTCTTCCGCCCGACCAAATTGTCAATTCTGGTGTATACCGGATGTAATTGGAGCAAATAAAGTCAGCAATTGACCAAAAATGACTGCATTGGTTAATCGCAAGGGGATTATTTTCCACTGGGGTAATACTCGCTCCTTTCTTGTAGATGTGCCTGAAATTGGAGGTTGGCTGGCATATGCTGCACATCCAACTTATTCACCTGACTTTATTTAACTTTTACTAGATTTTCACTTACTTTGAACTCTGTAAAAAAAAAAACAACCCAGAACTATGGTAAAAGATAGTGGAACAAAATAAATATATTTTTGGTTAAATTTGTTTACAAGTACCTGAAATCTTCATTTATTTATCATAACAAAATAAAATTAAAATTGAATTAATTTGATATCACACCTAGGCCTAGGTTCTTTTTTGTCATGATGATTAAACATCATCACCAAATCATTTTACAAAATCCTCTAAGAAATTCCTGCATTTTTTTTTATTGGCCACCATGAAGTCCTTACTTTTAGAAGGCATAAAAACAGGCAACTCAAATTCAAAAATTTGACAGAAAAATGGTTAGGGTGTCTGACTTTTATTTGCCATGCTAGTTGTCCTGGTTTTTAAAATCCCGGCATAACCCAGGAAATTTTAATTTTAATAATAATATGGAAAAATCCCCACAATTTTTTTTTAACACACTCACATAACATCCTTACATTTAGAAGGCAGGTAATAGAGTTAGGGCTAGGGCCAGGTGTTGTGGCATTGTTTTCACAAAGGTCGAGGGAAATTAAAAACAAAACAGTTCTATGGTAAAAGTATAAGCAAAAATAATAAACGGGAAGAATAAGGTTTGCTGTGAGTACTAAAGCCACTCATCTTGATCAGCAGCAGAAGATACTCCTAAAAGAAATCAATTAACTTTTAGTCTTCACACAAAATACACCACAATATTTATTCTTTTATTACAGGCTTCCTGGGGCTAATTTCATCCTACACATAAATACACTTGTCTAATATTTTTCGATATATTAACATCCTTTAAAATTTCATTGAAATAGATTGCGAGAGCTATGAGCTTAGGCAGTAACGTTAATGCAATTTTTGGTCATTTTTACACCTAAATTTTTTTTCTTCTAGGCCCTTTGTACTCCATTGGATGAATCCACATACACGTGTCTAATATATTTCGACCTTACATCAATAGAAAAAGTTTCTTTGATATTAATGACCCCATGAACTTTTCAGCCTAATCATTTGCAATTATTTGCAGAATGAACAATCGTAACAATGAATGAATAATTTTTTAATAATAACTAAGCATGTTAGTATATCTAAAGTTGTGTTTGTTTAAGTTTAGTATTAGTAATTAATCCAAATTATTTATTTTAATGTGGCCTCGGTTTTTGGGTTTTCTTCTTTTTTTCAACAAGGGCGATGTGTCTAATGTCTAGCCTGTAATTGTCATTGTCTAGTTTTAGGTATTTTTAGTTTTTTTTTTTTTTTAAATAAACAAGTTCTACTTTTTAATTTAGAATGTTTTTCAAATATTTTCAAATAAANTTTTTTTTTTATAGTCATTTCTGTGGTATCATATTTCGTTCATCTTGTAGGTTACTTTTGAAACATTTTTTATTAACTCTGGAGACCTATTGTTTATCATTGTAAAATTTGAGCTAATCACCAGGAATTGAAATAAAATAAAATAGCATTTGTATAAAATTAGACATTATTTTGTTGAGACCAGTAATATAGCGTAGTTCTTGTAGGTATAATTGTTTATCCAAAACATTTCTTAATATTTGTGCCAATGTCTACCTGACAAGTAATTATAAGACAATTTTTATCTTAAAACCCTCATTATATCAACTTTCTACAAACTCATTTTTAAAATAAACCCTTATTATAGTAATATAATAATATTTTATTGCATTTTCAGAACGTTGAAAATTAAATCCTATAGGATTTGATCAGTCATGAGTGCCCCAAACCAATGGATTTTGTATATTACAACCAATCACACAGTTCATCAGGCGTCCTTTTTGATAGTGAGTTAATTGCAGCAAGTGATTTTTTTCTACAAAGGTACGCTGTCAATGCATTTCAACCATTACAATTTATATTAGTACAAACAGTAGTTCTATAACTTGATATTATGTCTATATGTAGGTCGTTTTGTTATTTATTTTTACCTTCTTTGATTTCTTAGGGCTCTTTTGTTTTAGACGTGCAATCAGAGTGGAGCATATAATGGACCCTCGCGGTGCCGTTTTACAAGAAATGTTCAATATCTTCAGTTTAACCCGCCTGTCCTGCAGAATCGTTATCTGAAACGCTTTGGCGTTTTTCATAAATTAAAAACAAAAAATGTAAACCTTTGAATTTTAAAAGTTAGCAATAAAGACTTTTTATTGAGCCTTTTTAATTAATTATTTGAACTATATTAAATTGTCTTGTTTTTGTGTATTTGCATGTGGTACTGATTTTGCATTTTGTTGTATTAACCAATTAATTTTGCATAAAATATTATCAATTTATTATAAAGGCATTCCATTTTTGCCAAAGTTAGTTTTAAATCTTGCATATTGTTTTTTTTTGTTTATTGTTGTTATAGATACATTGAAAACAGTTACCACAATGAAGCTATTAAATTCCATGTGTCGACATGATTGTGTCACTAAACGTTTCCTTAATGAACAAAGGTCTTTTGGAGCGGCGGTCGATTCGTATAAATTCAAATGGTCTCCTCAAATAAACAACATGAAAGATTCCACGTCTCAACCCGAAAGCCCGACATTTTTGAACAAGGAACCCTATAGAAATCCAAAGAAACCGAGATACAATGAGTTTGGTATTCAGATGATTTCCGAACAGCTTTATAAACAGCTGTTTCCAAACGCACCCAATAAAAAGGATATCAAATTGATCGATCAATGCCTTCAAACACTTAAGTCTTACAACTTTGATAAAATACAAGAACCTTCTGAAGACGTTGATCTAAAGATTCCCCAACTTGATGGACAAACAGTCGAAGAACATTTCATGACCATAGGGGAAAAGCAAAGCAAGCCGTATCGAGAGCTTCTTTTAAAATTATTGGTGACACGCCCTGAAATGCCTGAATCCTGGGTATTAAAACCTGGTTGGACGAGATATGCTAAGGATGGAATATATTCCGTTGACCATCCTTTAGAAGATGCTATAGTTTTTGATGTGGAGGTTTGTTGTTCTGTTGGACCTTTACCGACTTTAGCCACGGCCGTTAGCAAAGATGCTTGGTACAGCTGGGTCAGTAAAGATTTAGAAAATTGTAGTAACACTGTGAAACATTCATTTACACCAGACAATTTGATACCTCTTGAAAGAAAAATAAGTAAGGAAACTGATCCAGCTGAATTTTTTAAACCACGCATTGTGGTGGGGCATAATGTTTCGTACGACCGAGCAAGAGTTAAAGAGCAATACTGGCTCGAGCAAACAGGACGGAGATTTCTTGATTCCATGTCAATGCATATTTGCATTAGTGGAGTGACTAGTTATCAGAAAGCGTTATTAAAAGCTGGAGTAGGAAGTGAAGAATGGAGCAAATTAACCTCATTAAACAGCCTTGCGAATGTTTATGAATTATACTGCGGTAAACAATTATCCAAGGAAAAGGGCACTTTGTTCTTAACTGGCTCACTACATGACATTAAAAACAATTTTCAAGCTTTGATGAGTTACTGTGCGAATGATGTTTTAGCTACGTACGACATAATGAAACACATGTTTCCATTATTTTTAGAAAGATTTTCACACCCTGTTACATTAGCTGGGATGCTGGAACTCCAGACGACTTACGTGCCTGTTAATAAAAACTGGAAAAAGTATTTGTTTGATTCGCAGCAGGCGTACGATGATTTGGATTTAGAAGGGAAGAGCATATTGATACGAAGTGCCAATGAAGCGTGCAGGTTGTTACACAATGAAAAATATAAAGAAAATTTATGGATGTGGGATCAAGATTGGTCACTGCAACATCTCGCTTTGAAGAAAACTGTTTCTAAACTAAAAACCAATGAGATTGAAATTTTTCCAGAAAATTTTCAAGATGATGAATACGATATTGTTGAAAAACAGAGGATAATTTTGAAAAATAAGTATAAAGAGCAAAGAAAGCTATGTCATAGGCTGCATACGAAAACAAACCACCTCTGTGGTTATCCGAAGTGGTTTAGAAATATGTGTACTAAACCTATTGATCCTTCTTGGTCTCCTGAACCGGAATTGGTCAGTACAAGTATGAAAATTGTTCCTAAGCTTCTACGTCTGACATGGTGCATGTTGCCGCTGCACCACGTAAATGGATTTGGTTGGGGTTATTTACTTCCGTATAAAACTGAAATCCCAATTGATCATGACAATTTACCGACAGAAAAACTTGTACAACACTACTTCAAGGAATTTGAAGATTCTTTATGCAACTGTTCTGAAAATAAAACTCAATCGACATTTGTTTGCACCAACAGAGCACATTTCAGAAATAATAGTTTTAATTTTTGCAAGGATGATATTGGTAAATGTTATGGTATGGTGAAGTTGCCACATAAAGATGGAAACAATTTAAATGTTGGGAATCCCTTGTCTCGAGACTTTATCAATAAATTTTCTGATAATGAACTTTCTGGGGCGACTGTGTATTCAAAAAAAATTATACAAATTAGCCGAATGCTTTCTTATTGGAGGAACAACAAGGAGAGAATAGAGAACCAATTGGTTTGTTGGTTACCACCAGGTCGTGAAAATTCTAAGTTGAACGGGCAAACTGATATCGGTGTGATTCTTCCGTTAGTCATCGTTTGTGGGACGTTAACAAGAAGAGCTGTGGAACCTACTTGGATGACTGCTTCCAATGCAATAGTTGAACGAGTCGGTTCAGAGCTTCGGGGGATCGTCCAGGCTCCACCCGGATACGCTTTAGTCGGCGCCGATGTCGACTCACAAGAACTATGGATAGCATCATTACTTGGGGACGCTAATTCTGTAAGAATACACGGCGCTACGCCATTAGGTTGGATGACTTTAAACGGAAAAAAGAGTGACGGTACAGATATGCACAGCGTCACAGCGAAAGCAGTAGGCATATCAAGGAACCACGCCAAAATATTAAATTATGCGAGAATTTATGGAGCCGGACAGAAATTCGCTGAACGTTTGCTAAAACAATTCAATCCAGGCATGTCTGACGCGGAAGCGTCTAAAAAAGCAGCTAAAATGATGCACATCACAAAAGGGAAAAAAATGTTCAAACTGAAAGATGAATTTAGAATGAAAGATAATAGCACATTTTACACAAGAGAAGGTGCTAGACAACTCTGTTCTATTTATCAGAAATCCAAGGAGGAATTGTTTTCGTGCATACAGTGGCATGGAGGATCGGAATCTTCCATGTTCAACAGCTTGGAGGAAATAGCCAACAAACTGAATCCTAGCACACCATTTTTGAACAGCAGGCTAAGTCGAGCCCTTGAGCCCTCGGTCGACGGAAATGACAAATACATGCCAACAAGAATTAATTGGGTTGTGCAAAGTGGAGCTGTCGATTTTTTACACTTGATGCTAGTCTGTATGAGATGGTTTTTAGGGAACGAGGCGAGGTTTTGTCTGAGTTTTCATGATGAAGTGAGGTACCTCGTCCCGGAACGGCAAAAATACAAAGCCGCTCTGGCCCTTCATGTTACCAACCTATTGACTCGAGCGTTTTGTGTTTCTCGCCTGGGTATGACAGATTTGCCGCAATCTGTAGCCTTTTTTAGTTCCGTAGATGTTGATGTAGTGTTGAGAAAAGAATCAACAGATGACAATAAGACGCCATCTAATCCTTTTGGTCTCAGTAAAGGATATGGCGTGCCTATTGGGGAATCTTTAGATATTTACAAAGCTATATTGAAAGCAAATGGAGTTGTTGGTTTAAGATAAAATCAAATATAAAAAAAAATTTTTTTGCATATATATTTTCCAAAGATCTTAATTTATTGAATGTAACATGGTTTATCAATTGTAGAAATAAATTATAAAAATGTGATATTTATTATAACGATAAGTTAATAAGTAGTAATAATTAATTTAAAAAAATAAAAATTATTTGTGTCTGTTATTTTTCAATACACATCAATTCTTTTTTTGAAATTGTTTATTCTTTCCTTTCTACAATTTTTTAAGTTCAATAAACCCTCAACGTTTTTTTTGTACAAAACTTGTACCTAGAGATGCAAAAAACAAATGATATATATTATGTTGATTAACATTAATAAAAAACTCATGTACATATAAGCATGTACATGTACATGTATACATACATATATAATATATACAAATAAATAAATAAAATTGTTTGAAGTTTGGAAAAGTTAAGTCGCCCAATGACGACCAAACCTAGTTATTAAGTAAGTCCCTTGGCCACTGTCAATTTAAATGGCAGGTTGACCTAGCGGGTTTTTATAGGGAGCATATTTGATGGACAAGTAGGTTAGTTTGTATACTTTTGCATTTATGGAATTTTGTGTATCGGGAATGGACGAATTCTTTGACAAAAGGAGTTTTGAGGTATAGGGTAAGGTGATTTTACAGAGAATTTTTGACTGCAGCGACTGGATTTTTTGGAATAGGAGCATTTGGTTGAACCCCACAGTTCTGTTCCGTAGGTCCACATCAGTCGGAGACCAGTCTTGTATATTAACAGTTTGTCCATTAGTAAAGTTTTGATCGTTTGTCTAGTATATGCATTAGAAGTTTATTTCTTTTTTTAAGTTCCTGTCTTTTCACTTTAGTGTGGTGGTTCCATGCCAGTCTTTTGTCAAGAAACACTTGTCTATATCAGCAGTCGGTATAGGTATGTTGTTAAAGTAGAGTATCGGAATATACTCCATGTTGCACGGTGGAGGGTAAAGGTTGTGTGGGTGCATTATTAATTATTATTATCCATCTTTTGGTCCATTGATGGATATCATTTAAACGGGCTTGTATGTTGGAGGCAGGTTTTTCTAGGTTTAGATGCAAAGGATAAGTGTGTTGTCTGCAAATGTAGCAAGGAATGTGTTAATATTTAGACGGATATTGAAAACATATGTAGGGGAGGACCTAGGAACTTCCTTGCGGTACTCCTGCCCCAAAAAAGAGAAGAGATGTACATCTTGTCTGATATGTATGATCGGACAGGTAGGATTTTATGATCAAGTAATAAGTTGAGGGGAGAAGAGCCTTAACTTGGGGAAAAGCCCTGGCTGTCAGACTCAATCGAAGGCTTACTCCATGTCAAGAAATAAACCAGGACAATACTCCCCATGTTCAAGGCTGGAAAAGATATGTTTTTTAAAATTTAATTCATCATACTATACAGGATGTTCTTACATTTTAGATTGATCATCTCTGATTGTTCTGGTCTGGCAATCACATTTCACAAAGATGAATTGGAGATAGTGAAATTCCAAATTGACAGTTGAAGCCAGCAAGAATAGGCAGACCAGAATGACTAAGGTCGATTATGTACCTCACAGACATGTTGCCAAAAATAATTATTTAGTAATAGTACAAAATAAAAATAGTATATCGTATCATCACTAGTGGAGAAAATCTACCAACCTACCTCCTCCAAATTTCTCTTTACTTATGATGAAATATTTGTAGGCCGGCTGAAGATTGTAGATGAAACGACAGATTAGAGGGTTTAAACAAAAACCACAGCCTTGAGAACTTTCGTACAAATCGTTGATGATTTAATTTTCAGGGTAAAATTATTTCTTTAGAATTATTATTCAAATGTGTACTTCAATTGATTAAGTCCGATGGAAAGGGTTACATAAACTTTGACAACATGGAAGCAAGTTGTGGAAGAAAATTCTGCATCTGTAATTTTTAATTTTACCGAGGACAAAATCAACATTTTTATTTCATTTTTTTTGATGACTAGTTTATAGTACTTGTATTAAGGGCTGAAAGACTTGGTCCATATTGTATCGAGGGTTTGAAAATCACCTTTATACAAATTCCATCATAATGCTTTAAGGTATTGGTTGTTTTTAAGGAAAATCAATCATTTATAAAAACCAAAACCTTTTAGGCATCAATTGGAGAAAGATTGACCTAAAAATAAAATTAGTATTGTACGATTTCATCTAAAAGTCTTGAGTGGTTTTTGATTCTGATCATTTATTCTAGTTATTTTTTGGTTTGGTAGACTTCTTTTGTCTTATTGTGTCTTAAATCACTCCATAAAGATGGCAAGAAGCCAAAACCTGAATGACAGATTGAAAACCAGTGATGATAGGCAGATGAAAATAGTAAGATTTGGTCAAACTACAAAATTAAAATTGTAAGATTTCATCTAGAGGTCTGCATGGTATTTATTTTTGATTATTTTAGTTCACTTATCCTTGCTATTTCCACCTGTCAGATTTCAGATGACAGACTGAAAAATGGTGGACTCGCAGATCAAAATAATCTAAATCAGCCAAACTACAAAATTGAGATTGAAAGATTTTCTGTAGTTCATTTTGGTGTGCCTATCCTCACTGTTATGGTATCCTGGACTTGTTTTGGCTTATTGTGTGTTATATCGTTCCCAGATGATTCCAAGAAGCTAAAACCTGTCTGACAGACCAAAGAAAGCTAGGTTAGACAGATCAAATGATCATAAATGTCCAAATTACAAAAAAAGAAAGATTTTATCTAGAAGTATGAGGAATATTCGTTCACAATAATAGTTTTGGTTTGTCAGACATGTTTGGACTTGTATCTGTCTTCAATTGCTCACTGAAGATCACAAGAAGTAAAAAACATCTGAAAGACTGAAAACCAGCAAGGATAGACAGATGAAAATTATAAGAATTGGCCAAACTACAAAATTAAAATTGTAAGATGCCATATAGAAGTTTGAGGGTTATTTGTATATTTTAATTTCGGCCAATTTACGCTTGCAATTTTAGTCTCTCGGACATGTTTTGGCTTCTTGTGACTTATATTGCTCACAGAAGATTACAGGAAGCTGAAACCTGTCTGACAGACCAAACAACTAGGCAGATCGAAATGATCAGAAATGAAAAGCACAAAATTAGAAAGATTTCATCTAGATGTATTACAGGTATTTATTAACAACAAGAGTTTTGATTTGTCAGTTATGTTTGAACTTGTATGAAGTTTTTTTCTTCTTAGTGAGGACAGGCACATCAAAATCATCTGAATCAGCCAACTCACAAATTATAGTGTAAAGTTTCTTCTTGAGGAGTGAGAGGTATAGTTTTGTATTGTCTTTTCATTTTGGTCTGCTTATCCTCCCTGTTTTGTTTTGTCAGACTTGTTTGGTCTTAAAATGCTCATTGAAGACACCAAGAAAACGAAACCAACCTGACAGACCAAAATTATTTGAATTACTGAAATGTTGATTGCTGAAACAATTAAATTACAACAAAATTAGAATGGTAAGATTTCATCTAGAGGATTAAGGGATATTTGTTCTGATCATTTTTGTCTGCGAGAAATTGTTCTAAATCACCACAAAATTGGAATGGTAAAATTTAATATAATGTAGATCATTTTGGTGTGATAATCCTTGCTGTTTTGGTCCGTCAGATTTATTTTGGCTGATTGTGTCTTAAATCACTCATTGAAAATACCAAGATGTACAAACCAGCCTGACATTAAAAACAGTGAGTATAGGCAGATCAAACTGATTGGAATTGGCCAAACCACAAAGCTAGAATTGTACAATTTCATGTACAGGCCTGTGGGGGTATACATTTTGATCTTCCTGTACTGCTCACTGAAGAAGGCAAGAAGACAAAACGTCTGCCTTAGCGAAAAACACTGAGAATATGTCGATCAAAATGATCTGAATCAGCCAAACTAAAATATTGAAACTTAGGGTTCTGAATGGAAAACCAAACCATTTCCACCATTTTGAAATGTTTTCTATTTTTTCATTTCTCAGAATTGTCCACGAGTTGTCATAGTCCCATCTATTTGATCAATTAAAATATAAGGATAGTGAATGAATTTAATGAAATTTTTAATTCACAAATCCTTATTGTGAGTGTACATACAAAATCACATAGAATAAAGAATCTCCTTGGCTTTTAACTTGTTATACAATAAAAAACTTAACGTACAATTTAATCTTCCTATCATGTCCACTTACACAGACGGTGTTAAACCATGAGGAACGTCTTTTTTGCTTTGTAATGTATACTGCCGATTTGTAAACTTTGTGTATACATTAAAGAATAAAGACTATAGTAGTAGTAGTAGTAGTAGTAGTAGTAGTAGTAGTAGTACACACATTTACCCCCTTGTTTTTTTCTATATATTGTATATTTAATGTTACGATTTGGTCTCCAGTCTTTCAGTATAAAAACAAATATAAAAACAAAATTTCAATGTGTGGTGATAGGCAACATTGTTCTGTGGATGAAAAACACAATATACAGTGAAAATTATATTTTGCCTTTAATCATTTCAACATGTATATAAACACAGACTAGAATGGGAAAATATACTTAGTTTCTTTTTTTTGACACATACTTGGCATAATTTTAAATTCTACTTGTAACTTATCAATGTATATGCAGCTTGGTTCTCTACAATCAACATTGTTCTCAGAACGTGATTCAAACTGAAGATATTCAATTAAAAATATCTGCTTATAAACTTTGTAACTTATAAATATTTCTGCCTATCTGAGAGTAGGTTTTAGGTTTTTTTTACATTAACACTTAAATTTTTAAATTAGGGTTTAAGCATGATCCATACTACTTGGATTTTAAGATGATTAAAAACTGCAATATTAAGGACTATTATCCATCTATTTAAAAAATGGTTACATCTACACAGTTGAGAAAATATTACCAAGATCTTTGCAATTAAATATTGACGTAACAATCAAAATGATATTTAAAATTAAACATAAGTTTTTAAAATTGTATTTTATGTTTTTTAAAATCCGTAGTTTAATTCATATACAACAATATTCAAAAAAGTACTTACACCATCATGAACATTTTTAGAAATTCAGTCTCTTACTAAATACTTTCTTAGTTCATAAAAATATTAAAAATGTTTACAAAACTATCAAGTAACAAAGAATATACAATAAAAATTAAAGACACCTTTAAGTATTTACTTGTAAATTACAATATTTCATTTCTATTACAAAAGATCATTCTCGTTGACGTCTGTTTAATTTGATCACTACTCCGTTCAATTCTCATTTGTATAAACTATATCTGTATTGTTTTTATACACATTACTCTTGAATTTTTCTTTTCACTCTTTTGTCACTGACCATACTTGGGAACAAATACAAAATTAACAGTAACTAGTTTCTTTCTTGGAACAGTGTTTCATAAATAATTGTTGTTCTAATGTGTTATATTTTTAACATGGATACCTACATGGGTTGATTTAGATTAGGTTGGGGTAGGTTTAAGGTTAGGTTAGGAATAGAATAGTTAGGCTATGTTGGGTTAGGGTTAGAAATAGTTAAGCTAAGTTAGGTTAAGGTTAGGTTAAGAATGGTTAAGCTAGGTTGGGTTAGGGTTAAGTTAGTAGGGTTAGGTACATATCCATGATTGAATGTAAATCAGACTCTATGCCGGTGGACCGTGGTTGAATTATTTGAATTTCAACACTATGAAGGGGGTTAGAGAGGTATTCTAAACAACTTGATGGGAATTTCATTTTGAGTTCATAAAAACCTTATATATAAATATGTCAAACCCTTCTATTTTTCACTCATTGAAATTGATATTTTTCATATGAATTATGTTGGAAAATTTACTCGATGTTTTCACTCTACAGTTTACCTATGTACAAAAAACAAAACAATAAATAATATAAATATACGACAGGGAAAACGAAATATCACAATTTAAAAAAATTACATACATTGACAATATAGCATCATTTAATAATAAATGATAAAATCTAAAAGTGAAATATTTATTGTGATTATATCACATTTACCCAAAATCTTATTATATTAATGTATTTGATCTTATGATGATGTTCATTCACTTCAAGTTGTACTATATGTATGTCTATTATTAAAAAAAATAAAATTATAAATTTAGACTGAATTTAAATACATGTTTCAAATGTATTGCCCTTTCCAGTTAGCTGTTGTGGGCAAACGGGATCAATTATTTGTGGCAGTTCCTCATCCAAAGTCATCTGTCGCCCGTTGTCATTTTTGCCGGAAGATTTGAGATTCTTTTTCCAAATGCTAGCATTGGATGTTATAGTCGACAACAGGAGCGATTTTCTGATGCTGTTAGGCACGGATTCATTCTGGATTAATAGACTGTGTGGACGCCCTCGATGAGATCTGCTACTAATCCTGTTGAAACTTTCCCCCTCGACAGGGATCATTTCAGTTTCTCGGCTTGCCATGGTGTGGTCATTGTTGTCTTTCCAGCAAAGCAGGGTTTTTTTGAACGCCGACCTGTATTTGACCGACATCAAATTGTAAAGTATAGGATTGATAGTGGAAGAGAAGTAGTACAGCATGCCACCAATGCTGAATATCCATTCATTGATGACTTCAAAGTAGGGAGAGTTGCGACCGTAAATGTATAACAGTCGTTGAGCATGAAATGGTGCCCAGCATATGAAAAATGTTATTACAACTGCAGCTGAAAAAAAGAAAAAAAATCATTGCAATATTTTGCTTTATAAAAAATTAGTGTTAATTTAAAAAATAATTTCGTGGTCACATGGTTATTGTCTTATAGAAATTTAAATAGGTATTACTTTGTAATATTTTTAAGGTTGTGGCCTTAACCTAAATACTTTAACCCCAAAGAAGAAATAATGTCACCTCAAGCTGATGATCGAGCTTGTTATAATACTTTAACTTACAATCAATAAGCAAGTAAAAAATAGAATAATGTACTTTGAAATTTTTATATTAAAATAAATTTGGTAAAACTTACTTAACATTCTTATAATTGTCTGTCTAGATTGTGTGTGCCGATTTTCACCGTGGATAGCACCTTCGACTTGATTGAGCGAGTTGCCCACTTGTATTGTTCTTCCGATTCTTACATAAAGATTCACGATTATTATGAGTGGGAGGATAAAAAAGAGAAAACCGCTCAACTCATAAATAGGGAAATTTTCCGGAATGTTATTTTCAAGCATTGCACAGAATGCCGATTCGTGAACCATTTTTCCCGTCCCAGGGGGGTAGTCAAGGTAGTTCACAGTGGTAAATATTGCAAAAGGTGTAGCGCATATAAGAGACAGTATCCACACGGCGGTAATTATCCTCACGGCTCTGGGCAATCCAGCCATTGTATAATAATGCAGTGGGTGGCATATTGCCAAATATCGTTCCATTGAGAAAGCTACTATTGTTAGGACAGATGTGTAGGAAGTCCTGGAAAAAAACAACAACAATATATCAGAAAAATATATTACGAAACAATTTAATAAAATTTTTATAAAGTGGTCCTCAATTAACTTACATTTCTGACACAACTGCCCTTAGTTTGCAAAGCTCATTTCCAAGTACCCATGGATATTGCTGCCAGTATAAGCTCAACTCGTTCGGCAGTCCTATAATAAAAACGTTAATTTTCAGTAAGTACTTTGTAGTTATACATAGTTACATGTGCTTATAAATACGAAAGTATTTGTAAATATTTAAATAGTTTAAGTGTAAATGTTTTTAACCTATGTTGGTATCTGGTAGAAAGATAAGTTATGACTCCTACACAGAAAATGTTTTTAAGAAGTCTGTGAATATTCTTTTATTAGATATACTTTCACATTTCAAAAAAATATGCAAGAGCAGAATTGACCAAACAAAACATATCAATTACTGAAGATCAAACTAATATATATATANTATATAAAATCAGCTCAAACAGGCCTGAAATAATAAAAGGTAGACCAGAATGACCAGAGGCATTCAACGATAAATAATACTATAATAATAAAAATATACCTAAACATTACCTAGCTGTTGATAGTCCCGGGAGCCCAACCTCAGTGGTTGAACAGAAAAGACTAATGCTTGAACTCAGACTGCCAACACCGAGGATGAGTGATTCTTGAGGCCTGCCCTTAATTTGTTGTCAATTACAAAAAAGTTGGACTTACCAGCAGTATTTGAGAAGTGATAGCTGAGCTTATATAAATCAATAATTAGTAATATACCTAACCTAACCATTCCTAACCAAACCCAACCCAACCTAAACTAACTTCATTTTTTAATTTTATTTTACTAATGAAGCCAACTGGCCTATGGATGGTTTAAAAAATAGAGTTAATGAAAATTTTACACCCATAAAAAACCTAATCTAACTCTAACCTATCCCTAACGCTACCCAACTTCACATATGTTTGTGAGCGCTGGATATACAAATGGTTTTGCATGACCACTTTCACATTATCGATTTCACATGACTGAGGAGTGTGCATGGGCTGAGCTAGATTTGGTTAACTTAAGCCGGGATTTGTTAGATTAGGAATGGGTTTAGGTTTAGGTTTATTTAGTTAGGTGGTTAGGTTATTTTGTGTTTGGTAGATCAGATCTGATTTCCTGAGACAAACCAAACAGATTCTTCAAAAATAAAAAAGATAAATCTTTAATAATTAGGAGAAGGTTTGGCAAAGATTAACTTTAGTGGTTTTACATAAGACATTCTTGGCTGAATCTTTTGCCTGCTTCTGTCCTTGGATATTGTTTTGCTAAATATGAGTACATTACTTTACTTTGGCTTTTTTGTTGCATTTTGAAATTTAATGTTATGGCCTCTGTCACATGACATGTTATTTCCTTCACATAAAATTTTTATAAAATTTATTTTTTACATAACCTCAAAGAAAATAGTCCAGCAGGCTTAAGTAGAATAAACTGAATAGAAAAGTTAAGTTGAGCTAGGTTGGACTAGGTAAAGTTAGGTTAGGTTGAGTTGGATTACTAAGATTAAGTTGGTAAAGTTAGATTAGGTTATGTTAGGTTGGGTTAGGAATGGTTCGGCAGGATTAGGGTTAGGTAGGGTTAGAGTTTTGTTAGGGTTAAGGTACGGTTAGGTTAATGTCTATTATGGGCGTAAAATATTAAATACCGATTTTTAAACAACCCATAGTCCAGTTGGCTTAAATAGTTTAAATAAAATCGAAAAGCAAAGTTAGGTTACGTTGGATTAGGTTAGGTTAGAAATGGTTAAGGTTAAGTTAGGTTATGCGTCTTCGTAACATCGCTGCTTGACTTCCTCCTCTTGTTATTTGACTAATAATCAGACCTTTGGCGTGCAGGTGTGCAGAGGGAATGATTTTTCTAATGGTGGTTCCAAAAGTTTGTGTTTTATGATATATTTAAACATTTTAAACATAAGCATAAGCTAAGTGAGGAATGCTTAGGTTAGGGTTACGGTCAGGTTAGGCTAAATTATGTAGGATTAGGAATGATAAGGTAAGGAAGGGTGAGGTTAGGGTTAGAGACGGGTTCGGTTAAATAGGTTTAGAGTTAGGGATAGATATAGCGGGCGGTTGTACAATGACGATTGGTTATGTAGAGTTAGTGCTAAGGTTAACGATGGGTTAGGCTATGTTATGTAGGCTTAGGAATGATTAGGTTAGGCTTAGTTAGGTAGGTTGAGATTAATTAGGCTATGTAAGTTTAGGGTTAGGGACAGTTTAGGTTACGGCAAAGCCATGGTTAGGTTAGGTACAGTAGGATTAGAGTTAGGTTACGTAGGGTAGTAAGGTTAGGAAGGGTGAAGTAAGATTAAGGGTTCGGATTATGTAGCTTTTGGGGTACGAACGGGTACTATGCGCCTCCAATAGCCTCTAATACCCAACTCCGACTTTCCACCTTCACGAAGCTTATGCGGGTGTACCCTGTTAACTAACAAACGGAAAGAGGGGTATGGAGGGACAGGAGCTGGACCTGACACCTCCTAATCCTAAACCCAACACCTACCCCTCTTCCCACCCCACACCTTATCCTGGTCCCACTCTCCAGCCCAAATCNGGATTAGGGTTAGGCTAGTTTATGTAGGGTTAGTGTTAGTAATGATGGGTTAAAATAGGATTAGCGTTAGGGACGGCGTTGTTTTTGTTGGAATAAAATAAGAGATAAAGTTACTGTTGATACATCAAAAAGAGAATGTGGCCGAACTTTATTTCCATCATAATTGTAAAAGAAAGTAATTCCTATCATACAGGAGATTTTAAGTGTATCGGTTGGATGTGGACGAGGAGCCAAATCACTTTATAATACTTGTTACCTATTATTCTCAATTAGCCCGCTTTGTTTAGCCAGAACTGCTAGCGTGACAAGTACGAATCGGACGCTCTAACCACTCGACCACGGTATTCATCATGATAGTTTTCCTGATTTAAAACAAAAGCGTATCTTATTAATACCGTGTTCTACTAAAGAAGGTCTATATACATACAAGCCAAAATAAGCTCCGTCGTATCAGGTTCGGACTCAGTCGGAATTAGATCAAAATATATTATGATTTTACAAATCGATCTCTTTCTGTAAATAGACGCTATTCAAGTGAAACAGTTTAACATTTGGGCGGATTGTTATTCACGTTTAGCCCAGAAAAGGGTTCTGCCAACCTCGCCCACTCAAGATTAGCCGGTGAACTGATATTATAAAATAATTCTTCAATATAAAATATATAGTAGACCATAAAAGGAAAACTCGTTAATTGACTCTACGAAGCTGCGTTCCACACCAATATGGACGTTTTGCGTAATTTATATTTAGACTACTCAGACCGATTTTCAATCGAGCGGGTAAAAATAATAAAAAAAACTTCCAACGAGGCTAAAATTCAAGCTGGCTTGAGTTTGAACGATGGACACAGTTAAAACACTGAGGATTAAATAAAATGGAATTATCGGTAAAAGACAATGTGTTTAAATGTGTGAAACACGCATTTAACATGGCATATTCTTTGTCGTTATGAAAACATCTTCCATTTTTACAGAATAATGAAAACACAAAAATAAATATATAAAAATACAGTCATGAAAAATGATTTTCTAATTTTTTATTATAGAAAGGGTAAGTAATAAGTAGTTATTTAAAAAAATTGATTACTTTTAATACAAACAATTAATATATCAGCTGGTTGATTAATTATCATAACGTTGCTTCTAAATTATAAACCGGACGGCGCGGAACGTCTACACTTCTGCAAAACCCGCAAGTCTTGCGGTTTTAGTATAGACGTCGGACCTGTAACGTTTAGCGTGAAGGTGTTCAGAAGAAATGATTATTGTAATGGCGGTTCGAACAGTTTGTATTTTATGTTATTTTTATACATTTTAACCACTGATTTAATTTTGGTTTAGATTCGTTTCTGCCGTTTCACACTATCATTATATTATCAATATTTGTAAGTCTCATTAGTTGAAAATTGGAGTGAAACAGTGGCAGTTGGGTTTCAACCAGTTACAGATCTCAGCTTGTTACCCAGTCCCTTTTAGTAAGGAAGCTAATAATTGTGTGAAATTAACTAGCAAACTTCACTAATAAGTAGATATTCCGATAAAGACGCGTTTCCGTCTAATTATAGAACAATGGGTTAAATATTTCTTTATATTCGAAAGAGGAGTTGATTTCAAATCTCTTTTAAAATGAATAAATATTCAAGTCAAAAGTGATAAATCACAGTTATTTACTTACATGATTTTTACTAAGACTTGCCAGTTGAATTCCATAATTAATTAAGTCTCATACGCTTCGAAATAGTGAAGAAATTACAATTAATTAAGGTTTTTAGTTGAGATGAAAAAAAGCTAATGGCACGAGCGGGATTCGAGATTTCATCTCAACTAAAAACCTTAATTAATTGTAATGATTTAATTGGTCAAGCGGACCACGAAATTAGTGAATTTAAAGAATAGTGTAGAAAGTGAAGAATGGGAGTCAAATACTGCTCGCGCCTAATTTCCGTTCACTACAGTGAACAAGGCGAAGCCTTCACGAAGTGTTCTAAATTGTAGAAAAAATCTAGGAAATACTCTACCATCCCTTTTCATTAAAATTCTTATCGGTGAAATCTGTACTCTTTACGATTTTGTTGAATATGCCGAATTGGCTTATGGCTCAATCCTATAGAATCCATTATGCGTTTTTACTATTGGAAAATAAACCAACATTTTCCGTTTTGCACTAAGTCCATCCGAGTTTGTGAAAAATTTCGAAAAACGTTTGGAAATCGGTCCGTAAAAACGGTAGGTATTGCAAACACACGTTAATTCAGATTTTAAAAAAATCTTACATAACCTAATTCGTCCCTAACCCTAGCCCTAACCTAACTTCGCTTTTTTTTGGTTTACATTATTTGAGACAACCGAATTTTGGATTCTTTAAAAAATAAAGTTAATGAAAATTGAACGCCCATGATAAGCACTAACCCATCCTAACCTAATAGTAATCTAACCCTAATTTAACCCTACCTAACTTAATCACTCCTACTTCAACTCAACCCAACAAAACCGAACTTCGCTTTTATTTTTTGTTTGGACTTTTTAAGATAACTGAACTATGAATTGTTAAAAAAAATAAGTGAACATTTTACGCC